TCTCTCTCATTGACGTCTAACTCTCTGTCCCTCTCAATTCTTCTCTGTGTAAAATCAATAAAATATATATTTAAAAAAATATTTATTCATAGTAGGCAAAACATTCCCCCCAAAGGTACAAAACACCTAGCAATAATATTAAGAAGAATGTGTGGAAGCAAATGAAGAACACTACAGAAACTTGCTATAAGGTACAGAAAAATGTCAAAATGCTTTTATTCCATCTTTAAAATTTATCAAACTTTGACATCTTAGAAAGGGGTTGGACTCAATAGCACCCGCAAGTGGACATTCTGAGTATAGCACTCTAGTAGATGATTAGTCTCAATAGAGCCTAACTGCACAGTGTGAGAACAGCACCCTAACAAAGAATGAGTCTCGATATCGCCCTCTATTGTAATTAGGAGAACAGCACCCTTGAAAAATATTAGTCTCAATAGAGCCACCTTGTGGACTTAGAAAAGCACCATAGTAGGTAATTACTTTCAATAGTACCCTCTTGTGGACATTCTGAAAGCACTACAGTAATAGAGAATTAGTCTCAATAATGACCTCTTGTGGAGATTCAGAAAATAGCACCCTAGAAATGGATTAGTCTCAACAATGCCATCTAATGGACAGTGTAAGACAAGGATTTTTTTCAGACTCCCACATTTCTTATTAGGGTGCTGTTCTCCAAATGACTGCAAGAGGCTACTATTGAGTTTAATACCTTACTAGGATTCTGTTCTGACAATGCCCACATGAGGGTGCTATTGAGCCTAATCCCAAACTAGGGTACTATTTTCTAACTGTCCACCAGAGGGCACTATGGAACATAATCCCTTACTAGGATGCTGTTCTCACAATGCCCACTAGAGGGCTTTCCTGAGACAAACCCCTTATTAGGGTGCTGTTCCCAGAATGTCCATTAAATGGTGCTATTGAGACTAATACCCTACTAGGGTGCTGTTTTCACAGTGTCCACTAGAGGGCACAATTGAGACTAATACCCAACTAGGGTGCTGTTTTCAGAATTCCCACAAGAGGGCGCTATTTAGCCAAATCCCTTAAAACAATGCTGTTCTCTAGAATGCTCACAGGAGGGTGTCATTGAGCCCAAGTTTTTAGTAGGGTGCTTTTCAGACAATGCCCACAAGGGTGTGCTACTGAGACTAATTCCCTAATAGGGTGCTCTTTTCTAGAATGCATTTAAGAAGGCACTATTGAGCTTAATCCATTACTATGGTGCTGTTTTCAAAATGCACACAAGGGAATACTATTGAGCCTAGTAATCCTCTAACAAGGGTGCTTTTACCTAAATGCCACAAGAGGGCGCTATAGAATCTAACATCATAATAAGGTGCTGTTCTCAGAATTTAGACCTTTACTAGGGTGCTGTTAGCTAAATCCTCATAAGAGGTCAGTGTGGAGCCTAATCTCTTGCTAGGGTTTTGGTGTCAGAATGTCCAAAAGACGGCAGATTAAAAATGGCCACAGAGTAACGGGAGGGTACACAGACATACCCCTTGACCAAACTGGAAGTACAACTAAAATACAAAAAGACATCCTGACTAGCCCACAGAGACTAGCTGGAGCTCAGTGATAACCAAGGACAGAATGTGCAGACCGCATAGAGGCTGGAAGAACGGAATTGTGAAAGGGCTGGCCCGGCTCCCACAGACAGCAGCTGAAGTTTCAGAGAGAGAGATCTCATCTGCGGAGGGTTCCCACTGAGAACTCTGGGTCATAACCCCCAGCTGGGCACCCCAGCAGAGAGCCCCAGAGCTGAGACAGGTGCCCACGTACCATCTGAAAAGCGGCAGGTTGCTGTCTGTCAGGAGAAACGGCTGGAAATGCATGCACCTTCTTAAAAGGCCAACACACAAAGTTTCGTGTGCAGGCACTCAGCTTGTGCTGCAGCAGAGGGAGGGCAGAATGGACTGGAGCAGTGTGAGCAGAAGCCAGGGTTGAGGCCTCTGGGGTTAGAGCTCAGAAGGCAGACACCAGGGTTTCTTGTGCTGAGTCATTCCCTCACGCTGGGAGGTCATCTTTCGGAGAAGACTTTTGCTATCAGGGCGGGTTTTGCCTGGGGGAAGACTGTTTCTCCATCCTGTTGGAAAATGCCTTGCCTGACTTTGTGGAGTTTCTGATGCCCATTAAGAGACTGTTAATGACAATTAGCCTCCAGGCAGAACCAATTGTCCTACCCTGTTGGAAAACCTCTCTCCACACCTGTGCACAATTGGCTGAGGGCTTCTCAAGAGTTAATCCAATCAGTCTGCAGTCATAGGCAGGTCTCTGGAGGCTTTGAATCTTTGCCTGGTCTCATTAGTCAGAAATATCATTTGACACTGTCCTGCCCTAGAGATTGAGAGGCTACCAGAACTACCTAATACATATTTACAAATCCAAAAAGGCAGACAAAAATGGGGAAATAAAAAACAACCCCCAAGTGAAAGAACAAGAGAATTGTCCAGAAGAAGAGATAAATGAGGTGGAGATGGTAAATTGACTTGATATAGAGTTCAGAATAATGATGATAAAGATTCTCAAGAGCATGAGAAAAGTTGTAGTAAATGTGAAAAAGGAATAAAGGCTGACATAGCACTAATAACACATTGGAATGAATACACAGCAGATTAGGAGAAGCTGAGGATTGGATCAGTGAATTAGAAGACAGGCTGGGGAAAAAATCACTCAAAGAGCCAAAAAGAAAAAGCAATTTTAAAAAACAAACAGGAGTACAGTTTAAGAGAGCTGTGAGACAAGGAATGTCAGCCAGTTAAGGGAGGTAGAGTGAGGTGGAGTGAGGGAGGGGGCATTGCAGGGACTAGGGGCTGCAGGAGCAAAGGCACAAAGGAGAGAAAACAGGAACTACAGAATGCTGGGGTTTGAACCGAGGTTGTGTGTGAGGCTGGTGTGACTCCAAAGCCAGAGGTTGTCCCTCGGTGCCTCAGGACTATGCTAACGTGCTTTAGGGCTTACACAGAGTGTTCATCGAATCCATTAGCTCGGTAGGTAAGTTACTTTGTAAATAAACAGCAATATTATGTATGTGTTTGTAAATATGTAGTTACTTTATATAAATTATTTTTAAAGAAATAAAAATTTCCAGTCTCTTAAACATACTATGTGGCAAATGCTGACACATGGCAGACTAGCAGTGCAAAAATGTGTCATCAGGTTAACTCCCTTCTGCTTATTTATTTACTTTTAAAAATATGTTTTTATAGATTTCAGAGACAGAGAGAGAGAAACACCAGTAAGAGAGAATCATCAACCAGCTGCCTCCTGCCTCCTGCACTCCCCACCCCCTATTGGGAATAGAGCCCAGATGGGGAATTGAACCCCAACCTCCTGGTTTATAAGTCAGTGCTCAACTACTGAGCTAGACGGGCCAGACAGGTTTACTCTCTTCTGTGTAGGCCCTGGAGTAAATCTTCTGCTGTTCTTTTGCTTAGTTGTAGTTGTGAAACTTATTAGGGAAGAGGACAATGTAAATTCTACACTAACTTTAAAAAGAAAATGTAATAACCCTAGCCAGTTTGGCTCAGTGGATAGAGCACTCACCTGGGGAATAAGGGTCCCAGATTCGATTCCAGTCACATGGGCACATGCCTTGGTTGTAGGTTCGGTCCCTAGTAGAGGGTGTGCAGGAGTCAGCCGATCAATGATTCTCTCATTGATGTTTCTATCTCTCTCTCCCTCTCCTTTCCTCTCTGAAGTTAATAAAAACATATTTTTAAAAAATATATTCTGTATGAGGAAATGGAAGCTAGGGTAAAGGTAGGAATATGGGAAAACAAGGTATGTCTTTCTTTTTGTTTTGCTGAGAGGGTGGGTTATGGGTGATCTCTTATTAGAAGCATTAAAGAAAACAGGCTACAAAGATATATGCTATAAGGTCGTTAGGGCTAAGTGAAAAAGGTAGAATTATCTGGGTCATGAATTTATCCCAAGAAAAATGAGGATTCAATATTAAAGTCTAGAGAGTAATTTAAAATAAATATAACACAGGATGACTGCTATCACCATTGTTCTAGAAATTTCTGACTAATAAAGTACATAAAGAAATATAAATAAGAATCATAACTATTGGAAAGGAGATAAAGCTGAAGTTGCTTGAGGATAATATGACTAAGTCTCATGAAAACCCAAACAAATCAACTGAAAGAGCAAAAATAAAGTTTTACTGTATGCCAACGCTAATGGTTACATAGAAAATAAAATGGATTAAAAAAGATTTATTCACAGTAGGCAAAACACTCCCCCCAAAGGTACAAAACACCTAGGAATAATCTTAAATGTGTGGTACAAATGAAGAACACCACAGAAACTTGTTGTAAGGAACAGAAAAAGAAGTCTAAATGCTTTTAGTCTCTTTTTTAAATTTGGCAAGATGGTCTCACAGGTGAACAAAAACCAAAGGAGTTTTTGAAACTGGAGTGATTAGGGGCAGCTTGTCTTAGTCTGCCTAAATGAAAAGATACCTCATAATGTTTTTTAAATGGACTAGAACTAAATCTAATCAGATCAACGAAAGAAATGAGTAGTCCTGAAACAGACTCTAGATGAAAGGATTTGACGTCCTCAGAGCATCAGGTTTGTGAACAGAAATTCACATGCAGAAACTTTCATTTAAAATTAGCTGCCTTGTTTGAATTTACTCAGCAGCTTAAGTCACTATTAATAAATAGGTAAATCCAAGCCGCTGGTGCTACCAACAAGAAAGAGACTGTGGGGCGTCTGAATGAGAAACAGCTCATGGCAGATCACTGCTCATCATTTACAATGTTTGCTCATGCCCTGACTGGTTTGGCTCAGTGGATAGAGTGTGGGCCTGCGGACTGAAGGTCCCAGGTTCCATTCCGGTCAAATCCATTTTATTTGGTTGTGGGCACATCCCCAGTAGAAGGTGTGCAGGAGACACAGCTGATCGATGTTTCCAACTCTCTATCCCTCTCTCTTCCTCTCTGTAAAAAAAATCAATAAAATATATATTAAAAAAAAATGTTTGCTCACTTCCTTTTTGGGGATCTTATTTGAAACCACCATTTGTCCCTCTTTTTGTATTTGTTACCCTAACAGGCTTGGCATGTCTACTCTGATTATGCCTCTTATTATCCCTCCGTTATCACTGCTTTGATGGGTAACAGCCTCTCTTTTGGACAGCCTGGAGCCCAGGGAGTGAATTTGTTTTACTTTGTGTAGCTTACATTTTGAGTCCTGCCATACCAAGAATAATCTTGAAATATGGCTAAAATCCTTCCAGATACTTTCATGAACTTCAATAGCAGGTAACAGGCAGAAACAAATTTAATTTCTATTTTTTAATAAAAAGGAATTAAAAAAGAACTATGCGGTCAATAACAGGGAAATAGCTAAAGATATACAATGAAATATATAATCACTCAAAATGTTTTTAAAAATTTTAAATAATATAGTTATTTCAGGAAGTGAGCTGTAGTGATATTTTTCTTCCTTATGTTGTTTTATGATATTTTTTCTTAATTTTGCGAATTTCCTACAAGTATGAGAATTAGGAATACCTATATTCAAGAGATGAAAATGGAGATATTTAAAAATTAGAATACAAACAGTAAAAAAATAAAAAATAAATGTAAAAAATAATTAGAATATATATTAAGAATTTGTGGTAAATGGCAAAGTATATATAAATAATTATTTAATAAATAACATTTATGTGCAATTTTAGCTGATTTTACAAAAAACAACAACACAAAAAGCTATACATATTTAAGCAAATATATGACAAAGTACTCTAATTTGCATTTCCAGTGCAGCTTATGGTTTCTACTGCTGAATAACTGAGTAAAGGACCACTTTCAATTCCGTGGTGGTACATGAAAAAAAAACAGGAAAAGCTTTTTTAAATGTAGTACCTTAAATTCTGGACTTGCAAAGCTTCCTATGTATGGTAAGAATGGCAAAGGTTATATATACTACATACCAAGTAGGAAGCAGGAGTTAATCATCCTACCTCATTAGACATTCTTTAAATCAAGTCACTGTAAAGACAATCCAGTTGGTGCATGTGGTGTTCATAAATATCATCACCAGCTGTTTTGCAAAAACAGTAAGGTATTATAATCCTATGGATTTGATTCTAAAAATAATTGACACCTAGATGAATCTTTTTGGAAAATTTTACCAAATAGAATCATCTTCAATGCTCTTCTGAACCAGGGATAGAAGAATGCATAAATCATTGGGTTAAAAGTGGAGTTCAAGTAGCCAAACCAAATCAACGCATCATTCAAGGTAGGCGGGATAGTGTAGTCCAGGAAAGGATCCATGACTGTGCAGATAAAGAAAGGACACCAGCAAAAAAGGAAAACTCCCATCACAATCCCTAAAGTCTTCGCAGCTTTGCATTCTTTGTTTTGTGAAATTCCACTTTTCTCTTCCAATCCAATTTGAAGCTTCAGGTGTGCATTGTGAATGGATCTTGCCTGCCCTTTAGCTATGAAGTATATCCTATAATAGACATACAACATAATAGACCCAGGTATGTAGAAAGAAGTCATGAAGGCCAGAACCCCGGGTGTTTTGCTAAAGAAGACGGAACAACCCCCTACACAGTGGGTGTGTTCGTAATACATCTGCTCAGCTCCTTTGAAGTTTAGCCCCAGGAAGATCATCCCAAATGCAAAAAGGGCAGGGACGCTCCAGCTGATGAAGATCATCACAAAAATAACCAAGATGCTGATCTTGGCTTTGTATCGCAGCGGGTCACACACAGCGTAGTACCGGTCAATGGAAATGAAGGACAGGTGGAAGATGGATGCCGAGCTCAGCATGATGTCGGTGCTGGTGTGGATTTTGCAGAAGACTTCCCCGAAAGGCCAGCAGTGCTCAGCGGATCTCACCATGCTGCAAGGCATGACCAGGCAGCCCAGCAGGAAGTCCACCGTGGCCATGGAATGGATGAGCCAGTTTGTGGGGGTATGAAGTTGCTTGAAGTGTGATATGGAAATAATAACTATGAGATTGCCAGCCACTGTGGTCAGAATTATGAGCACCATTAAACTATACAGGGAAGCACGGACATCATTCGACCAGGTGCTGTTCATACAGGAAATGTTCATTATATTGTGGCAAAAGGGCATCGCTCCTGAAGGCTGCCCACCAGGTTATGTTTTCCTTTGTGTGCGGAATCTTCCTTTGAGTCAGGTTACAGTTCCATCTTTTATTCCCATATGGCTATCCCAAAATACCTGGGAGGGGAAAAAAAAATAAAAAGAGTGAATCATTGGCAATTTGATTTCTCTCACTTTTAACACAGTTACCTGTTACTTCTTACTGAACAATAATTATTTGGAAAGGGCTTTATTTCTAAATCTTGTTGAGTTTAATAATTTTTTAACAACTACTTGATGTCAGATACTGTGCTAGAAATGAAAAGCTGGATCATTAGGTAGAAGTATATAAAACTGCCACTTTTATAAGTCAGAGAAGACCAAATGATGAATTTTTCACATGCTTTAACCTATGGAAGTTTTGTAAGGGAGGTCATATTCTAAAGGGTAGATACAAATTGCCCAAAAGCTTAGAATTGGAATGCCTTAGTGGAAAAAAAAAAAAGTGAAATATTTTAATGCGTCTCTTGTACAGAAGTAATATTCTGTTTTTGCATTTGATCAGATTTTTAAAATATTTTTTTACTTTATAATTGATTATAGTGGAAAGAAATATACTATATATATACCTTTACTTCCACTTTGCAAAGCACTTACACATATATTCCATGCATTGTTTCATTTAACATTTTGACATCGATAATAGCAACATGATTCTTTATTAGGAAGACATGACAATTTTATTAGCAAGGAATTGAGGCTTCGTTCATAAAACCATTAAAGCTGGAATATGACCTGATGTCTCAATTACTAGTACAGTTCCTTTTTTTTTTTTTTTTTTTACTAATCCAGAAAAGATCAATTCAGATAAACTATTGTCAAGAGAATTAAGCTTTGAACTTTCATATAAGAATGCAGAATGTTTTGAGTAATGGCACCAACTGAAATGTCATTGTGGCCTAAAGTATTAAGGGTTTTTAATATTTTACCAGGGTGGGCGGTAAGAAGGCAGTGCATAGAGGAAAGAGGCTGAGCTGAGAGCCCAGGGGACTGGAGCTTTAGTGTGTGCTGTGGGCAGATACTGGAGCTCATTTTTCCTTTTCAACCTCTGAAATCCGTTATAATCTTTTCTCATGCAATCTCAATTTATAAAACAGAGAAAAGTAAATCTTTAAAAACAGATGCATCCTTTTACTAGCCTCCTCCTCAGGCCTCACTGAGGAACCTCAAAGCTTCACGGGACCCAGTTTAGAAATGTCCCTTTTGTTACTATATCATTCTGCAATTATCAGCTAAATTATGAAATTTGCAGTATTTTTGCAACATTATATAGTAGAGATGATAGATGATGATAGATAGATAGATAGATAGATAGATAGATAGATGGCAGTTTGGAGAAAGAATCTAAATTTATGACAATCAATGAATAACCCGACATTACTAGTATATTGTGAAACTGCTAAAAAAAAATAAAACAAGCCTTAGAATTCTAGGAGTTTGCCTTCCTTTTCATCCTTCCCATTCCCTCTGGGCTGACAGTATAGACCAAGGTCACATAGAAATCTAAATTTATCTAAAACTAAAATTGGATGAATAGAATATTTAGGAAGTAAAATGCATATTTTAATAAGTTTAAAACACCTATTCCAAAAACCCTTTTCTAACTTCTTTTCCCAGGAAGAAACATATTTATGTGATATAAATCATAAGATTTATTTCAATAGATACCCAGGCCCAGCTGGCGTGGTTCAGGGGTTGAAAATCAACTTATGAACCAGGAGGTCCCAGCTTGATTCCCTGTCAGCCCACATGCCCAGGTTGTGGGCTCCATCCCTCATAGGAGTTGTACAGGAGGCAGCCAGTTAATGACTCTTACCACTGATGTTTCTACTTCTCTCTCCCTCTCCCTTCCTCTCTGAAGTCAATAAAAGCATATTTGAAAAAAAATAGATACCCAGACCCATTTAATGAAAGAACAAACAGTAGACTAAAAACTAGGTTATTGAACTAAGCAACATTTTACTTATAATTAAAATTTACCAAAAGAATGTATTTTTCATTATGAAGTTTAAGTATGCACTCAACTAAACTCTATTGGTTAAGTTGCTAATCTTTTACTTAGACTTTTTTTTTTCCTATTCCCTTCTTTTTTCTTCTTTCTTTTACTTACATTATTGGCATATTAAAGGAACAAAGCAGCTTACCCTAATAACTATTTACAAGTGTTTGCTAATTAATAACTGTCAGTTAAATAATCATTCTTACTTGATGTCATCTTGAGCAGGTTCACTCAAGATGAATAAGGAGAAACTGGGATAAAACAAAACAAAACACAGTAAGACAAAGTGGGGAGCAGGGGAAAGTGTGTTCAATTTTGGAAGAGTATGTTCATAGAAGATGAAAAAAAATCATTTGCCAATTTTATATGCCCTGTATTCGTGCATCTAAATGTTAGGTTTCCAGATAAAAACTAAACAACTCAGAGGCTTCCCTCCTCATATGTTACAACCTGATTTCAGAGAAATAAAGCCTTAAGAATAGTGTCTTGGAAATTGTTAATATGACATTTCAATAGAATAATTTTCTGCCCAATTTAACAATATTACACATCACTCTTATGTGAGTTTTTTAAGTGTTATAATTTGTTTTTAGATTTTCTTGTTTAAGTAAATGCCCTATGATGGTATCATGACTTGAATGGTTACCTAAGAACATGACATAACAGTGGTTTTGTTTCTTTTCTTTCAACTTTAAAATTTTAGATAGCTAGAAATGATTGTTCTCTGTATATACAAATTATTCAAGTTGAACATACAATAGTTGGATGGAAAGTAAATAAATTTCTCATTAATTATCTAGCTAAGCAAACATTCTGTGCAAATGATCTAATCATCTGATGTTTGAAAATGACAGATGAATTAAAAATATATTGGCAGGAGTTATAGTTTTCAATAGCTCTGATAGCAGGATAGGAACTTGCTGGTAGAGTGCTCACAATGTCCCAATGAAGGGCCATCCACACTAATCCCACCATGCCCTTTGTCCCTGACTTCATCCAACATCCATGTCTAATTGCTCAGTCCCTCATTTCCATACCGTTGTATACAACTACTGAACCCATCTCTTAATGCACCATTACTCACGAAGCCCTCCAAGTGTGCCCTTTGGAGCTTACAGTCATCACTCTACTTCCTCCAACTCTTTTCTATATGCTTCCTCACTTGGTTCTAACAAAAATTGTCTCTCCTCTGATAATACTTCACCCCTTGTCCTCTGCCAAAGGTAACAGATTTATCTCCTGAATCGCCAGAACCCCTTTACACTCTAGGACCTGGGGGAAGAGGAAGTGTCCTCTGGTTCTCATCGTCATTGCAGATCAGTGTTCCTCCTGCCTTTCTAAACTCCACCATCTGCAAGCTTTGAAGTCCTGTATTCACACTATGTCTCCTCCGGCTATATTTATCTATGGATGCCCACCTCATTTCTCTTTATTTCTTGGAGATGTTAGCTTCTGACCACCCATCACTTTTTCCAAGGCTAGCTTTGCCAAATTCTTAATGATTTTTTTTTTGTCCACGTAAATGATCCATTAATAAGGTAGCTAAGGAATACTAAAATAAGATGACTTTGAATTTGACCTGAAGAAAGTGAGGAGCTAACCACATGGGCATCTGGAGGAAGTGCAATCCAGCTACAGCAGTGGTTCCCAACATGAGGCACACACCCCACAAGGGGACAATTTGATTTTTAAGGGGGGGGGGGGGGGGGCAATTCCAGAATGAGTAATTAACAGTAAATTTTTCACATTTCTTATGGTCCTAGACTAGGGGCCTCATATACAGTTTACAAATATATACTGTGACATATTTATGCATTTCATTTCTCTATTATATGTTTTGAAAGTTTATTTGCTATTTTTTCATATCACTTCATATTATTATTATTATTTAAAACAATTTCTTAGTGATTTCTTCCTCACTATTTCAACTGTCCTTTTGTTCTTTTATTTTCTCTTGCCTGGATGCCATGTTCTTTGGCCTTTTAGGCTCCCTCCACATGAATAGGAGTTCACTTTTTGAATAGTAAGAATGGTATGTCACAGGGGAGGGCATCAGGATTTTAGAGATGTTTAGGTGAGACGGCCAGAAAAAGGTTGGGAACCACGAGCTAGAGGATACAGAGAGCAAAGGTCCTGAAGGGGAGCATGCCTAGAGCATTTGCAAAATAGCACAGATTAGTGTGGTTGGAGAGAAAAATAGATGGGGACGCCAGAGGCGCTGCACCAGACTGCACTGAATAGGGCCTGAGGCCACAGTAAGAATTTTAGCTCTGCCCTTGTGTGAAAAGGAAGGCGCCAAAGCATGTTGAATCCAGCCACATGATCTGACCCATCCTAACAGATTCATTGTGCCAGCTGTGCTGAGAACAGAGGCAGAAGGCAAGGACAAAAGTGAGGCGATGATGAGGAAGCCGAGGCACTGCCCCAGGGGGTGAAGATGGTGGTTTGGGCCAGGTCAGTGGCTGTGGCCATGGAGAGTGGCGGTCAAGGTGGGATATCTTCCACATTTTCTGCTATGAGAAGGTTTGCTTTCATAATCAGAAGAAATATATTTAATAAAATCAAGTGTATTATATATGAATTAAGTTTCAAGTGAAACTTTGAAAAAGTATTGTTAAATCGTTATTAATATGTTTATATTACTTGTGCTTCTTTTGCTTACATAATTCTTTCTATGAGTCATTTTTACCTTCATATTAAAGTCATACTTTTGCTAAATTTCTGAGCTAACGCCATGCAAATTTATTCTATCCTCTAAGTTTGGAAACAAAATTAGGACTTGATAATAATTTTATTCCTAAAATGTGTTTGTAGCTCTGAAATTTATCCAATAATTTTATTAAAATACTGAACACATTTTTGAAAAATACTTACTTTAAGGGAAAGAAAGAGACAAGAAGCAGGGAAAACAGAATTTCCAAATGTTTAGGCCATCATTGGAAGCAAACCATTTCCATCCTGAAGAAACAGGAAACATGCAAAATCCATTTGTTTGTTTATACATCACCATAGTCCCACAGATAAGAGGGAAAACAATCTACTGCAATATTGTGGTCAATAGACTATACCTGAATGTGTACATGTATAAGATAATACGTATTAGATTTCAATAATCATAAATAAAAGATTCTTAAGTTAATTGAGCTAATATATGGCATGTAAAGACACACACACATTAACGTGTGAAGTCATTCAGAAATGAGCCAAGATTATTACCAAATAATAGTTGTGCAAATCAGATTTTAGTTTTGTAATTTAGTAGATAGTAACAATACCATACATTTTAATGTCAAAACCTATAAAAATCTTTAGGAAGTCTCCTTTTATTATGCTAAAACTAGCCAAATACACAACATGGAATTTCCTTTTTCATGTACAAGAAAAGGAGGTTTTCAAAATCACATTTCAAAAGGGGACATCTGCAATGCTTTTGACAATAAAGATAAATTTTTAAAAAAATCATATTTCAGCTTACCAAATTTCTCAGCTTTCCATAGGTAAAGTTTTCTTAAAAGTTTGACATCTTAAAAAGCATGCAAAAGCAAGCTATTTAAAATATTTAAATATTTTTAAGATTCTCTTACTAAAGCAGGTATTAGCTAATTAAACTTATAGAACCCTTGTTAATCTTCTCATCAAAATAATCCTAACATTAATATATGAATAAATACCAACCTGTTGATAAATCTTATTCTCTGGAGCATTCTCCCTGGCTTTGCAGGTTGGCGTGGCTGTGGGGTGAATGCATGCAGACCTACCTGCTCAGGTGCGTGGACAGAGCCAGCGGATGAGCCAACAGCAGAGACGTTGCCTCTGGAGGAGGCCGCACAGCTGCTGCTGGCTGGAGCTGCTGCTGCTCTCAGATAGGCCGCAGCTCGCAGACAGGATGACGCAAACATTGAAATCTGAAAAAGATAAGCTGATCATAAATCTTCCTGACACAAGGTAACTGTATTATTGAGAAATACACCTGGGAGGTGCTTCTATTCTAAACCAGCATCAGGAAGCTAACAGTGAGCAAGCTAAATGGAGAAGGTAAATACTTAAAAAATAATCTCAAGCATGGGCCACCAGTAACCAGAGTCATGGGTGCTAACAGCACATAAATGAAAGCACCTGCCCATTAAACCTCCTTAGTTGTTGAGTGATTTGAAAAGAAACTGCTCCTGTATTAGACACCGGTACAAAGGAAGCAACTAGCACTATAAAAATTGTTCATCTTTCAAGTCAGATGACTTGTACCGTCAAAGGAATATTTCTAAAAAGGAGAATGTCCTAGACTCAATGACATCTTGCAGTTAGAAACTAATTTAAAACAGTGGCTTTCAGACTTTTTTTAACCACTAGGAAGAAATGCCTTTTATAATATGACTGAATACACATGTAGGTATTCATTCGTAACAGGAGCAAATATTTTCATTTAAAAACACCCTTAACTCATTCAATTAATTCACTCTGATATTTGCTATTTTTAATTAGTGGGATTCACACACCATAATGTTACTAAACACAATCAGGAAAACATTGCCTTAGAGGTTTAGTTCATCAATTTTTTAAATTCCTATTATATAAAACTTCCTAAATGACAGTCTTATACATGGAGCCAGGGCCTTCAATAATAGCAAAATGGATAGTTGAACAAGTGCAGTGTCTCATCTATTTCTATCTGTTTCTCATACTGACACAGGAAATCATAAGACCATTATGATAGACAAGAGGCCCGATGCATGAAGATTTATGCAAGAATGAGCCTTCCTTCCCCTGGGCACTGCCTACACTCCAGCCCAGAGCTGCCTTTCTGCCTTCCCACACTGCCCAGAGGCCCGGAGCAGCTGGGTGGTGAGGAAGCCCCAGGCCACTAGGCACCTGCCTATGCAAATTAACCTATCATCTTTATTGGGTTAATTTGCACACTCACTCCTGATTGGCTGGTGGGCATTGTAAAGGTACAGTCAACTTGGATCTTACTCTTTTATTAGTGTAGCTTGATTATTGGTTTCAATTCTTCACTCTCCTAGCATCTTTACCTTTGTCTTTGCTTCACTGGGAGTGGGACGTATTTCCCTGTCCTTTGAACTTGAGCTTTGCATTTGACTTGTTTTGGCCAAAAGAATGTAGACAGAAAAAAAGAGTGTCCGTTCCAAGCCCAGTCATTAGGAAAACTCACACGTTTATGAGTATCCTCTGTGCCATCCTTGTCCAAGGAGGCGGAGAGGCATGTGAAACAGCCCAGGGCAAACAGATATGCGAGCTGCCTCTGCAGATTCATGAGCAGAAGTTGCTATTATTCTAAGCTCCCAAGTTTTGGGACGGTTTGTTACATGGCATTTTCTTGATATCTATTACCCTGTTTTCCAGCTTTGTCATAACACTGCCACAAGAAAAATGCTGACACCACACAATAGGTCAGCTGTGGTTTAAACGGCCATTAACAGCCTAGCCAGTGTGGCTCAGTAGATAATTCTCTCTCATCATTGATATTTCTATCCTTTTCTTTCTCTCTCTTCCTCTCTCTGAAATCAATAAAAAAAATAGCAAAAACAAACAAACAAAGAAAGCATAAAATAAATAGTACACTTTACTAAATGAAGCTGACCTTTTACTGGGTGAATATAACCCCTGCTTCAGAAATTGCTGGATGTTAAGGTTGGTTCTAGAAATAACACCCAAGTTCACTTTTTAACAGTACATAGAAAATATTATTCATCTTTCTCAAAATGAGTTTCCTCATTAAGTACTTTTCTTTATTAAAAATGTTTGATGTTGACACTACTGTAGGTTTCCCCCACTTTTCCTCTCCCCGTCCCTTGGATGTCACCACACTACTGCCTGGGTCCATGGGGTATGCATATATACTCTTTAGCGAATCCCTTCACCTTCTTTATCTAGTCACCCTCTTCCTCCTCTCCTCGGCCACATGCCAATCTGGTCTATATTTCTGTGCTTCTGGTTCCATTTTGTTGGCCAGTTTATTTTCTTCATTGGATTCCACAAATACTTTTCATTTTGTGAATGAGTTTTCTTTGCAAGCAAGCATAATGCCTCATGTATTAGAGTTCTAGGAAATCACAGTACAAGTCAATCTTCCTTCTCTTTATGATGTCATTTCTTTTTTAACCTGAAAATTTATTTAACCAAGTAGACTTAGGATGAACTGTGTGTGACAAATGGTATTGCCAGTCCTCTTACTTTAGGACTAGTTGTTATTTATCTTAAGAACCTATATATATATATATATATATATATATATATATATATATATATATATATATATATCAATGTTCTCCAAGAAAAACAGAACCAACAGGTTGTACATAGACATAGGAAGAGATTTACTAAAAATATTGATATAGAGAGGGCAAGCATTCTGTAAACTTTTGTAGGATGTGAGTTTCTTTCTGGATTCCCTCTTCCTCCTCCCAAGTGCCCTAGAATCAAAAGACCCAGTAAGAAGTAACTTCCCTCTCACCATTCCCCACCATGGGAGGGAGTATCGGGGATGTGTAATTGTGGATCTTCCACAGTGTGCTGCTCAGAACTTGTCTTACATCTTAGGAACTCTTAGAAACTGAATTTACTGCTCAAATAAGCCAGGCTACTGTCAATAATAATAAAGGAGAATAATAAGTAAGAAAAGGAGGTGAAAGAGGAAAGATGAAGGAGGAAAAGAAGGAAGAAGGTCAAACATGGAAGGAGGAGGAGGAAGAGGAGAACGAGGAAGATAAAAGAGAACAGGGAAGAGGAACAACTTTTAATAAATCTGTAGCCATTCACTGGGCTGAAGGCAATAGATAAAATCTCTCGTTTATTCACATAAGTACTCTAAATAACAGATGCTATTTTCATCATTGCTTTACAAAGGAAAAACCTGAGAATTAGGTACTAAGTTACTACTGAGGGCCAGCAGTAGAATTTGATTCTAGATTTGTCTGACCCTAGAGTTCCGAGCTTCTAATGACTAAAAATAATTTTGGTGAAAAAAGTTAAAATGAAGTGTGTTCCTTCTTTGTAGCTTATTTCTGCCACAGACCCTCCAAACAGTTGGGTGGGGAAAAATGAGGTAACTACATTATTGAGAACTTGACATCAATCTATGCATAGTTGACCAAGGGAGCATTATTAATTATAAGCTAAGCAAATGAGATACACATTAACAGTCATTTAAAAACATTAAAAATTAGTATTTGTAATTATTTTAATCACAAAAAAGTATTATAGTATATTTTTTTCAACAACCTCTGAATATAACTTTTATTTATTTTTAAAATATATTTTTATTGATTTCAGAGAGGAAGAGAGAGGGAGGTAGAAACATCAATAATTAGAGAGAACCATTGGTTGGCTGCCTCCTGCACACCCCACACTGGGAATTGAGCCTGCAACCTGAGTATGTGCCCTGGCTGGGAATCAAACCATGACCTCCTGGCTCATAGGTCCATGCTCAACCATTGATCCATGCTGACTGGGCTGAAGGTAACTTTTACATTCAGTTAAAATTAAATCATATATGTACTTAGGGAAAATTTCAGGCTATCAGGTTTTATTTTCTTGATACAATGCTTTTATAATTCATCTCTACAGCTAAAACTGAATACACACAATGACAGGCTTTTCAATTAATTTTCACTCATATTGTGATAGCAAATAAACCCTCAGTTAATTGTCTTTGGTTGAGCAAGATGAAATTTTATCATAAAAAGAAAGAAAAAAATGAGCTGGTTCACAATCAATTTCAGTTAAATCAACATTGTAATCTGTAAAAACAGTATTTTGTGATACTCATATTTTCATAACTCAATTCAAAGTTTATCCATTCAACATGTCTACAAAGCACATTACCAAACATTAACTATTTATCAGATAATCTACCACCATACTGACAGGTGAGCCTTACTTGCTTTGGCAGGAGCTCAAAGTTTCTAGGTTTGGTGGCAAAATAGCTATCTACCCTGATAAGAGCTCTTGCTGTATTTCAGTGGCTGGACCACCATATGGAACTGATTTCAAAATAGAAAGATTAAAAGAGCTTACTCTTCTGTTGACACATTTTCATTGATCCTTCTTAATTTACCTCCTAAGTCTGAAAGTTTCCTACTTTTCCATGGTGACAGCCTCCTCCCAACATCTCAAGGGAAACTTTTATTCTCTATGCCACATCAACAGATATGACCAACTAACTTCAATCTTTGTTCCAGACTGATACCTATTTTAATATTGCTCATTTACTTCCACTTTAGCCCTCACCCTGCATTCTATCAAAGACTGTGATTAATAAAGCTACAATATTGACTTCGGGAATGTGTCATATTGCTCTTAAAAAGGCAAGGATGCAATTAAAATCTGGCTTTAATCATCATTGAGGGATTCAATGGCTCCGAGCTCCAGCACTGGGGCAGCAGCTTGAAAGGTGCATACGGGGAAGAACGGAACTGTCTGATACCAGGCCGAGGGCTGGAGATGCAGCGTTCACCCACACAGAGTGCTACCAGGGGCCATTGTTCCTTTTCTGAGCCCTTTCCCCACAGAGCAGGCAGGCGGGGGCCATAGCTGAGTCATCTCCATCCACCTGGCTATCAGTTTGCCCTGCCCTGGTGATTCCCTGAGACCCCGCCTCTCCCATCTTACAGGCCCACCCAAGATGCTTCCAGTGGCTTTTCTATATGAGTGGCCTGTCTTGGCTCATGCTTCAGACTTTACTAGAATCTCTCAAGCAGCATCTGGCCTCGGTGAGCCTGTACCTCTCACTAAGTGACCCTAGGCCTGACACAAGCACTAGCTGGCATTTGTTTGCAGCTTGGCCTCTGCTGGGCACCTGTAAGCCCAGCACAAGTAGCAGCTATCTGCAGATCACTTTGTAGCTCATGCTGGGTAGCTCGAGGCAAGGCACAGATGTTGACCTTGGTCTGCACCTACTGGGAAGCTAAAGATCCAGCTCACCAAGTGGACCATGTTTCAGACCATGTCGAAGCACCATCCAAACACCTCCACAAGTGACACACTCAAAAGGCAAACTCAGCAAACATTAGAGCCCCAATGAAGTAAGTCCTGCTCCCTGTGGTTGGTCCCTGCACGGCTGATCCTCTGTGGTGGTCACAGCCAGTCTTTGCAGCTGAGTGGCCTAGGGATAAGTCCCTCCCATTAATATGCCAACAGTAATCAATAGGAGAGTATACAAAGCCCATGCAGGGAAGGGGCACCTGGAGGGCCCAGCTCAGGTAAATAGATGTCTTGAACTCTGACATCTACTACATTTGGCCACTTTGCCAAGCTTGGGAGGGGCAGCAGGCCTATATAATACATAAAAACACACACAGGGAGGCTGCCAAAATGAGGAGAAAGAGAAACCTTTCCCAAATGAAAGAACAGAGAAAGAAATTAAAAATCTATTTGAAAAAATAATGACAGAAAGCTTCCCTAAACTGGTGAAGGAAATAGACATACAAGATCAATTGTGACTAAAACAAAAAATTAAAGACAAAGAGAGAATCTTTTTTTTAATACAGTGATGCATTTATTTTATTCAGCAAAACCCAGGGATTATAGGTAAACTATTTTATATAAATTAATTGACATAAATAAAATTCTAGACAAATTTAAAAATAAAATCTTGAAAGAAGGAAAAAAATACACACACCTAAAATTACAGTATTAGGTAAGAGCCACGTGATTTGCAGACCTAGGTTGCTCTATACTAGGGGTGTCGAACTCAATCAGAGAAGGGACCAAAATCTAAAATCCAGCCTAAATCGCGGGCCGAATGGTTTACTGAACAGTCATAAACTGTCATTGTGATGGAAACGCAGCGGAGTGCAGTGATGACAGCGCGGTGCGGGCCACATTGCAAGGCCTGGCGGGACGGATTTGGCCCGCGGGCCTTGTGTTTGACACATGTGCTCTATACAATTACTAATCACCTAGGGGAGGTGGGCAGGCGCCATTTTCCATTTCCACCACTAGACACAGTTCAATGCCCAGTTTTCATACAGCGTCTCTTCGTTCAGTCTTTTGTATTTTGGTTGTTTTGCAAAACTTGCTTTTATTTTAATATTGAGGTCAGGATTTCAACTGCTGTAAAATTATAAGTTTTTATATTTCTAGCAGTGTCTGAGGAGCTAGTTCCCTTTGCTCACAGGTGCAGGCATGCTTCCCACTGGCAGAGCTACACGTACCCTGCAGCTGGCTGTCTGGAAAAGAAACCAGTTGTCCTGGTGCCTCTGTCCTTCTCTTCGCAGATCCCGGGTTGTGCTGCTGTGATCCTTAGATCCAAAGTCAGCCAGCCTCTTGTTTCCTTTGTGTTTATATGGCATTTTTTCTGTGTTGCTGTTTAGAATAAATAAATTATTTACATTAAAAAAAAAAAGAGCCAAGTGATTTATTGTCTTACTAGAGGCCCGGTACACAAATTCATGCACAGGTGGGTTCTATCTAGCCCAGCCTGTTGCGGCCAATCAGGTCTACAGGGGAGAGGGGCTGTGGGCAGTTGGCCAGCCAGCCCAGCCCCGTGATCAAACTCCCCGTTGAACTCCCTGTACAGGGAACAATTTGTATATTAGCCTGTTGTTATATAGTAGGGGTGTCGAACTCAATCAGAGAAGGGGCCAAAATCTAAAATCCAGCCTAAATCGCGGGCCGAATGGTTTACTGAACAGTCATAAACTGTCATTGTGATGGAAACGCAGCGGAGTGCAGTGATGACAGCGCGGTGCGGGCCACATTGCAAGGCCTGGCGGGACGGATTTGGCCCGCGGGCCTTGTGTTTGACACATGTGTTATATAGGATAACAGAGCAAACAAAATCACTGAAAACTTAATGAGTATAGTATAGGTGTTATAACTATGAGCATTACTGTTAGTGTGTATTCCATGAAGTCTGATGAAGCATTGGATGTATGGTCCTTCTCATACACCCTCCCAAACAGAGTTACTGTCAAGACAGGTCCAGATGGTGGCTTCAGGCTCAGCAAGCGTCCATCACTCAACACCTAATTAAAACACAAAGAAGTTGACTGGATCTAACTTTAAGTTATACAACCCACAACACACTTTTAAAATTCAGTACAACTGGACAAGGAAACAATAAATATAATGGCCAGATTCTGTTCTATCAGAAATATTTGAAATGATACAGAAGGAAAACTGGAATCATGGAACTGGCACTGATTCATTTATTATTAAAACTAGGGGCCTGGTGCACAAAATTCATGCACATTAAAAGGAAATTAATTAAAAGAAATATTTTAATATTGCTATTTGCCCTTTCTCTATAATAGAAGTGTCAGAGATGAAAGAAAATTAGTAAAATGTATATGAAAATCTTCCTCCTATCAGAGTCTGGGGCACACCAGGAGACCTAGAGTCAAGTCCCCACCCACTACCCTCATGTGCTTCGAAAATGAAGACCCAGACCTTGCCAGCTCCCCCACCCCCCATCAAGACCCTCCGGGTTGGGGGGAGAGGGGGTTGGGATGGGCATGTGCGCATAGCCTCAGTTCCCCTGGCCTAGTGCCAGGGCAGGGAGTGTGGCCTGATGTCCCCCACCAAGTCCTACTGGGTGGGGGGCACAACCTGAGGTCTCCTGGCCTGGTGCAGGTGCAGTGGGTGCTGGTGCAGTGGGTGCTGCGTGAGGTCCCCTGTCAAGCCCCGCAAGGCGGGGGGGAGGGGGGTGTGCGGCCTAAGGTCTCTCATCCCAGCCATATGCCATGCAGCCTCAGGTCCCTGCTGTTCGGTTGTGATGTTACAGTGTCCAAGCTAATTTGCATATTTCTCCATTATATAGACAGAAAAAGATGCCTGTAATCAATAGCTTATCATTTACTTACCTGAGGAAGCATCCCATAAGTTAATAGATATAAAACAGTGGATTTGGGAATATATAAGAGAAATCTAGTCCTCTCAGACAAGATAAAGACTCCTTGTAGGATTAGAAGGGATTGACTAAGGGATTTCAGCTGAATGTCTATCAAGCCTGTCAATCACTCACCACAGCTCCCTATCCTGCCCATTTCCCCCAACTCCCCACAGTAGCTATTTCTATCAGGAGAAAGGAGTGAGAGCAGAACTTGCAGGAAAAGCCAGTAGAAAAATGGAGCTGGTCAGAGTGCTTGGGCAATATGGAATATTTCCAGTCTCTAAAAATACACTTAAAAACAACTCTGCTTTCTTACCAACATCAGACATTGAAATTCTCTCTCCTTGGCTTTTCATTCTTTCCTGTTCTCCTATGGCCACATGGAACCTTCACCCACATCATGAGAGGGATTCCAAACTCATTAGTCAACAGAGCCAAATATCAACACTACAACTATTGAAATTTCTTTGAGAGCCAAATTTTTTAAACTTAAACTTCTTCTAATGCCACTTCTTCAAAATAGACTCTCCCAGGCCATAGTATTTTGTAGAATAGCCACACTCAAGGGGCCAAAGAGCCGCATGTGGCTCTTGAGCCGCAGTTTGGCAACCACAGCCCTAGACCATTGCTACTCAGTGATGCCAATGGGTTTTTTTTTGTTTTTTTTCTAGTGGGACTAGTCCTGAAACTCATCAAATCTTCTTTCTACCTTAAACAGTCCAGCCTTCTCCCTACAGTTCCCACAATAGTATTTGTCTTCATTCTTAGGAACACACTAATTATTATATTAAGGCTTTCCAGGTTAAGAAAAAAAAAAAAAATGCAGCCTGGCCACTGTGGCTCAGTGATTGAGCATCGACCTATGAACCAGGAGGTCTTGGTTTAATTCCCAGTCAGGGCACATGCCTGGGTTGCAGGCTCAATCCCCAGTATAAGGTGTGCAGGAGGCAGCTGATCTTTGATGTTTCTATCTCTCTCTCTCCCTCTTCCTTCCTCTCTGAAATCAATAAAAAATATATAGTTGTGGTTTTTTTTTTAAATGCAGTCTGCTCAGTGTCTTTCCTTAGCCCTAAGGTCAATTTTTCCCTTTTCAAATAGAGATTTTTGTGACTGTAAACACTTGGGTAGATTTTGTACTCAGAGTACATTTCATGTACTCACATGAAATGAGTCGGCAATATTAAGCAAAGATTCTTACCTGAAATTCTCCAGGTGCAAGCTGAATTTCACTCAGCAGCACCTCAGGAAACACATACTGGGTTCCAAAGGTGCCACTGAGGGAGAACATTTCAAACCTGGTGAAAGCAGTTTCAACTGAGTGACCACACGTGTGTAAGCTCGTTGTCTTACACTTCAACAGAGTGCAAATCTAGAAAGTAAAGGCAAACCGTTAATTCCTAGGCAAGCCAATTGAAACACTCTCCTGACCCTGAAAAAAAATGCCCAGGTTCCTTTGTTTGGAAAAATATTTTCCTCAATTGATTAATCCAGTTCATTGCTGAATAGCAATGGGGGGGGGGGGGGAGGAAAAAAAAGGATGTCTTCCTTTGAAGTTAAGCGGAAAGCATTTAGGACAAGTGTGTTAAAATGGGATATAAATAACTTTCAGATAAAGGTAGAATACATGCTTCTTTTTGTTCCCTTGAAATCCTATTAAAACTAACATTATTGTTTTTAAGATAGAAGTCTAGAGGATAGGGGTCCAGGAGGGTAGACCAGGGCACAATTTTAGGAGCAGGGACGTTAATGCAAAGGTTGTAACTGAGTTAGCTGGTCTAAGAAAGCCAAGTCCTAAGTTGGTAGTGAGCAAAGCCAAGAATCAACCCTAACTGCACTGCGGAGTACTCCAGAGATTCCAACCCTGCTGCCCCGGTACCTCCGGAGCTGTTACAGATGTGGAGGCTGAAGTAAGGAAAATTGATAGGAATTTGTTAAAGATGCCTCAGATACCGAGTCCCCACTATGGATAGGCAACTGCCCCTCCCCTATACCAGTAAAAGACAAGCATTTATTTCCAGAGAGGGAAAGCAGATGACATTGAGATGGAGGTTTTAAATGATGTGGTTGAAGGGGATTGCATGAATTAATCATGGGAAATGTTGGGATCATCTGACTTTACCACAACCCCACCCTGTGAGGTCATTTCTCCCACTTGACTCTTTACGTGCTGCCAGCAAGGCATTTGCCCTTCAGGAACAGAGATGCTAGACAGGAGTTCCAGTTGAATTAAGTTCAGATAAGTTAAAAATAGTAAAAATAGTTTTTAATATGAGAATGTCCCAAATATCACAAGGAACATATTTATATTTTTAAAAAACAGATCCTTGCTTACCTGAACTTTACATTTACTTGGTCATCCTGCATTAGAAGATTTTGAAGCTTAAAAAACCTGACCAACCCAAGGGGAAGTCTCTAAAAATGCTCATCTGAGGGATTCCCCTAACCAAAGGCCGAGTGAAATCACCCTACTGTGCAGCTTGGAAAGGCTCAGAACTTTCAGTCAGTTTTTGGTAATCCTATTGTGTCACCTTATATCTGAAAAAACTACTAAACTGAGAATTTTAAGTTTAAAACCTGTCTGGAACCAGTGGTTTTGTCAAGGGTACACTGCCCAGCAAAACAACAGAGGACTTTGTTTACTTGACAGGCCTCACACCAAGAAGGGACTTACCACTGCTCTCTCTAGTGGAGCCAAGACTCTGGTGGAGGCAGAGAGGAAGGACAAGATTGAGGAAGGAAAGGAAAAAAGATGGAGAGAGGAAAAGCCAATAGATGGCCATATTGTTTTATAACCAATTTAAAATCCTATCTCAAAAAAGAACAATTATATGTCATAAGTTTTGAATTTTAAAAATATGGCAATGTAATATCATATATGTACCATATACATAGTGCAATTAATGTCAAAATGTTAAAGAATATATGGTAATATTTATATGGCAATAAGTTTTTCTACAAAATAACTAGTTTAATTTTTAATTGATGGGCATTTTCTCTAACCATTTTTCCTCCTTTCTCCAGCACCTAAGAAAACTGATTCCTACATTTCCAGCCTTTTTTTGTTGCTCTTTCCCTTAGGCCTAACAACAAACAAGGTTCTCTTATCTTTTGGAAAAACAAAAACTAAAAACGGCGTTTGTGGCCAGAGTGACTGTCTAGTTCTTGTCTCATTTCTCTTCCTCCTGTCTCAGACAAGAGTTTTGAAAAGGGCCCCACCAGCGTGGCTCAGTGGTTGAGCATCGAACTATGCACCAGAAGGTCAGGGCACATGTCTGGGTTTCAGGCTTGATCCCGAATAGGAGGTATGTAGGAGGCAGCCAATCAATATTTCTATCTCTCTCTCCCTTCCTCTCTGAGATCAATACAAATATACTAGTATATCTTTTTAAAAAGAGTTTTGAAGAGGAAACATTCACTCATTCTTACAAAATTTTTACTTCCCTTCAACTTTTCAACCTATTGTAATCTGTCTTTCACTGTGTCATTATATGCTCAGAAAATTCTACAAAATTGCACTTATTCATGCCAGTAATGTTAAACATATTGCAGCGCGATGATGTGCACTGACCATTGGGGGGCAGCACAGTATGAAGAAAGGCCCAGGCCAGAAACTGGGGAATGGAAGGTCCCAATCTGCTCTGATCGCTGGCCAAGCCTATGAACCCTACCCATGCACGAATTTCATGCATCAGGCCTCTAGTTTTCAAATAATATACACATAATATATACTTGTTATGTAGTAGGTACTTGATAGTTATTTGTTAAAAAGAACAAACAAACAGCATACAAAATGTTACACAGTGGGGGCAGTTCCATCACTCAAAAAGCTTTCAGTCTCAGGATATTGCAATAATCTGGATGAAAAAGGATTGGAGACCAGATCATGAAAGATAAGACCAGAATGGGAAGAATAAGAAGTCTGATTTTTTTTTTAAATCCCATCACATAAGACTATTACAGTTCCTGGTTTATAGCTGAATCTTTTCAGCAATAAACTATTTTACTATATATCTCAGAGATCAACTCCACATGTGTAGAGGACATACTTACTGTTAAGCTGTATACAACAAAATAGGCATGAGTGAACATATTGGGAAAATGGCTACCTTTGTTCAGATAGGAAATATCAGACATTAATTACCCATTAAAATAGTCTCTAATGTGATTATTATATCATTTTAAACATTGGTACTGCAAATTAAATGTCCTGGCCTTTTTCCAACCAGTTTAATATTAGACTAACAATTGCAAGTTAGCAATGCCTAACTTAATTTGAATTTCAGACAAACAACAAGATTTTTAGTACACATATCCCCCAAAGTTGGACATACTTATACCAAAAAACAATTCATTGTTTATCTGAAATTTAAATTGAACTGGCTATCTTATATTTTATCTGGTAACTCCACTGCCACCCAGATAATCTTACCTGCAAATGATAGCTCCCTTCCACAGTATGTAGTCCATCAAATGCCCCTAGGGCGTACACTTCATCTGTTCTCTTCTCAGACATCTTATAGCTTAGATGACAACAGAGCTCTTTCTGACAAACTGTATAATTTCCTGTGACTCCTCTCAGCTCCAAGAAGGTGTATTCATCAAAAAAGACAGTGCCCTTAAATGCCTTGTTGCTTGTTGGGAATGCTTCTATTCCACTAGCATAAGAAGTCCAATTCACCACGATGGGGCGCTTTGGGTGGGAATCCAGCTGTGAGAGAAGGAGTTTTCCCTTCTCTGTCTTCATATCATAATGAAATGCTCTTGGAGAATCAGGTGCGTAGATGCCACTTCCTGGAAGCGACACGTTGGAAATGACATTTGAAACAGAAAAGTGAAAATAATAACATAGTTGTTACTGTTTTAAACTCACATTCACATTTTATTTCCTCTCAGGTATATATTTTACTAACTTCAATGAAATATGCTGAGGACAACAGATGATAAAAATCCAATAGAGTCTGACCCCAAGAAGCCAAGAAGAGTTGTCACATAAGAAGTGGCAAATTTTGGGAGGGAGAGGGGAGAGAAAAAGGATGTTATTTAACTTGAATAAAACTAAATAAACCTGGAAACAATTTATATGAAGATTAATTCTATAGCCTGTCACCAGCTAGAGACATAAAAATTAAGAGTTGAAAAACATTGTGTTAAGGAGTACATATTAGTTAGAAAATATATTTTTTTTTCTTTTTGGATTCCATCAAGCTTGTAACATCTTAACAATTATACATTACCTGTCATTTTCTTTGAGGGGTGATGTATATTTGATGCAAGGAAATTGACCTTCATGCCCATGGCCCAAGCTGAGTGGAATTCAATAGCTGACAAATGCGGCAAAACATTCATCCACGCTGTGGGAAACAGAATGGTGTCCACATGGAAGTCTTTCACCAGGGTCACAGCAGGATCGTGGAAGAGTATATCGAAGCACGTGAATATGCCAAATCTCCCAAAGGCGGTGTCGAAAGTCACAACCTCAGGCTCCTTGGGTGCATTGAATTGATCTTCACCCAAGAAAAGGTTTTGCTGCAATGAACAGAAGATGAAGTCGGGAGAAATCTCTTTTTAGAAGCTGGCCTGGATGTCCCTGTGTCTGAAAAAGTACAAGTGCACCTGGATTCTGCAGTGCTAATTTCATCTATGGCCATCGGCTTCGTAGGGAAAGAGTTCAGAACTTGAGATTACTATGGCTAAGAGGAGCCTTTGGTTCAATCTCCACATTTTTAGATATGTACAAGGGAATGCTTATCTCTTAAGACCTTGTATCTTTTTTTTTTTTAAATATATATATTTTATTGATTTTGTACAGAGAGGAAGGGAGAGAGATAGAGAGTTAGAAACATCAATGAGAGAGAGTCATCGATCAGCTGCCTCTTCACACCCCCTACTGGGGATATGCCCGCAACCAAGATACATGCCCTTGACCGGAATCGAACCCGGAACCTTTCAGTCGCCAAGCCGATGCTCTATCCATTGAGCAAAACTGGTTTCGGCAAGACCTTGTATCTTACAAGAGGTAGGAGCGAAATAGATAATGCATATTTGCCAAGAACACATCTATTTTCTGAGGATAAAGGACTTTCTTCGCTTCTTTTTCATTCAAATTAAGTCTACCTGCTAAGTGCTTTTTCATTCTAACCTTGAGCCATTGCCAGAGTATGTCTTTAAAAGGAGAAAGTCCAAAAGGTGACATATAGTTCAATGCAGGTATGATTCTCCTATACTCCCAACAATATACTCATGTGTTCCTAAGTGTATAGGAAACCTTCCAGCCTCTTTATAGGAGCTTCCCACACCTAATCATCACTTTCTCTGCTTTGTCTCTACTCAGCTTCTAAAGTATGCATTTCCTATCTAATAATCCTATCTAATAAAGAGGGAATATGCTAACTGACCCTCAAGCCATTGCAAAGATGGCAGCGCCCACAGCCAATAAGGAGGAAAATATGCTAATTGACTGCCTCATCCTCAAAGATGGTGGAGCCCACAGCCACAAGATGGCAGTGCCCAGTCACCTCAGCCCTGCCAGGTTGGCAGAAGCATGACAAGGCCAGGCCCACTTCACATGCCTGCCTCTGGAGTCCCCCAGACCCTTCAGCCCCTCAGCTGCCCAGGACTGGCCCGAGGCTCAGGTAACCAGGGCCAGCAGAGGCTTGTGCTGCTGGCAGTGGCAGCAGCAGAGGTGTGATGGGACATCACCTTCCCCTGATTGCCAGGTCTCCTCCCACCCCTAAGGATTTCTGGACTGTGAGAAGGGGCAGGCCAGGCTGAGGGACCCCCTCACCCCCCAACTCCAGTGCATGAATTTTCATGCACTGGGCCTCTAGTTATCAATAATAAGGATTTCCCCCTCTTGTCCACTTTATTTTGTTATGCATTTAGTAATGATTTGCATTTAATTCTACCTTATGATAGCGTGCCACCAGTTTTCCTTGAGAGTCAAACACCACATCAGTGTTGTATTGGTAACGGCCATCAGAAGGACACTGGGGGTCACTGGCATTGCATGGCTTCTTGTCCCCAATATTTGCCACAACGTAGATAGAGTTTTCCTTGGCCAGGCAGCTGAGTCTTTCTTGGACTGGGGTGTGGCCAAATCTGGTATGTGTTATTGGAGGAGGAAAACAAAAATCAAGCTTAGCTTTTTTTTTTTGCTTTTTTTTTTAAATATATTTTATTGATTTTACACAGAGAGGAATTGAGAGGGATAGAGAGTTAGAAATGTTGATGAGAGAGAAACATCGACCAGCTGCCTCTTGCACACCCCCCATCAGGGATGTGCCCACAACCAAGGTACGTGCCCTTGACCGGAATCGAACCCGGGACCTTTCTGTCCGCAGTCCAATGCTCTATCCACTGAGCCAAACCGGTTTTGGCTCAAGCTTAGCTTTTAATAAAACTCAGGATGATAGCGGCCTGAACCTACCATGCAATAGTCACATTAAAAAATAAATTCTCAATTTCGTAGAAGATAAAGATTAAAACGAAAAGAGACTTCAGAGGAAGTACACACTTGGGGGAATTCATTTGTAAGAAATGGTTCTAGAGTAACACTCTCTAGGCCATGTATTTTTTTCTTCATGGCATTTATCATCATCCATAATCATATATTCATTTATGTGTTAATCATATATTGTATAGTAGATCTTATAGATATTATGGGCCAAATACACACGCATCTCCTATTCACTTAACCCATGCCTATCAGAAAACAGGCATTAAAAAAATATTTTGAATGAAAGAAGGTCAATTTAGAAGGAGGATTCTAGGAAGATGGCAAAGTTGGAAGCACCAGAAATCCATTCGTCCCTTTAGATAACAATTGCACTTGCAGAATCGGCCTGATATAATACTGCAGTTTATTTGAAGGCTTGAAACTTCCAGGGGAGAGCTTGGAGGGTAAATTGAGTTATTTTTCATCTATTTTAACACTTAGTTCAGCAGTAACTACCCATGACCCATCTTTACCCCAGCCCCCAGGGCAGGCAGCCATGCAGGTGTTCCGGGAGCACTGTGCGGGCAGTTTATGAGAGCAGGGTGAGCTATAAATCCCTTTTCCCCCAAATATTGGGAGTCTGTGTTCTGAGCATTGATAATTGCTTCTGATCTCGGAGGTGCAGACTCGGGGGCAGGCAGCCTTTGTTGTACCCCTCACGCCTTGTTCCAAGTGACTTCTAGGGGATTTGTAAGGCCTTTATTTTTTGTCCCCTTTGGGTGCCAGACATTTAAGGACTAGGACATCAAAAAGCAATCGCATGTACAGAAGAATTTAGAAAGTCACCGCACATGCCCAGGGAAAGGCACAGGCTAACAAAAGACCCAGAAGACCTTAACTCCTCAAGCTTATGCCCAGTACATCAACAGCTTTAACAATCAAAACAAACAAGAGATACAAAACCCCGAAGGAGGGAGAAGTTTTGATTTCTAATTATCACATTATAAGATTCAAATGTCCATTTAGAAAAAAAAAAATCATAAGGCATACCAATAACCAGGAAAAAATAAACTACCAGGTACCATCCTGGAGAAAGACCAAATGACATACTTACTGGACATAAATTCTTCCATTTGAGGTGTAGCAACAACACTAGCACATATTTCTGTTTCCCTGTTCGCAATTTCAGGGCTAGAAGGTTGGTTTTGCCATAGATCTCAGCAACCTTTCACTTTTCAACTTAAAGGATGTACTTCATAGCTTCTTTTTATCATGTCCAAATGGCCAGCATCACTACTCTTGTGTTTTGGGGCCATTATTAAGTAAAATAAGGGTTAATAGCACACAAGCACTGTGATTCCGCATCAGTGGATCTGATAACAGCTGGCTACCGAATGGCTAACGAGTGGCTGTCCTGTGCAGTGTGGATACACTGGACTCAGAGATGAATCACGTCCTGGATGGGAGAGTGGGGCAGTGATAGATCTTATCACGCTACTCAGAATGCCGCACAATTTAAAGCTTATGAATTGTTTATTCCTGTGATTTTTCCACTTAATACTTTTGGGCCACAGTTGACTACAGGTAGGTAACTGAAACCAGGAAATCAAAACTGCAGATAAGGGAGGACTAGTCTGTATACCACATTTTCTTAGTCCATTTATTCATTGATAGACATTTAAATTGCTTCCTTATCTTAACTGTTGTAAATAATGCTGCAATGAACGTGGGAGTGCAGATATCTTTTTAAGATATCATGGAAAGTTCCTTTGGAAACACCCAGAAGTGATATTGCTGGATCACATAGTAGTGCTATTTTTTAAGTTTTTGAGGAACTATCATGCTGCTTTCCATAGCAGCTGCACCAATTTACATTCCCACGAAAGTTCCCCCCCCCCCCCCCCCCCCCCCCCCCCCCCCCCCCCCCCCCCCCCCACCCCCAAGGTTCTCTCCAGCATTTGTTATCTAGTCTTTTTTATAATAGTCGTTTTACTCGATGTGAAGTGATACAGTGTTTCCCCGAAAATAAGACATCCTCCGAAAATAAGACCTACCGTAGCGCATGGAAAGATAAGACATCCCCTGAAAATAAGACCTAGCACAGCTTTGGAGAAAAAATTAATATAAGACACTGTCTTATTTTCGGGGAAACAGGGTATCTCAGTGTGGTATTGATTTACATTTCCCTAATGATCAGTGATGCTGAGCATCTTTTCACATACCTCTTGGCCATTTGTATGTTTTCTTTGGAAAAGTGTTTGTTCAGCAGACTGATGAACCTCAGAGGGAAGGCTTGGTGGATGGGTGGGAAGAGCTCAACCAAAGAACTTATATGCATATATGCATAACCCATTGACACAGACAATAGTCTGGTAAAGGCCTGGCATTTGGGGAAGAAGTGAGTTAGAAGTGATGAATGGGGGCAAAAAGGGTACATCTGTATAACTTTCAACAATAAAGGTCATTTCTTTAAAAAAAACAAAACTGTTTGTTTACACCCTTTGCCTATATGGAGTCATAAGGGCTAGAACTCTGCACACGAGGCTAAGAAACTTGTTCCAAATTTCATAGACAAGAAAGTACCATTAAATGGTTTGAGGATAGAGGTGACAAGACCTGCATTTTCTTTTATAGGACATCACGGTACAAAATGTACTAGAATGGTTAAAGACTAAATATAAGGAGATCATTAGGAAGTCATTTCAATAGTTGAGATTAGAGACAACATGAGTTGGGCTAGATTGGTGCCAGCCAGTATGGAAAGATAGGAATAAAAAGAACATTTGTTAATGCTTAATTTATTTACTTTTATCATATTACCAGTTGTCCCAGAAAAGAAATTAAAATGCAATTTTGAAAAGTGAGATCTCAGAATATGTAATATTTATCCATATTTATTTTGTATTGGCACCACACAGAAATAATTTAAAAATGGTTACTACTAGCTATTGAAGAATAGCCAAGACTAGGAGAGGTGTTGAATGAATGAAAATGTGGTGCCATCTGCTGGCAATAGTAATGAAATATCTTTCTTTGAGTATCAAATCTAGACCATTAATTCTATCAATTGGTACAAAACCATTCCAATCTCCTAAAAATATATCCTTGTAAAACACCACGGATAGAAGAACACATTTAAAACTTTGTTTTAATGCATTTATTTAAGTGACCATTTGATAGTCTTTCCCATCATTTGCTTCAATTCTATAGGAAATGCACCGAAATAAATTTAACACATTGAACCATTTGAAACATATTTATCAAGTCTTTCCAGATCAATATTTTTTAAAATCTGTTTTGGTCACCCCATTTTCCAGAATAGTACCTGTACATCAAGCATTGCTGGAAACCAAGATCAACAGTAATTAATATAAATGTGAGAAGTCCTGCAGATGGCTGTTTGGACTCCTTTGAAATTTACAGGGTGAATTTCCATTTTATGGCCTACTGCTGACTCAATGGCCTAAAGCAAACACCCCCAAAACCTGATAATCTTACTGTTTACTATAAACGTTACCATTGATATCTCTGTTTGCATTCCTAAAAGGCAATTGTGTAGTCTAGTAAGTAAAAGCAGCTGGGTAAAGGACACTTGACTGTCCTAGTCAAGTTCACCCTGGCCTCCCCCATAATAATTAAAATTAAAATTAATCTTGTCCTGTGTGTATCATTTGTACATCAGCTGGCCGTGGCCTTTCACAAAGCATGTCAAACTCAAGAGCTAACGTGGGCCAAATAAACAAGGTTTAAGTTTATGTGGGCTGCAAAAAAACAAGTTTCAATTTTCATAGAAACGTAGCTTTATTTCAATAGAGACACGCTGAAAACAAATGACTGAAATAAATGAGTAATCGTTAGCATAAAATAACAGAACATTTTAATAAAAATTAATATTTTTCTTGAACATTAACTTACCAGACACTGAATAACTGCACAAATTAATAAGCATAACACAAATAACTCTATTTCTCTTGTTCTCCAAAAGTGAAATATTTCCTGTTGCATGCACCAAACAAGTCAGTACAATACTAATGATGTGGTAATCGGCTGCTAAAATATTCGATGCTAGTATTGGTGGAAAGAAATGGTGCACCTGCATGTAAGGTGCCTAAGGGAAATGAATGCAACATGATTGTAATAACCAGTAATTAGTGAAAATTGTAGCTCATTATTAAAAATTATGTATAACAGGATATTGTAAAAATTAAGTTATGAAATTTTTATTTAAAACGTTTCTTACATACTGTTATATTGGCTGGGCCACAAAAATATTTGAGCCACAAAAACATTTGTTGTGGGCTGCGAGTTTGACACGCTTGCTGTAAATAATAGGTTCTCAAAAAATGTGTTCAGTAACTGAATGAAGGCAAGAAATGGAGATATAATTGGTGAAAAATAGAAATAGAAAACAAGGCTCTTTGAAGTGGGGATTTTCTGGAGGCTCTTGGATATTTGGTTCAAGTGAAGCCCTCGTTGGTTTGGCTCAGTAGCTAGAGGATATGCCTGAGGACCAAAGGGTCCTGGGTTCAATTCTAGTCAAGGGCACATGTCAGTTGCAGGCTCCTCCCAGGCCTGGGCCCTCATCAGGGCTCCTGCAGAAAGCAACCAATTGATGTGTTTTTCTTACATTGATGTTTCTGTCTTTCCCTCTCTCTTCCACTCTCTCTAAAAATCAATGGAAAAAATATCCTGGGGGGAGAATTTTTAAAAAGAACCAAATACAGTCACTTTATAATGGAAGTGATAACAGAGGGGCTTTTAGTAACTGAATTTCTACCATGAGAAATGGAAAAATAACAAATAGTTATGATACAAGGAAATATGAGTAGATAATTATGATAGATAATATTAAACTTTGTTTTAATCAAGGTGTCTCTATAAGCAGTTACAGTAGCTTGTGTAGTTTTGAGAGCAATTCCAAAAGAGAAATTTCTAGAATTTTGGAAATAAGTGAGTTAACTGACAGGAATTTCTTAGGTGTATCAGATATTGTTTTGCTTATATTAAAAGTAAGAGTGCTACTTTCATCATACTTCATATTTCTTTGGACTACACTTGATTTAAACCACTTACACAGTCCTGCTATATCACCTCCTAGATTGACAATTAGATTAGACTTTAAGGATTCTGTATAATTAACCTCATCAACTAACTATTCTATGGATGAGAAAGAAAAATTTGAAATTCTAGACTGACTCATGACTATTTTGCTTTTACTCACACATTTTTCGAATTATAGACACAGTAAGAAGTCAGAAGACTAGAATTTGGATCTGGTTCTCCCACTAACCAACTACCCCATGACCAGATTCAGCCCCTCAGTGGATTTGATGGTTTCTATGTTACCTTCCAGCATGGATTTCTGTGATTTTATAATACATATTTACTTTTCTATTAAATATTTCCAAATGAAATGAAAAATAATAAAGCTGTCTTGAAACTTAGAGTTGATAGTGGATCTAATGCAATGATCTTCTGCAAAATTTTCCCAAGTGAAGTAAGTTCATGCTCATGATTGAATTTGTTAAGTCTATCTGTTTACCTGTTGGGATGATTACAAGGGATCCAGTTCACTTGAGGGTCTGGGATATCTTCCAGGTATGGGTAGATAGATTCTCTATTGAAGTTCCAGCCATAAAGACCATCTTCTGGAGTCACAATAATATGTGCACCCTGTTAAACATGTAGCTTAATTAAAATATTTCTCAAATAACTGAAGAGGGGCCTGCCTGCAAGAGCACCTGAGGAAATGAGTGGCTGACGAACAGCCTTCAGGTGTATTTTTTCCCCCCTTTTGATCTTATTCCTTTGCTTTCTATACTCTTATAATTTATTTTCTTTGCCCAACCACTTGCATTTTCCAATCCTGATATCATCCTTTATTTATAACTAGAGGCCCAATGCACGAAATTTGTGCAAGAGCAGGCCTTCCTTCCCCCAGCTGTCGGCACCGGCTTCCCTCTGGCACCCAGGACCCAGCCTCCCTCACAGCCCTGGCTTTTTCCAAAAGGACGTCGGTCTAATTAGCATATTATGCTTTTATCATTATAGATGTTTTCTTTCTTTCTTTCTTTTTTTTTTTTTTTTTTCTAAGCAGGAATAGCTTTCTAGGCTGCTCACAAGTTGACACCCATTGCAGTTGTTAACTATAACCTATCTCTTCCCCAAATCATCCCCTTTCTGAACTTAGACCAACTCCTGTACCTGAGTGTGTGGAATTAATTTATAACTCAAATTCTGTTTCACTTTTCCTCTGCCCCAGCCTTCCCTGCTGTATACCTTGCAAACATGATTCCTGCTTCTCAGGAGGGTGCCTGTACGTACAACCTGGGCACCTTCGGGTGGGAGAGTCACCCTGGAAGCTGATTTTGTATCTAAAAGAATGTGTATTGATAGATATGTTATATGTATATACCTGTGACTTTTATGACATTGCACATATCTGTCAATAACTGAGTTATGAATATCTTATTTAAACCACATAATTAACCTTAAACCTTTCATTTAACTGAAGGACTTACTGTGCATTAGCATATGTACTTTTTACAAATTGGTAGTTATAGAATAGTCTCAAAGATGTAAATTATAGTGTAGAGAATATAGTCAATGATATCATAATCACTATGTATGGGAACTTGAAATATTGGGAGGGACCACTCTGTAAAGTACATGATTTCCTAACAATTATGCTGTACACCTGAAACTAATACAGAATAAAAAATAAAACAATAAAAAAATATATACTATTATCTAATTACAATAAAGTATGAAGTATATAATAGATAGTTTTATATGGATTGTATACATATATAAAACACACATTAGCACATATAAATATTATGAAGTATCTTGTCATTAGAATGAAGTTTGAAGTATATAATACATATGGTTAAGTAGTTTGCAACTTAAGCTTGTTTTGGTGTTATAAACTAACCCAAATCCCTGCACACCCTTAAGAGAACAAGGTGCATCAAGGCCACTGATACTCTAAAAATAGCATGTGGCCCCTGACCCATTTATCCTCCACCCTCCATCTGTAGTAGAAAAGAGCAACAAAGTCGTTGAACTTACAGCAAGTTTCTCAAAGGAGTGCTAACCAAGCCGTTCTTTTCTTATATTTGTCTCACTATTAGGGAAGTAACAATGACCCTTTTCTAATAATTTTTGGAAAACAAAAGTTCTTGACTACCCTGACATATATGTCTTCACCTACCTTAATGTTAGGGGCAGAAATATTACTCATATTCTGTTATCTGTGATTGTTCTGTTCAAGTTACTAGAGAAAGCACATTCTAACCAGGCTGAGAGTAGTAAACCCCGGGACATGGGAGTTAATTCAGGAATGCAGCCCACTCTCCTTTCACTGAGAACCTCCTATTATCTGGGAAAGATTAACAACCTTGTTGTTGAAGCAATGGAATCCCGGAAGCACCCTGCCCACTAGTCCACATTGCCAGTAATCTGTAACCATTTTACCCATTTTTATTCCATTTGCCTACTCCCCAACACCAATAATAACCAATTTTATTCCTTTTCCCCACTTTCCCATGTAATCATTGTCCTTCTACCCCATAAGCTGCTGGTTTATGGAAGGGTGCTGTGTGGATGACTGCTGCTCTCCCACACTGCCGGCAGTATTGGAATAAACAGTCCTGTTCTGAACCTCAGAGTGCGAATATGTATGTTTGTCGCTTCCCGCCCACCTGATTCCTGCCACAACAAACCCTTTGTCTGCTTAATTGGCTCAAGTAGTTGCAGGCAGCCCAAACCCAGTAATTGTCCGGTTTCATTAACACATGCAAACACATACTCGGACACACATTTAATTGACCCTGGTAGTGGACTCTGTCTCTTGGGACCCCACTCTCTCCACATAGAAGCCAGCACATTCAAGAGGAGGTACCTGTTTTGCTGCGGTGGTGATTGCTCCCTCCAAAAGGTCCAGATTTCTGCTCATTAGCCCCAATGCCATTTCACGGGGCACTGGTGTGAGGGTGACATTCGGCAAAATCACTGCATGCTCATAAACAGCTGCAATAAAGGTGTCCAGGGAGCTGGCTTTTAAGACACAGAAAACTGAAATTGCCACACAAACCAGCAGCTGAGAAATAATCATGATGAAGTCCAAGGACTGTGGAAAAACAGAGCAAGCCCTAGTGTTTATAGAGAGAAATTACAATGAGGCACGTGGTTCTCAGAACTTAGTGCTTTAAAGACAAATCACAACATCTGGAATTAAAAAAAAAAAAGCATGATGGCTTCACATCATAGCCATAATGTAAACATACTCTGTATAACACTCCTTACTGCACTTCTGAGGGCTGTGAGAACAGGATTACTCAGGCTTCTTGCTGTGTGGACAGTTATCTTCTCCCCAGGTGTAAAGTCCAAACTTTCTGTTTGTAAAAACTCCGGTCATCAGATTTAGTGCCCAGCCTACTACAGAATGACTTCATCTTAAGTAATTTCGTATAAAACAATCCCATTTCCAAATAAGGTCACATTCTAAAGTACAAATGGTTAGGTCTGCCACGTAGGAATTCTTAGAATTCATGCTTTAGAACTTTATAGGTGTAAATACTTTGAAGACCAAATAGCTTTGCAATTTTGATAGCAGTATCACTATCAGAATATGAATATCTAAATGCTAAACTTTATCCACTTTAGTTGCTTCAAAATGGAGAAGCCAGGACAAAGAGGAATACAAAAGGGTCATTGCTATGTAAAAATTGCCTTAAGATTTAGTGGCTTCAGACCTCAAACATGTGCAATCTCCTATTTCCTGTGGGTCCAGAATCTGGGCCGGGGTAGCTGGGTGCCTCTTGCACAAGACTGAAATCAGGCAGGGGCCTGGGCTGCAGTTATCCCAAAGCTTGGCTGGGAAAGATTCACTTCCAAGCTCCAGGCTCATATACATGGCTGGTGGCAAGCCTCAGGTCCCCATCGACTGTTGCCCAGAGATGTGAATTCCTTGCTTCAGGTCTTGCTCACACTGTTGTTTCTGGCTGCCCTAAGAGCCAGAGAGCAAGAGAATCCTCCCAGGATAGAAGCCAAAGTCTCTTAGTCTAATGTGAGGTGTCACCTCATCACTTCAGTTGTATTCTATTTATTAAAAGCAAAAACAGATCTAGAGCAGAGAAGCATCGATCAGAAGCTCAAACCTCAGAGGGAAGGTAGGGGAGGGTAGGGATAAGGGGGAGAGATCAACCAAAAGACTTGTATGCATGCATATAAGCATAACCAATGGACAGAGACAGCAGGGGGGGTGAGGGCATGTATGGGAGTGGGGTGGGGGGGGGGCAATGGGAGGATATGGAAGCATATGTAATACCTTAATCAATAAAAAATTAAAAATTAAAAATACTTTTAAAAGCAAGTCAGTAGGTCCAGCCCACACTTGACACAAGGTCATGCATGAAGGAGGCAGAGATCACTGGGGACCATCTTAGAGGCTATTGACCATAGGGTTACTAGGGAAGAAGAAACAATGACAAGGAGAGTAAGAGTAAGGACTAAAGAGAGAAACAGAAGTAGTTGGAAGAGAGCTTAATAGAAAATGGGGGAGGGGGGGAGCTTAAAGATTTTGATATAGAATAAGTAGGCCAATTTTGTTTCAGTTGCAAATTAAGTATACTGTATTTTCCAGGGTATAAGACGACCCCCTAATTTTACAGTTAAAACATAGGTTTAGGCCTATATTCGCTGTATAAGACTACCCCCCACTTCAAAGAAAGACTTACTTTGCCGTCAAGATCTGCAGGTAATTTTTGTGCAATTTTGGTCTTTTGCCCCCAATTTTCGGTTGACTTTTTTCGTTTCAAAAGTCGTCTTATACACTGGAAAATACTGGTAATATTTTTTATACTTATAGAACTAATTATGCTTATCCATTTTATTTTTACATTTTCTTTTGGATGGTATTATTATAGTTCAATTTGCAGATGGATATGTCTGAGGTTTTTGCTTCAGTACTATAATAAATTTATTCTATGACTACCAAGGTAACCAAGAGGCTGTGACTGCTCCGCCCTCCTCAGTCTACCCTCCTCAGTCTACGGCAAACCCTAACTCCCTCTACTTGCTGACCTCCTTTTGGTTGTCCATTCCCAGATGGTTGGGAATCCGCATACCTCACAGTGAGACGTAATGTGTACATAACAATTTATAAAAGGAAGTTTCAAAATAAAAGCTGAAAGTGCCATGAGCTTTAAAGAGGTTTTAAAAAATTACTTGTTTGATGTTATTAAATTAAAATTATAGCAAGAAGCTGCTATTGGTATCCAATCTGACATATAAAGAGCTTGAAAGTTGCCTCTCCCATCTTCACAAGAAAAAAAGCTGAACTGAAAAAAATCATCATTTTTCTTAGATCCAGCAGAGAACTGAGGTCACAAGATAAACTTTGCCCCAAAATGAGAGAGGCTTACCTGGAGCAGAAGTCCACTGTGGGAGCCAGCACTGATGTTGACATAGAAATGTCCAAACCTGTAGGGAATTTTTTTGAGTTTATTTGAGCCCAAACCTGATGACAATTGCCAGGAAGCAAGATCTCAAATGCTTGGGTAAATGACAGCTTTGTAGTTTTCCTTTCAGGCATTTGGAATTAAGGAGGGACTAAAAGGAAGGTGACGTGAAGGCAGGAGAAAGCAAGGCAGGGATTGGGTTACAGGATAGTTAATAAGATCATGTGATCTCTGGAGGGTGGTTTTGCTTATGGCCTTCTGGGCATGTCCTAGCCAAGTCTGAAAGGAGGCATTTCAAAGATGTGCTAACCTAGATTCACAGCAACAGTGGGCAGGTCTTGCTTAAGCTCCGGCATGACTTCTCACCATGACCTGCCCAATTATGAATTTAAGATTGTCCTGGGAGGTTACTTTCCACAGAACCCCTTTTTCATCCACACTGATATGACCACTTCAACTGTCTTTGATGAACTGCTAGAGGCTCAGAGTGGATAAACTTCAGAGTTAAAAAACAAACCTACAAAAACAAACAAACAAACAAACAAAAAACAAGGAGAATTTAGTGTTAGGAAAATGCTCACACTTTTGTGAGTTTTATCTCCAAGAACCCCCAACAGATTCTCTGGGCAAACGATTGAGGAAAACAAAACAAAACACCTCCGGCCTCACGCTTCCCAAAGAAGGAAGAGAAATAAACTCACTTTCAAATAAGCTCTGAGCATTTTGTTCTCCTTATCAAAAGCCTGCCCTTAAGGGAAACTATTTGCCTAACCAATCTGGGGAAAAGAAATGTCTTAAAATTTGAAACCTGCTGGGCTTCCAGTATCAAGGGGGAAAGTAGCACTGGCTCACTTCAAAACAGCCTTAATCATTGGTCTATGTCTCCCCCCCTCCCCCTCCCCTTCCCCTCATCTGGAGTGGGATTAGGTGAGAAAATGGCTCTAAACTGGCCTGCTTTGGCTCACTAAGTCAGAGAAAGGGAGGCCTTGGGGACAGAATCAAGGGGTTTGCTTGGGATGAAATGCCACTGTCCATTGCTGCCCTGATTGCAAGCCTTGCGGGGTCCCTTAAAGTTTAGGAGATGCATGTCTGTGTGGGGAGGTGAGAGAGAAGGGTAAGGTGTAGATGTACTCATGGGAGGGCTAGCAAATGCTGGGACCTTCATTTTGAGGGGTTTTAAAGGCTGTACGTTTAACCCAGCTGGCCTGGTTCAGTGGCTGAGCTTTGACCAATGAATTGAACCAGGTCACAGTTCGATTCCCAATCAGGGCACATGCCCCAATTGCAGGCTCAATCCCCAGCGTGCCGATCAATGATTCTCTCTCAACATTGATGTTTCTATTTTTCTCTCCCTCTCCCTTCTTCTCTGAAATAAATAAAAACATATTTTAAAAATAATTTTAAAATGCTGGATTTGTAAGAGAGGATCTCAATGGAATATTCATCAGCTTTATGTTGATGTACCAAAATTCGGTTTATTCTCTTAACCTCATCTATCCTTGAATGTGGCTGGTAAAAGGCACTAACTGGATCTCTGCTATCTCCCTAGAGTAGGATGATTTAAGCTACTTTCCTTCTGGTTGGGGAGTAGGGGGAGTGCAAACCATTTACTCTTTTCAAATGTCTTTGGTTTAGGGAAAGATAGGATTTACTGGATGGGTGCAGACTGCTCGGCAACTAGATTTTCTACATTGCTGCAAACTGCTGTTTAACTGCCTGCCTCAGTTTCCCTATTCTACTTGTCCTGGTTTACTAACCTATCTCAAAAGCAGCGGCCGCCTGGGAGACACAGACTCAGGTAGCAACCTAAATTGCATTCCCCAAGACGTAGGGGAGGACTCCTTTTATACATTCCAGCCCATGTTGCAATTAGATCTGTTTTATGTAAATGAGATATTCAAATTCTGCAGCTTTTATTGGACAGAGCAGGTCCCAATCTATTAGCAGAAGGATAAAACGAGGATTTCCCTGAGTGGTTGACTCAGACAGTGTAAACAAGTGGGGATAGTATGGAAAGCTGAGAGTTCAGTCTGAGGTTCTTCTGGGTATACAGAGTATATGTCAGCAACTCACTGGCTCTTTTTTTTAAATCTTTATTGTTGAAAGTATCACATATGCCCTCCCCCCCCCCCCCCGCCCCATATTGACCTCTTCTATGTGCCCCCCACCATGTGCCCACACTTACCCCAGGTCTTCACCACCCTATTGTGTCCATGGGTTATGCAAATATCATATAAGTTCTTTGGGTTGATCACTTTCCACCCACTCTGCCCCATCTTCCCTCTGGCTCTTATTCTTTATAAAATTTGGGCACTGGGCCTGGTCGGTGTTGCTCAGTGATTGAGCTTCAACCCAGGATCCAGGAGGTCATGGTTGGATTCCTTGTGAGGGCACATGCCTGGGTTTCCAGCTCAGTTCCTAATAGGGGGCATGCAGGAAGCAGCCAATCAATTATTGATGTCTCTATCTCTCTGTCCCTCTCCCTTCCTCTCTCTCTAAAAATCAATAAAGAGCCGAAACTGGTTTGGCTCAGTGGATAGAGAGTCGGTCTGAGGACTGAAGGGTCCCAGGTTCGATTCCGGTCAAGGACATGTACTTGGTTGTGGGCACATCCCCAGTAGGGGGTGTGCAAGAGGCAACTGGTCAATGTTTCTCTCTCATGACGTTTCTAGCTCTCTATCCCTCTCTCTTCCTCTCTGTGAAAAATCAATAAAATATATTTTAAAAAATCAATAAAGACATATTTTTTTAAAAAAACTGGGACCCAAGGAAAGTCCATCTCAGCAAATAAACTCATTTTCAGGGTTCACATCAAATGAATGATAATCCTCTGGGTCCACAATGTTAATACTTAATGGCTAGAACAGTGTCAATTTTTATTGATATTAATCTCCGTGATAGAGCTGTTTACAGTATAACTGTATGGGTTCAGAATGAGTCACCCCAAGATGCACCCCTCTGGCACACAGATTATTTCAGGCTGAAAGCTATTGAAACCGAGACAGCTCAGGAAAGACTTTCGATCTTCCTGCTGTAGGCAGTGAGACAGATAGGAGCAGAGCAAGGACACTGGGCCAGGTACAGAAGGTCACGAGGTGGAAAGGCCTGTGTGTCTAGCAACGGACAATCAATTGTATGGTGGGACCTTGCCCCCAGGGTGACCTTCCCCCCCACCCCCCACAGCAGATCTCTGGTCATGTGGTTTGGACCCCCTGACCTTTCCTCTCTAGAGATAACATCTTTACCTCTGTATTTCTACTCCAGGCCAAGATAACCAACAAAACCAGCCAAGGCTGACATTCGGGCCAGCTGCACTGAGTAATGACCCCCTGCTCTGGTGCAGGCCAATCAGTCATTGTGATAAGCAGAACGGTGAGTCAAGGTGTTTTCCCTGGGTCATGTCTCATGACGCTGAAGAATGACCTACTCAGCCCTGAAGATTTAAGTGTGGAAATTTTATTATAAGCAGATTCAGACTTCCTGCAAGGGAAGAGGGACCCAATAATGGGCTTTCCATTAAAGCCCTGTAGTCCAGGGGTATATATTTGCTACCAGCCTGCTCGATGTCTACCTGATTGATTCCTCATTGTTCTTGCCCAGCAATGGACCTAAACTTTTTCTGTTCCTGTGCTGAACTTTTTCTGTTTCTATGTGTTCATACATCTTGTTTACTTGTGTTTCCTGTTTCTATGTGTTCGTATATCTTGTTTACTGCAAACCTCCCTTGGTTTCCCATGCCTCCAGCTTTGAGTCCATAAACATTTTATTATTTCTGCTTGGTTGGTTCTTGTGGTTAGGCTGGCTCAAACTGCCATGTCTGCCCCTGCCTATGTTTCACCTGCCTTTGTTTTCCACTGGACCCCTTCCCTGTCTGCCTGCGTTTCAAGCTAACGCCTTTCAATTGGAGCCCACAACCCTGAAAGGACACACCTGGGAAAATGCTGAATGGCCCATTAAGATCTTTCCCTAGGACCTCCCCTGAAATCTCTACCCTTAAAACCTTATAGTTTGGGCTGGACTTTGAAATCTTTTTAGCCAAACCCAAGTACTAAGGTTGCTGAATCCAGTTTGATCTGACCCCACTGGTCAGACACATGGTGCCTTTCCTGTCACTTTACAACATTTCCCCTTATTTCTTAAAATAATTTAGACCAAGGACTTGCTCCAAGAAGGGAACTATCATCATAGATGACTATATCTATACTAATAATAGAGGAATATGCAAATTATCTATGACACTGTCACAGTAATGGCTGAACAGCAGGCTGTGTGGGGTGACTAGGCTGGCAGGGGGGTTAGTGAGGGACGACCAAATGACTGAACAAGCAGGCTGCATGGGGTGATCAGGCCAGCAGGGGGGCAGTTGGGGGTAACCAGGGTGATGGAGGGGGGGGTCAGTTAGGGGCAACCAGGCAGATGGGGGGGGCAGTTGGGAGTGACCAGGCAGATGGGGGGCAGTTGGGAGTGACCAGGCCGATAGGGGGTGGGGGGCATGGAGGGAGGGGTGACCAGCAGAAAGAGGCAGTTAGGGGTGATCAGGCAGGCAGGTAGGTGAGCAGTTAGGTGAGCAGTTAGGAGTCAGTGGTCCTGGATTGTGAGAGGGATGTCCAACTGCCAGTTTAGGCCCAATCCGGGTCTAAGCCAGCAGGCAGTTGGACATCCCCTGAGGGGTCCTGGATTGGAGAGAATGTAGGCTGGGCTGAGTGAATTTCATGTACTGGGCCTCTAGTTTTAATATAAACTAGACAGAATTGACTGGAGGAGCCTAGTTAAGTCCATCTGCTCAATGTCCTCTTTGTGACCCACTGTTTCAAGATGGCTTAATATTGTACACAATAACTCTTCATATCCCCATGAATTGCCTTATCTATCCCTCCTTAGCTCTAATTGGCATATATATCTCATTTTGCTTTATGTCTTTGGAGTTTTCATGCTTATGTAAATTTCCTATGTACATTTATTAAAACTTGATTCTTGTCTGGCCCACGTGGCTCAGTAATTGAGTGTCAACCTATGAACCAGGAGGTCCTGATTCAACTCCCAGGAAGAGCAGAGCAAATGCCTCGGTTGTGGGCTTGATCCCCAGTGTAGGGTGTTCAGGAGGCAGCTGATCAATAAATTTCTCTCATCATTGGTGTTTCTATCTTTCCCTCTCCCTTCCTCTCTAAAGTCAATAAAAATAAACAAACAAACAAATAAATAAATACTTGACTATCTCCTACTAATATACTGTCTGTCTTAAATTATTTGAACAGTTTGAGGGCTCAGAAACCTCATTTCTTTAACACGATCCTTTCTCTTTTCTGTCCACATCCACTCCTTTCCTTAATCATTAAGCCAATAGGCCATCAGATTGTGATAAGCATCAAACTATCTTAAGAACCAATCTGTAGGTATGTTGACCACAGAAACAGTGTTGTCAAGCTAAAGTTAACATCTTGACTTAAATTGTGTTTCAGCCACAAGCCTATGAAAGCTAACCAACTCTGCTGATCACATATTCACAAACCAGACAGAACCATGCCTGGTTAACATATACAATCATCAACTACACCTACCCTGGCCCCAACCCATCAGTAGAGACTACATTCCAACTCATTTAGCCACCATAATGAATGATTTCTCCCCTATATAACCCATCCCCTGGAAGCCACCAGGAAGCCAGGCTTTTGAGCACTATTTTACTTGTGACTCTGGGCTTGGTGTCATTTCCTCAACTAATAAGCCCTTACTTTCTTGGCTGCAAATTCCTGTTCTTCTTTGTTTGGACTTTGATGCGTGTAGGCAAATAGTCTCCTTTGGTCTGTAACACCAGCCAGAAAAACTAAGCTAGAAAGAGAAAAGTTTCCCCATCCCCAACATAAACAATACACACATTTGCCATGGGACTCAATACAACTATTTTTATTTTGTTCTCTTTGGTTTTTAATATAAAGTTTCTAATTATTATGATGCAGCCTGAACTGTTTCTCATTAAAAAAAAAAAGTTATTTTGCACGCCAATAAAATATACTCTATTGCCTCAGAAATACCAGTTGAATGGCTTCATTTTTCAAAGAAAGATCCTTGTTCACACATCTATTGTTTTTTTTAAAAATTCCTTTGTTGTTTCAACAAATTTATAACATCTCTTATAAACAGACACTAAGGGGTCTCTCTCTTTTTTTGTCTTTTCCCTTTCTTTTCCAGGCTAATCCTGAAAGGGAGGCGGTAAAAGGGGATCATTGTGATTTCCCTGGTCCCTGCCCTAAACGTGGAGGGTCCTTTTCGAACACTCTTCCATACAGGGCCATGACTAAGATAGGCAAAGGGGCTCCACTTCTGCTCTGCAGACGTCCATCTCTTGAAACCTGATCAGAGAAAGCAAAGGATTAATCCCCAGGCAGAGCTTGGTTTCCAGCCCTCATGCCTTTCTGACAGGGTCATTCTATTGTAAAAGCAGCATAAAATAGCAAAATCATGCAGGATTCGGTGTCAGAAGACCCACGTTTCAGATCCAGAGGTCTAATAGCAAAGGAATGTTGGGTGAAAATGTAGCAAATAAATCTATTGTACAGGAGTTAAATAAGATAATGTATAAAAAAGAGTTCTATTAACTCATAAAACACTACAGAAAGTATTAATTATTACTATCATTATTACAACTTCTCAAAAGAACACACCCACGAAGTAAGTTGTGAAATTGGATGCAAAGAAATGTAGACTTGGAGAAGTCTGAGACTAACTTCCCCGCTGCAGGCTCAAGATCAATCATCCCACATAGGAAGAAAAGAAAAAAGAAAGAAGTTATGGACTTCTTATTTAATGTATTTATCTTGGACCAATGGTTCTCAACCTTTCTAATGCCGACACCCTTTAATACAGTTCCTCATGTTATAGTGAGCCCCAACCATAAAATTATTTTTGTTGCTACTTCATAACTATATTTTTGCTATTGTTATGAATTGTAATGTAAATATCTGTGTTTTCCAATGGTCTTAGGCTCTACAGCAGCGGTTCTCAACCGCTAGCAGGGTCACCTAAGACAATTGGAAAACACAGATATTTTCATTACGATTCATAACAGTAGCAAAATTACAGTTATGAAGTAGCAACGAAAATAATTTTATGGTTGGGGTTCACCACAATATCAGGAACTGTATTAAAGGGTCTCGGCATTAGAAAGGTTGAGAACCGGTGTCTTGGGCTTTTTACAGCATGCAAATAAGGAGAACATTAGTTGCCAGCCACCATCCACAATCAATATTTTTATTTCTTCATAACCTTATGGTTTGCCTTGGATCTCAAAATCATATTTATGTAGAACAATGAATGCCAAATTATCCATTATAGCTTACAGACCATCTAGAACCACACTTGTCTTTCATATCATAGCTTCCACATGTTTTGAAAGGGTTGCTTGTATAATGGGAACCGCAATATTGCAATAATGACCCATTCCTTTAAAGATTTCATTATGCCAGTCTACCCATTCTATTCAAAGAAATTTATCATCCTGAAAACCTCCTACCTCATAATGTCTTTCAGGGGCAAGCTGACTCCCACTTAGAATGAACTGTGGGAAAACATAACTCGTTCCAAATGTGCCACTGAGAGAGAATTCCTCAAACTTGGTAAAAGCTGACCCCACAGGCTCCCCACAAGTTCTCAGGTCAGTGGTTTGACACTTCAGTAATGTGCATATCTGTGTAGGCAAATAAAAAGGAAGTGGTTAGCAATCTTGTAAGTATTTTCTCAGCAAAAAAAGCACAATTTTCAAGGGACAGAGGAATATATTTTAGGTTGGTTGCCTCTTATGCAGTTTTTCAAATTATAGGTCATAATCTGTTAGTGAATCCTAAAATCAACTTAGTGGGTCAGAATTAGTTCTTTTTTTCTTTTTCAACAAAGCTGAATGAAATAGATTATAATTTTAAAAATTAGAGTATTTAAAATTGCACATAAGTATAGCATTTCTAATTTGAATTATTTTATAAATGTTTGTTTCAATTAAATATTTCATATTTAGTAACAATTTCCTTGTAGCCACACATCTTGATTGCCCTGGGTCAGGATGTGAAATGAATTTCTTACTCTGGGCTCTAGTTAAAGACACTTTTAAAAATATTGCTTTAAAGTCATGTGACAAAAAAAGAAAATCCATGAAATTTGCATCTTTAAAATTTGAACCTAGCCTGCTAAGAATTCTTCTGTTCTTGAGTGCAATGATGGCCTAGAACAGGGGTCTTCAAACTTCTCTCATTATGAGAATCACCTGGTGGAGTTGTTAAAACACAGATTCCCGGATCCCAACTATAAGAAGTGCTATCAGGAATCTGTGTTTGAACACCTCCACCGGGTGATTCTCATAATGAGAGAAGTTTGAAGACCCCTGATAAAGAAGCCATTCTAACATATTTAAGCATCTCTACCTGTAAGTAATATTGGCCTTCTACTGTGTGCAGTCCATCAAAAGCTCCTAGTGCATACACCTCATCTGTTCGCTTCTCAGACATCTTGTAAGTCAAGTGACAACACAGGTCTTTCTGGCACACTGTGTAATTTCCTGCATTTCTCTTAAGCTCGGTAAAGGTGAACTCATCAAAATAAATCATCCCTGGGAAATCCAACTGCTCAGACAAGAATGGCTTGATGCCTTTGGCATAAGCACTCCAGTCAACAGGTGCAGGGTAGGTGGGTTCACTTCGGGGCCTGGACTTCAATTCTGAGAGCATCAGCTGGCCACTCTCTGTTTCCATGTCATAGTGATACACCTTGACTGCTTCCGGAGCGTAGATTCCACTTCCTATGGGTGACATAAAGAAACACAAATATTGTGTTCAATTTTTGCATTGTGACAAACTAATAGAACCATTCCCATTAGAAATTAAATACATGCCGAAGCCGGTTTGGCTCAGTGGTAGAGCATTGGTCTGTGGACTGAAAGGTCCCAGGTTCGATTCCGGTCAAGGGCATGTACCTTGGTTGCGGGCACATCCCCTGTAGGGGGTGTGCAAGAGGCAGCTGGTCGATGTTTCTCTCTCATCGACATTTCTAGCTCTCTATCTCTCTCCCTTTCTCTCTGTTAAAAATCAATAAAATATATTAAAAAAAAAAGAAAGAAAGAAATTAAATACAAACTTATGAAAGCAAAGGATTGTCAAGAGAGGCAAGGAGATAGCTGTTACATTGGAATAATTTGACTCTGCGACTGCTTACACTGAAATTGTCATTTGACTTGGATGGCTTCTGTTTGTTGGTGTTTTTTGTTGTTGTTGCTGTTTTAATTTAAGTTACTTTTTATTTTTTTAGCCAATTCAAAAATAAACTAGAAAATTCCCCAAACATTAAGAATAAATTCAGCTTTCCACTGACCTACCTAATTTATTTGTTTGAAATTATTTAGCTGGATCAATGAGTACAAACCTGCCTTACCTTGAACACAGATACTACATGGTGGGTCAAAAGTAAGTTTACAATTGTGAGTATGTGAAAGAGTTTATTCTTGTACTAGAGACCTGATGCGCCAAATTTGTACAAGAATAGGCCTTCCTTCCCCAGGCTGCTGGCACCGGCTTCCCTCTGGCACCTGAAACCAGGATTCCCTTGAAACCCGGGCTTTGTCCAGAAAGACTTCTGGTCTAATTAGCATATTATGCTTTTGTTATTATAGATTACTATTTATTAATTACTAGGGGCCCAGTGCACGAATTTGTGCACCTTGAAAAGAACTGTGGGCCATGAGGCAGCAGTGGGCACAGGGGTGGATCTCAGTCCATCTTCCGTGCCCCCGCCCAGCCCCTCCCACCGCAGCCCTGGGTCCCCTGTCTGCCAGCAGCCCCGGTCTTGCCTTTGCTGCTCCCACATGCTGATGACACCAGCCCTGCTCACACTCGCTGACAGCGTGGAGCAACTGGGGCCAGTGCCAGCAGCAGGTGTGAACAGGGCTAGCTCCTTCAGCGGGTGCAGGTGTAAGTGGTGGCTGCTGCCCCAATCACCCCTCAGGAGGAGGGAGAGGGGGAGATCAGGGTCGGCAGCTGCTACTCACAACCACTGATGGCGCCAAGGGATCAGGACCAGCACCGGATACCAGCAGCCAGTGCCAGTGGTGGCTTCAGTGCTGGCAGCAGGTGCAAGTGGAAGCTCTGGTGCCTGCAGCAGGCACAAGCGAGCCTGGAGCCAGTAGTGGATGTGAGTGGCAGCTGCCAGCCCAATCACTCAGGAGCAGGAAGAGGTGGAGAAGCTCTAAGGGGCAATCGGAGCCAGCAGCTGCCACTCGCACCCGCTGACAGTGCCCAGAGATCAGGGCCAACGCTGGATGCTGGCAGTGGGTATGAGCAGTGGCTCTGGCCCTAGCAATGAGCATAAGCGCCATCTGGGACTGTGGTGTGTGGGAACAAAGAATTTTTAGTAACCACCAGAGGCTTACCCCGATGACAGCGACTGACACCCCGCCTTTGTCTGGTGCCCCTGCTCACCTCCTCCACCATCCCACCATGGCTGATGCTTGCCATGTTCCACACTCTGCCGCCTGCTGCCTATGCCTGCCATGTACCACATGCATCCCCTGATGGTCAGCGCAGGTCATAGCAACCAGTTGTTTGGTTGTTCCACTGTTCAGTCTATTTGCATATTAGCCTTTTATTATATAGGATTGTATTATTTTTCCATGGGAATAACAATAAACCTATTTTTTCCCCTGCCCTGTATAAAGGATAAACTCTAAAAACCTGATCAAGTCTACAATGAATTTTTTCACCTGAACAGAATTTATTTCAGTATCACTAATAGACCCTGGTTGCAAAGTTCTTTAGATCTGGCTTTGGTTTTTTATGTGACTTGACTTCTCTGTAATTCCAATCTCCCCTCATGTGAAATTGAGATAATAAGGTTTGCATCGTTCTTTACTCACAGAGATAATGTTCCATTTAAGGAATGTTGGTATAGAAAACCTGTGCAATTATTCATTTTATGACATTAGAGTTAATAAAATAATCATTAAAGAAAAGTGTGCCTTAAAAAAAATCAATGAAGACCTCCTAAGACTGTCACTGCCACTTAGGTGAGTGACAGGTGTGAGTTACCTGTCATGTGCATGCTGGTGTTGTGGGTGTTGGCTGCAAGCAGGTTGACACCCATGGCCCTGGCCCAGGCCGAGTGGAAGGGAACAGCCGAGAGGAGGGGCAGCGTGTTGTACCAGGCCGTGGGGTAGAGAACGCTGTCAACTTGAAACTTGTTTACCAGCACCACCGCTGGGTCATGGGAAAAAATGTCAAAGCAAGTGAAAATGCCAAACTTCCCAAAAGGAGTGTCAAAGGTCACAAATTCGGAGTCCTTCGGAAAATCAAATTGAATTTCAGGTGCAAAAAGATTGTACTGTTATCAATAAACAAACAAGGAGAAAATTAATCAGAAAACTGCCAAATTGAGGTGATCAATATTCATAAAATCTTTCTCCCATGTATGCTGATGTACATATTTAAAACTGTTATACCTAAATATGGGTAAATTGTAACAAGTATGCCATGTCTGTGAGTTTTCTCACTGTGACATTAATAAAAAGCCAATTTTCCTACAACCAACAAATCAAACAATGAAAGTATAACAATGGTATTTAAAAGGTGAATATTTCTGTCTTAAAATCATAGACTGGATTTTAAAATATGACAAATTCCTGACTGTTGTTTTCCACTGTATATACCAACAGCACTGCCCATGCAAAGTCTGACACATGCCTCCCTGTGATACTGCTGGGTTTATGTAAGTGAGTAGGTTTAAAATTAATTTAGACAATGTAATATCTAACCCTCCTTAGTTAGTAAGCCATTCATAATTTTTTCAGCCTGATTATTGCTCCAAAACTCCACCTCGCCAGGGCTCAAGGGTGCAGCACATGTTTTGCTCAGGTTTTGATGTGGCCTGATTGTGCACATGTGTGTTCTCTCAAGGAGGATCCTGAGCTCTGCCTCCCTCCCTGCTGTGGCAGCCCGCCCTCTGTCTCGTAGGAAAGGTTGTGGTCTAATTGGAGCCAAGGCATGATGGGGTTTTTGCAAGGTTTCTTAGTGAGAGAAATACATTCTCTTTTGAATGTTGTTGTTATAAAGATGTGAGCCTGATGTTGAGTAACATTGAAGCTTCAAAGACTGAAGAAATAAAACTGTAGCAAAGGACTAAGTGCTGGAGAGATGGATGACTTCTTTTGTGCTTTTGCAGATAGTCTTCATCTGAAACTAGATCTCCCCTTTCTATGATTTCTGTGTTTTCAGGTACATAGCAAGGAAATTCTGTTTTGTTTGTTTGTTTGTTTGTTTAAGAAGGAATTAAGCTAATTTCCGTTGGGATTTTCTAGTATTGTAATAAGAAAAAAAAGTTAAAATGAAATGAATGGCTAAAGCTTAATACTCAATGTTAACAAATTGGGCCAAAAAGCTAACTCCAGTATTAAATCATGCATAAAACAGAGCATTTCTCCTTCTTCCTCACAGAATATTAAAAACTTTGTGAAGCTAGTTTAACCTCAGAACCCATATATAAAACCAAAGTAAATTAAATATTTTTCAACTAAAACGTAATAATTAAGAAACAAATTCATAGTTCTCTCACCTACATTCAGAAGACAAGTATACATGCATGCCACAAACAAACAGAAGAAGTGAGTCAAGTTTCACAGAGACACAAGTAATTCTCACCTTATGGTAGCGTGCCACCAGCTTTCCTTGAGAGTCAAACACCACATCAGTGTTGTATTGGTATCTCCCATCTGAGGGACACTTAGGGTCACTGGCATCACATGGCTTCTTGTCCCCAATATTTGCCACAACGTAGATAGAGTTGTCCTTGGCCAGGCAGCTGAGCCTTTCTTGCACTGGGGCATAGCCAAACCTAATTCAATAGACATCACTTAAACTTTCTATTATTTTATCAATTTCTGAACTTTCAAAGTGATACTTTATTTGCCTGTTACATCTATAACACAAGAGCTCTAGGTTTAGAATCAACAGAAAAGATTAAGAAACATGCAATATAAATTTCATCTTTATCAAAGCTAACCAATTTTATTGTGCCAAACTCCAGATTGCAGAGAGAGGGAAGCACAGAAAAGATGGTGGAGGAAAAAGAGAAGCATACTTTCGCTTATAATGTACTCCCACGAAGGCAAACGAAGGGCTTGAAATTTAACAGACTCTTCTGATGGGGAGGACCTTTTCGGTCATCTAAGCCATAGTCTTACTAGGAGGCGGTAAATAGCTGGCCCTATTTAAATCATTTTCTGCAGAGAACAAATGCAGTATTTTGTACTGGAATACATACATACATACACACAATACACACACACACACACAAACACACACACACACACACACACACACACACACATACACACACACACATATATATGATGAAAGAAAAGAAAGGACCAAGAAAAAAGCACTTCATTATTCTGACTCAGTTTCTTCAATCTGTCAATGCAAACCTTAAGATAAATACAGACTATAGGATTGCTTTTCAAAGTAATGTCAAAGCCATTTACACCGGCATTAACGATCTAGAATATTAATCCTAGAAAGGAGAAGAAACTGAGATGATGAAACAGGTGGGTGACAGCTGGCCTCATGAACTTGGAAGGCTCTAATTTGGAGATGAGCCATAAACATTAACATACTATAGAGGTGACACTAAGACCAAAAAAAGTTGTAGAGAGATTTCAGCAGAAAATAAAATACAAAATATTTAGCAACCAGAACGCGCTGTCAAAGAGGTGGATTCAGGCCTTCAGAGGACATTCAGTTAGCATGGACAATGGAAGTGGCCGCTCTGAGCTCCAGCCATGCTAGTTACCAGTTGTGAGATTGTAAGCCCCCCCCCCTTTTTTAAATTTTATTTTTAATTTAATTTTTTAAAATATATTTTATTGTTTTTGTACAGAGAGGAAGGGAGAGAGATAGAGAGCTAGAAACATCGATGAGAGAGAGTCATCGATCAGCTACCTCTTGCACACCCCCCACTGGGGATATGCCCGCAACCAAGGTACATGCCCTTGACCGGAATCAAACCCTGGTCCCTTCAGTCCCCAAGCCGATGCTCTATCCATTTAGCCAAACCGGTTTCGGCTGTAAGCCCCCTTTTATCCTCATCTTTTAAATGGGAACAGTTATTCCTGCTACATAAATGAAATGAAATAATGTGCCTCGTGTATCAGGTACAGTTCCTGGGACCAAGTAGGTGCTCAATAAATGAGTAATGGCCATTACAGATTTTGTAACTACAAAAAGACAGCCCAGGAAACTGAGACCTGACTCCTTGAGAGGCCATTCGGCTTTCTCCATGACCTCTCAGCCCTTCTGCAATTAATGTTAAGCTAATCTTTTAATGAAAGAACAGCTTTATGGTCTATTGTTTTAGACCATTTATTTAATTTTTTTAAATGGCATATTGTCAATGTTCATATTCATTAAGGCCTTTAATAAAATTATTATATAACTTGTTTAATTTTTATTTTCTTGGCTAAATAATTAGGGTGCTTTCATATTTCCTATTAGCTCCTCATGAGAAAAGCCTAAGAAAGCATGGGTCATGTCAGCATTCTAATTAACAGTATTTCAACATGGTAAAAACAACCACATGGTCCCTCTATTATCTCTTTTAAGAATAAATATCACTATGGAAGAAACAATAGTTTTTTTGTTTCATTTTTTAAACAATATTACCATTATATTAAGTACTAGATTTCTCCTTTTACAACTCAGAGATGCAAACTTGTCATATGAATAAGTGTCTGCAAGACTCAGGGCAGGTATGGGGGAGGCAATGGTAAGATATGTAGACATATAATACCTTAATAAAAAAAAATGAAAAAAAAGACTCAATAATGTTAAAGCCTCATCAGTCAATAATTTGTTAGATATTAATTAGGCTTCCAGACATCTTTCCCCTGGGAAAGTCCATTAAATCAGGGTGTATTTTAATATAAGCCTCTTGAATGACTCCAAATTGTGTCCTTCCTTCTCTGGGAAAAGCCCCCAAATCAAGTAAACATTGAGTCATGGTTACTGGTTCCTGTAAACACAGTCTGTGACATTCAGAGAACGTTTTGCCAAAGGTAGAAATCCCAGGGTGAGATTTGGCTCACATAGTAGAGCGCCCACATTGTAGCACTGGAGCATTCTAATCAATTTCCAATAGTCAAAATTATTTAAGTTCCTCTTTTTATGCAATAGATTTAGTTCTGAACAGATGCATGTATATTTAAAATTAACAAGTTAAATAACTTTTTAATGCATCGGTTTTGCCATTTAAAGGAATTATATATGAACTATTTCAAAAAATAAATATACCTAACATCTATTTGATTTTATACATATTATGCTTTATACAGTTTTTTAAAAGACAGTTAAGTCTAAACTACTACTATAAATAATTACTAGAATTTCTCAAAGGACAAGAAAACAAAGATGTTTAGATTCTGTTCCTTCTGTTGGCAAGAGTAATAGTGATAGCTAAGTGGATTGGGCATGAGAGTGTACAGGTTCCATGTGTATTTCTTCAGTTGACACTCTTGTCTACTCTGTAAGGGAAGTAGGAGAAGAAAGGTTATTATCCCTGTTTTACAGATAAAGAAACAGAGACAAACGTCTAGCACTTAGGTGATTTGCCCCATATCACTCAGCTAGAGGGTGGTAGAATGTGGTCTCAGAAAAAGAACTTCCTTTTTTGAGACTGCAGTTTCCACTCACCATACTGATTACATCTCAAAAGATAACAGTATCAAAGCTCTTTGAGCCCGGCCAGAGTTGGTCAGTAGCTGAGTGGTAATCTACCAGTATGAACCAGGAGGTCACGGTTCGATTCCTGCTCAGGGCACATGTCCCTGTTGTGGGCTCAATCCCCAGTATGGAGTGTCCAGGAGGCAGCTGATCAATGACTCTCTCTCATCGTTGATGTTTCATCTCTCTCTCCCTCTCTCTTCCCCTCTGAAATCAATAAAAATGTATTTTTTAAAAAGCTCTTTGAAAACATAGCCCATCCATCTTTTATACCACTCTTACAAAGGAGGCATGTGTTCATGGGTAAACCTATTTACTTAAATTTGGAACATAAATCCCACATGTCACAATTTTCCCACTTTGTTGAAACCCAGTTAAGCTCGTCTATTATAAAACCATGCATATATACTATACTACTCATCAAAGAAAACTGCAGTAAATAACCAACCAATCATCATCTTCTCAAGTCATTTACAAACGGGAGACATGTGCCTAAAGGTATACCTTAGGAAGCATTAGAAGCATCTAAGTCCAATGCCATAGATTGATTATCTATCAGCAAGAACACTAGGCAAGCTTATTGAATTTGCTATTGGTAATTTACAACATCACAATGTTTTGTTCAAAAATCAAAGAGTGACGACATTACCTCTGAGGGTCTGTACATGGGATCCAGTTTACTTCTGGGTGTGGGATATCCTCCAGATAGGGGTAAATGGTCTCCCTTGTGAAGACCCAGCCATAAATTCCATCTTCTGGGGTCACAATTATATGAGCACCCTACCCAAACCAGAAGGAACAAAGAACTTCCTCATCAATTCTGAACACTCACACTTCTTCAAGTTTCAAATTTCATTTGCAGTATCCCAGGCAGTACAAAAAGGGCAATACCTGCGTGGCTGCCAGCTTAACTGCTTTCTCCAAAACATCTATGTTCTTATTCATCAGGAGCACAGCTTCTTCTTTGGAAGCAGGTGTTTCTGTTCTGTTTGGTAATATAACCGCATGCTCATACACTGCAGCAATAAACGTGTCCAGAGCACCAACACTCAGGACAAGGAGGGCAAACAGTGCCACATATTTTGGAAAATAGGATGTAATCATAGCTAGAATTTAGTGCTCTTTGATAAACTCGGGTTCTTATGTTGCGTACCACTGGAAAACTTTCTATGTTAAAGCCCTGCCTGCTACCAGCTATTTATATTTCTCACGAATGCATTACACAATTGCACAGAATACATTGCACAACCTTGAGAAAGGATGTTGTGCAAGAAAACTGACCACCAGGATTACACAATTGGGTTGACTCAAGAGTGCAGCCCTGTTGTTGACAACGTTCAGAGGGCGATCCAACATTTAAGGAAGCATTAAGGAGCCAATCAGATTGAGTCCACCTCAGTCTAAAACTCTTTTTTTTTAGTAAAATATATTTTCCTGGTAGTTCAGTGTTTTCAGTAATAGGGCTAATATTAGGACCATTGTAGTAGGCAAGCATCATAATAACAATATGTTGAAAACTTATGTTCATAACTGTGACAGACACTGAACAGGGTACAAAGCAAGTCCCAGTTTTAACAGAGCCCACAAAATGGCAAAAGGAGGAAGAGTTCTGTACATGCTAATGTCTGGGCTCACTTGTTCTTTTTGTAAAATATGTTTTTACTGATTTTAGAGTGGAAGGGAGAGGGAGAGAGAGAAACATCAATGATGAGAGAGAATCATTGATCAGTTGCTTCTTGCAAGCCCCACAATGGGAATTGAGCCACAACCCAGGCATGTGCCCTTAACTGGGAATTGAACCGTGACCTCCTGGATCCATTAGGTGGATGCTCAACCACTGAGCCACACTGGCTGGGCTGGGCTCACTTGTTCTTGACCAATGGTCCTGAGATTTTGCATCATAAGAAAATATCAGCAGAGCCAAAACCAGTTTGGCTCAGTGGTAGAGCGTCGGTCTGCAGACTGAAAGGTCTCAGGTTCGATTCCGGTCAAGGGCATGTATCGATACATTGGTTGCGGGCAGCTGGTCGATGTTTCTCTCTCATCAACGTTTCTAGCTCTCTATCCCTCTCTCGTCCTCTCTGTAAAAAAATCAATAAAATATATTAAAAAAAAAAAAGAAAAAAGAAAAAGAAAATATCAGCAAAAACCAGAGTTGCCAGTTTCTCTTGAAAAGACTGCCTAATAGTCTAGAATACTGGAATTTTATCTGAACCGTGTAAAATATAGATAGATTATCACATGGTCAATGGTGGTGGTTGATCCCTGGGTTGATCTAATACTTAGATGGCTATTAAGTGACTAGTGTGTGTGGGGAGTGTACTCAGCATGGATACACTGGTTAAAGGGAAGGTTAATGTCTCCAGGAGACAGTGTGACATTTCCTCATGTTAGTCAATCAAAACGGCACATAATTTTAAACTTAGGAATTGCTGCCCTTTCCCTGTGGTTCAGTTGTTTGGAGTATGGTCCTGTGCACCAAAGGGTCACAGGTTCCATTCTTGGTCAGGGCACATACCCAGGTTGTGGATTTGATCCGTGGTCAGGGCTTGTGAAGGAGGCAACTGATCAATGTTTCTCACATCGATGTTTCTGTCTCCCTCTCCCTTTCTCTTTCTCTAAAAAGGAAAAAAAAAAATGTTTTTAAACTTACGAATTGTTTATTTTGGGAGTTTTTCATTTAATCTTTTTGGATTGCAGTTAATTGAGTGCAACTGAAACCCCAGAAAACAAAACTGTGGGGAAGGGTGGACAACTGTATTCAAAATGCTAATTCTGAGATGTGATCCTGCTCCATGAGGGGTAAGTAAGTTGACTTTGCAATATACAGATAAATACTTGTGTTTTAAAAAAATATTTTTATTGATTTCAGAGAGGAAAGGAGAGGGAAAGAGAAAGAAACATCCCTGATGAGGATCATGGATTAGCTACCTCCGGCACAACCCCTACTGGGGATCAAGACCAAAACCCAGGCATGTGCCCTGACCAGGAATCGAACCCAGGACCCTTCAGTCTGCAGGCTGACACTCTATCCACTGAACAACACCAGCCAGGGCAATACTTGTTATTTGAACAGTTACAGATTAACACTCATGTTTACTAGAAAATGTGTAACTCATCAAATCCAAGTCATTCTTGATTTACTTCCACAACTTGCCTATTGGACATCTTTATTCAGTTATATTGAATTATCCCCTGACCTCTGAACATTTCATGTAACTGTTCTACTGATTATATGCTCATTTTTCTCTGAAATGTCCTTTTCTCCAACTGCCAGAATTCCAGTTCCTTGTAGAGCTTTCTCAAATCTATTCCAATCCCGAGTGAGATTTCTGAGCACTCTTAGCACGTTTTTTCTTGTCCTGGTGAATGTCTCTCACTGCTTGCTAGTATCTTGACCCTTAATTTAAATCTTATACTCATATTTAGCTTTGCAGATGTATGTTTTGCCTTCTTAAAGAGATGAAAAGAAATCTTGATGTATCATTCCGGAACATCCATGTAAAATAATCTTTGAGGAATGACACATCCTAGGGTGTGACCCCTGGAGAACAAGGAAGTGTCTTACTCATTTCTAAACCTCATTACCCTAGCACAGGTGTGACAGGCTGTGAGCCCAATACATGAGTAAATGTGGAATGAAGGATCCAGAGACCTGAAAGTCCCGTCTATTCCATGTTTGAATGTTATAAATTTTTAGAACTTTTTCTCTTGCACTGAGATGCAGTTTATTTCGTGTATCTTCTACAATGTAAGTCGATAGCTCCAACCCTGCTTTCTGCTTCTGTTAGATAATTCAGAGAGTTCTAAATTCTCTCTTAATTCTTATAAAGTTCATCCTTATAAATTCCTTAAGTATAAAGGCCACATTATGATTCCCTGTTGCTCTTATGGGGTTTTGTACCATGCTAAGATCTGATGATGTCTTCTGATATGTGAAACTCAATTTTTTGTCTAGTTTTGGAATGAATCCCTTTGTTTGAATGTGAGTTCACTTAAAATGTAAAGCAATTCTTTCAAGGTTTAAATTCCTGATTCTAGAATCATTATTTCTCTCTCTCTCTCTCTCTCTCTCTCTCTCTCTCTCTCTCTCTCTCTCATTCCCTCTCCTTTCTAATTCTCTTCTGATGTAGAGAAATTGTTAAATTTTGGAGATTTATGTCTTTGTTTGTTCATCTGGTTTGGTTCAATAATTGAAAATCTTTAGATTCTAGTAATATTTTCCCACTAAATGTTGCTTCCTTCTCCCAGGCCTGCCTGTGAGTTTCCATGTGTCCTTATATCCTGCAATGATACCCATCAGAGGCAAATTCATTTTAGAAATAATATCTAAGAACAAGAAGGAAACTGTGTAAAGCAGATGGATTGCTTTTAATATTTCAAGTTGAAATTCTCACTCTTGTCTTAATCACCTGCCTTTCTGAATAGAATCAAAAGGAAACATGGGAATTTCCCTTATCCTCCCAGTCCCCAATTCCAGGAAATGTAGCAACTTATTATTTTTAAATCAATAGAAACTTGGATTAACTATTTTATTACCACTGTGGCTACTAATGCCTTTGCTTCATATGTGTATCAGGAATAGGGATTGTGCATGTTATGTAAATTAGGTATTTGTACATAACTTGAATGACAATTTGGAATTATTGTGGGATTAAGAAGTTCAGAATCTAAAGTTTTATATTAAAATAAATACACTCCCAGTCTTTCAGATCTAAGTTAATGACTTATTTACTCTTCCAGCTTTTTATGTGAAAGCCCTTGGTGGTATCCTTACTTCTATCTTTGCCTTTCACTCTACATATTGTTAAGTCAGGTGATCTTTTGCCTGCAACTCTTTGTGGCCTGGATTATTTCAATACCTTTTTGCTTGGTTTTTGAATCACTACTTCTGTTTGCTCAACAGCAGTCAGAGTGATCTATTAAAATGTAAAATTAATTGTGTCACTGTTCAAAACTTTTCAATGGCATTCTATTTCACTTAGAATAAAAAGCCAAGTTCTTGCTGAAACCGGTTTGGCTCAGTGGATAGAGCGTCACCTGTGGACTGAAAGGTCCCAGGTTCAATTCCGGTCAAGGGCATGTACCTTGGTTGCAGGCATATCCCCAGTAGGGGGTGTGCAAGAGGCAGCTGATCGAAGATTCTCTCTCAATGATGTTTCTAACTCTATCCCTCTCTCTTCTTCTCTGTTAAAAATAAAATATATTTAAAAAAAAAAACAAATGAAAAAAAAAAACACCAAGTTCTTGCAATGCCTATAAGACTCACTATGATACAGACCCTATTACTTCTAACATAAACCCTTTAGATGGAGGCTATAAATGGCCACAAAGCCAATGTTCTCACAGAGATGCTTCCAAAGATCATGATTTCAGCTGCCCTCATGGAGTGAAGAACGTGGCAGGTCAGAGAAAGCCAGACAATGGGACTGCTGCTTTTTTATTGATGACTGGGTGAGAGGTCATGACTGCGTGCCTGGGACCGTCACTATTTAACAATGCTTCCACCTTTTGTTTATTAATTACATCATCAGGTTCACTCAAGATGATTTCAGTGCAGCAGGCTGGGCCATGTTCACCATATTCATCAATAAAAGAAAGGACAGATAAATATTGTTTTATTCATTGTATCAGGCAATGTGCAACCAGAAAAATAGAATCCACACTGGTTATTTTAAGAGAATTTAATATTGGGTTTTGGTTACACAGGTATTTGATGAATTAAGGACAAACAAACAAAAAGGAACACTGGGATAACAGAGCAACATCAGGAAACAGATACCATTCCTGTTATTTGTAAACAAAAGGAAGAGGAGGGTGATAGGAGCTAGTTTTCCAGAGGACACTGGGGAGCAAAGGCTCAGCCCCCTGAGGGGAGGGCCCTCTCCAGCTGGTGCTGATGAACCAAGTCCTCAGAAGGGGCCCCATACTGCATTTTAATAGAAGATTCAAGTTTAACATATAAGGAGTATATATAGAATATATAAAAATAAAATATCAATGCCTCAATTTAATGTGATATTTTAATGTGAAAGTATTAGACTTAAAATAATTTTAGAGATATAAAATCTAAAAAATTCTGAAAATGTATTTCCTTAATTTTAAGAATACTTGCATTAAATGATCCAAATACACTGTATTTGGAGTTGCAATATACATATAATATTTTTAAGCAAACTACCCAATGTTGAAAACAGTGTTACTATTCACAGTTATGGGATTTGGGGCCTGTTGAATTATACCACAACCTTCAGGTGAGATAGTTCAAGGCTATGAATGCCCTGAGTCAGGTCACCTTTGATATGAATCTGGACTAGCCTCATTGCTTCTAGAACATCTCAAAACAACTTCATTGTGAAGATGAACTTCAACACTACCATCTGATTGGGAAGCAAATTTCCTCCTAATCGTCAGCACAGAAAAGTAGGTGAATTCAAATTATCTTGAATGTTAAGGGAATTCAGTCACAAGATTCTCAGTCTTCAAAGGCCATGTCTATGCTTACAATGACCCTGTAGCTCTCACTCTGCCTGCCCCTCAGGCACACCAGCACACACAAGGTCATAGCAAATAAGGTTAGAACTAAGATCTGATCCTCATTTATCTGACCTAAGTACCAAGGGGCAAAATTATCATAATACTTAAAAATAATTCAAGATGAGAAGTATACGTATGTGGAAATCATTTGTTTATACCCGTGGTCAGCAAACTGAGGTTCATGACCCACATGCTGCTCTTTGGCCCCTTGAGTGCGGCTCTTCCACAAATACCACGGGCTGGGCGAGTCTATTTTGAAAAAGTGGTGTTAGAAGAAGTTTAAGTTTAAAAAATTTGGCTCTCAAAGGAAATTTCAATCATTATACTGTTGATATTTGGTTCTGTTAGCTAATGAGTTTGCCGACCACTGGTCTATACTACTGAGATCTCCCTTCAAAGTTTCTTAGTAAACTTGGAAAGCCAATAAACACATTTAGCAAAATATATGCTGCAAAAATAAATGTGATAAAGTGATGTCCTATACCATCATAATATTTGCAAAACTATGATCATTAAAAAAGTGGCTATTAGCAGGTTAGTTGTTTCCAAATTTCTGATCCCTCCAGAGCTGGACGGTGAGTCCTTAGTGTACCATCTCCCAAAGAGTGACACTGTTAGAATAGGCTCAGATAATCCATTCTTGTTTACCAAACGCCCGTCTTTTAGTACCTAAAGAAACAGTGGGAAAAGGATAGTCAGCTTCATTAAAATATACATTATAAGCAGAATGATGTTTTTTAAATAGTCCTATTTTGATAAGTAGTTCTAGCTTTTCTACTGGTTTCTTATTAGACATTTTTTTCCTAAAATATGCTACACAATTCACTAGCCACGTAAACACTGTATACTAAATATATTTGATTATTCCCTTAAACTGTTAGTTCTTTCCCATCAAAATCACCTGTGGGAATCTGAAAAAGTACAGGTCCCACTTTCACGAGATTCTGATTTACTGCATCTGAAAAGGGTCCTGACCTCCTGCTCACTGGCACATTGATCTATTCTTCCAACCCTGTGGCCTATTTCTGGCAAGCTTTTCTTCCCAGTGGTTAATGAACTTGGTTAACCAGATGAACCTTTAGTACTAAGGACTTAAAAATACATCCTGATATTTGTATAATGCTTCACTGTTCACTAAATGATTTCACATGAATTATCACATTTGAACTTCAGCAAATCAGTGAGAACGATATTCTATGCCTTTAATGGATAGGAAATTCAGAGGTTAAATTTAACTGACTTGCATAAGGTTATATACTAGTAACTAGTCAGTTTCAGAGATCAAATTTCTGATAGCAAACCAAAGTTGCCTAAAACATTACAGCAAGATACTTCCCACGTTTATGGTTAAAAACACTTCCTGTTTTTAGCATAAAACTAGGGTGGGGAGAGACACACAGCAAATGTGGTGAAATCCCTACAGAAGTAATCCTGTAAGATAATGTGTAAATATTTTCTGAAGAGAGTGCAGCAGTTAAGACAATGGTAGTACTCCAGCAGACATGGCAGGTGTGAGTCATATACAAAATGTGTCTTCTGCCTGGCCAGCATGGTTCAGTGGTTGAGCATCAATCTATGAACCAGGAGGTCACAGTTTGATTCCCAGCCAGGCATATGCCTGAGTTGTGGGCTCAATCCCCAGTGTGGGGTGTGCAGGAGGCGGCCAATCATTGATTCTCTCTCATCACTGATGCTTCTCTCTCTCTCTCTCTCTCTCTCTCTCTCTCTCTCTCTCTCTCTCTCTCTCTATCCCCCCCTCCCCCTTTCTGAAATCCATCTTCTGATCACTCTAAAAACAATGTTTACAGAAGGGCCATGACTTGAAAGATCTCTAGGAAAATAATTTTTTAAAAAATCAAGATTTGGTTTGGGTTTATTTGGCCCTTTTTGAAGAAAGTAAGCACCCAGATTCAATGTGGTCTTAGCTAACCAGCCTTAGAGAGGAGAAGCACATTATCTTAGGCTTTCATAGCTTTATGATAATCTGTTCCATGAATACTCATCCCTTTTGTTTTAATCCTGTGCTCACAAGAACAAAAACAACAACAAATAATACACACATACAAAAAACTTCAGATCCATAGCTTCAGTGTTTGAGATAACTTGCCAATGGATAGTCCTCTTGAGGCAAAAGTTATTTTTCTCTCCAGGTAAATGAATCTATTTATTAAAGTAATAAATGGGTCCCCTCTGTTGTCATCTTGTGAGTTTGGCTAGTGTCTGCTCATTAGAATATGATGAACTTCAGGGAAAGCAATGCCACAGGGAATCTATACTTGAGAAATGAAGACAGTACTCTGGCCATGGAGCTCCCTCCAAGCATTGTTACACCAAGACCCTGCCTACCAGCTGGCAAGTGCAATATATCTTTTTAATGTAATCAATATCTTATTTCTTCGTTCAACAAATAAGCTGGAGAATATGAGACATGATCCAAATGATAAATGTACCATAAAGTAGCCAACTTAAAGGATGGGTGCAACCCCTTCCTCCTTCCCTCCCTCCCTCCTTTCCCTCCTTCCTTCCTTCTTCCTTCCTCTCTTCTTCCTTCCTCTCCTTCCTTCCTTCCTCCCCTTCCTTCCTTCCTCCCCTTCCTTCCTTCCTCCCCTTCCTTCCTTCCTTCCTTCCTTCCTTCCTTCCTTCCTTCCTTCCTTCCTTCCCTTCCTTCTTCCCCTCCCTCCCTCCCTCCCTCCCTCCCTTCCTTCCTCCCTCCCTCCCTCCTTCCTCCCTCCCTCCCTCCCTCCCTCCCTCCCTTCTTTCCTTCCTTCCTCCTTCCACCCACCACCTTTTGGTGTACCAGACGATGCTCCAAGCGATTGGACCACTGGCCAGGCTTTGGCTCTGGACTTTTAATCTGGTCTGGAAACTCCATAAGTTTTTTCTCCATAAATGAGATGATTTTATGACATAAGTGCTCAGTCTCACTCTAGGATAATTTCTTAATGAGACAGATACGTTTCTATGAGTACGTGACAAGGGGGTGAGGGAGGTTAGATCAAAGTACTACCCATGTTCCGTTTACATGGCGGAGATTATGAGAATACAGGCTACCAATACTACCTGACCCTTGATCTGTTATGAACCCTGCTGTCCTTTCTCTCACTTACTTGAAGTGGCCTCACATATTTTCAATTCATCGATACTTATTTGTGCCAGCCTGGCCACCTTTGAACTACTAAATTATAGTTCCAAAGCCCTCACTTCATATCTGACTATGATTTTCTGTACCTGGCATTTAAGCTTTTACTCCAGTTTCAATTTGCTCATAAGATTCTACCTAACCAGGTTGTATGGCAGCCAAGGATTTCTGTTTTCAGGGTTTCTCAGATTTAAGGCTGCACTATGTGTTAAACTAGGGGTATCGAACTCAATCAGAGAAGGGGCCAAAATCTAAAATCCAGCCTAAATCGCGGGCCGAATGGTTTACTGAACAGTCATAAACTGTCATTGTGATGGAAACGCAGCGGAGTGCAGTGATGACAGCGAGGTGCGGGCCACATTGCAAGGCCTGGTGGGACGGATTTGGCCCGCGGGCCTTGTGTTTGACACATGTGTGTTAAACTGTTGGTTTCACAGAATTAAATATTTTTATAAATATGATATATCCCAATCTGATAATACAGGCAGGCATTGACCATCAGCAAGCTGCAATTTTAAAGACTTTCTTGCTTAATGCTTTAGACAAATTAGTGTAGATCCTGTTTTGCTTATAAAAAATGCAATGACTATACCCTAGATATTACAGTCCTGCTTCTGTTTGCCACAATTCAGAGAAGACATTAAGGTTCAAATTGGTTGAGTGTGTGTGGCCTAGCAGATAAAAACCTACAGTCTTAATTCTAATTTGAGACCACCTTAATTTATAAATTAACTTGGTTATAGCCACTTATAATTTGTAAAATAAATATCTGATTTTCCATTTGTTTCTGCATGCGACAAAAGGACACTGAAAGTCTGTAAACAAATACTTTTCAATAAATGGGGCTTGAGCTCATAGGTTCTAGGTATCTTATCATGTTATTCCAACAAAGTGTCATCACTTTAGAATTACTTGCTGTAAATGTAAAAAATGGCCCGAATATTTCCTCCTCCTTTATTCATGCCCTTCTGCAATGTGATTTGACAGCTCTACTTATTGAGAGATCTGTATCATTTATTTCTCTAACCTTTGAAACTACTTTGGGCATGTGACTTGCGTTGGCTAATGAGACATTCACAAACATGGTGTAAGCAGAGACTTGAGAAAAACTTGCCCATTGTGGCTTTCCCTCTTGATACTCTTGGACTCCTTCAAGTCCAAGCTTGCTGGAAGAGGAAGGAGCACAAGGAGAGAGTGTGGCTCCAATCATTCCAGCTGTCTAAGACAAGGCCATCGCAAACCAGCCCAATCACCAGCTCGTGGCAGATGCATGAATGAGCCCAGCCAAGATCAGCTAAGCCTATTCCAAACCAGAAGAGCCTAGCTACACTCGGTTCACAGTGTCAACCACAAAGTACCAGCTAAAAAAAAAAAAAAAAAAATGGTTTTGTCTAAAGCCATTAAGGTATGAGGAAGTTGGCTGCACAGTACAATTTAAGCGATACAGTTGCCATAACCTATTTTGCTTGGCTTCAGAAAACAGATAAAATAAAAATACTCTTAAAGTTCTCCTACCTCAAATTTTCCAGGTGACAGCTTCACTTTAGTAAGTAGCACTTCAGGAAAAACATACTTTGTTCTGAATGTACCACTTAGGGAGAATACGTCAAATCTTGTCAAAGCTGTTTCTACCGGTTGTCCACAAGTTGTCACATTAGTCGTTTTGCATTTCAGCATGGTGCATACCTATGTAGAATGGATGTAGATAAAATGCAATCCCTTACATCTAAGTTACTTGTACTAGAATGGTTGACTCAGTTTGTAACTATAGCAAAGTAACTATTTCCTCATTTGATGAAGGGATTTGGATCATGTTCCTTATCGTTAACAGCTTTATTGGAAATGACCAATGATTTGAGAACCAAGCCCACCTCCTGGGTAATAAATGGGTTGAAAGAAAGAAGTCAGCTTAGAATTAGACCTAAACCATTAGTTTGGAGCATCAAGTTATTAGTTGGCCCAAGAGAGTAGAGATCTCTCTGCAACAGTAGTACTGAAGCTAATATTATGATTAAAATTCTGACCATCCCTTTTCTCTCATATCCTTTGTATAAGAAAGGGCAGAGGGGCACAGATATAAGAAGAAGATACAAATGCATAGGCAACAAACACTATACGAAAGTTTGAATTTTAAATATTTGTCATTGGAAGGAAATAAAATGAACAAAACACCTGACGACAAGAGAGACAAGATCAAAGTGGTATCCTACTCAGTGTTGACTTCAAAAGTTAAAACAAAACTGCTTATATTGAGATACATTGGCAAAACTACATAAGAAAGCCTATTGGAGTTCACTATAATATGTAAACTAGTTCATTAGTTAAATAGAAAATCATCATGGTCAGGTTAATAGATATTCTCTTAAATATGCTCAAAGCAATCCAATTACAGTTAACGCCTATTGCAAATATCATTATTACTGTGTGTGTGTGCATGTGTGTGTGTGTGCATGTGTGTAAGTGTGTGTGTGATGCTGTGTTTCAATGCGTGGAGTCATGCAGAGAAAAAGCACTTGGCTCCCTGGGGCAAACACGGAAAGTTCACCCTACAACTTACTGATACCTAAGCACTCCCTTTCCCGAGCTGAGATTACCTGCCAGTATTCTCTTCTCCTTCGGCCATGAAGTCCTGTGAAAGCTCCCAGAACGTACACTTCATTCCCTTTTCTTAGCATTCTGTAGCTTAAATGACAGCAGAGATCTTTGTGACAGACTGAAAGATTGCCTGCATTTTCAAAAAGTTCTGTGAAGTTGAACTCATCTCTGGACATAAACCCACTGAAAGTATTTTTCTGGACTGGGAATGGTTTGATGGTTGTGGCATAGGCACTCCAGTCCACGGCTGCAGGGTAGTCAGGAGAGTTTCGAGGATGTGAATTCAATTCCCAAAGAAGCAGCTTTCCCTCGCTTGTTTTCATATCATAATGGAATATTTTGGGCGAATCTGGTGCATAAATACCACTGCCTGAGAATGGAAAAGGAGTCTTCTTAACACAAAGCCAACACTGCCAGTTTCCCCATCAGAACTGAGCACCCAGTCACGTCACCACGGTGGTCCCAACGAGACAGCACACAGGCTTCTAGATACGGGGAACACCCAAGCGCTTCTCCTGCTCTCTCTTGAAGGAGCATCATAGATGTTCGATGTCTGGTATCAAATAAACTTTATAACAGGAATGTTTGTGAGCATTATGGAAAATTGAAACAAATATAACAAATCTTTGTATTTGGGAGTACATGAAAGGTACGGAGCGGTAATATGAAATTATCTCCTGCTCTCCACCAGGTTGGTGTTTCCATATCGCTCCCAAGTTTTTCAACACTCTTCTCTCCAATGGATAGGTCTAATTCCTTTCCCTTCGAGTGCAGGCTGGATTTTGCAACTCCCTTCTAATGAATGGAACACAGTAGAAGTGATGGTGTGTGATTAATTAAAACAAGCAGTGCAGCTCTCGCTCTCTGTCTCTCTCTCTATTTATCATCTATCTAAAGAAAGTCAGCTGCCCTGTCATAAGGATACATCACACAGCCGATAGAGAGGCCCAAGTGGCACAAAATGAAGGCCTCCTGCCCACAGCCTCTGAGGAACTAAGGGGTCCTGACTGCCATGCGAGGCAGCCTCTGGGTAACAGGCCTGCCAGCCCCATTCAGGGCTCCTTATGACAACTCACCCAGCTAAGGGCTTGACGGAACCCGAGGAGACAGTCTGAGCCAGGATCACACACCAACCTAGTCCCAAGTAGTGACAGATGGAAAAAGTGAGATAATAAATGTTTGCTGTTTTAAGCTATTTTTTTACTTGGAAGGTAAATTATTCCAAACGTCAATTAATACACTCCTTCTGTTCGTTGCCAATGTTTGAGCAAAGCATGTTTACTTCTGTGCTTTGCCACTTACTAGCTGGTAGCCTTTGGCAAGTGACTTGCATGCTGTGTGCCTCAGGTTTCTAATCTGTAAAAATGGATGGTAGTACTCATCTCTCCGAGCTGTTGTGAGGATAAAGGAAATAATGCACAGAAAGGTCTTACTGCAACCATAGCTGCCCAAATCAATAACTAGGGCCCTAGCTTATTTGGCTTAGTGGATAGAGCATCCACCTGTGGACTGAAGGGTCCCAGGTTTGAGTCTAGTCAAGGGCACATGCCTGGGTTGTAGGCTTGATCCCCAGTCAAGGGTGTTGGGGATATCCAGGAGGCAGCCAATCAATGATTCTCTCTCATCATGTTTCTATATCTCTCTCTCCCTTCCTCTATGACATAAATTTAAAAAATATTTTTCTTTATTAATTAAGGTATTACATATGTGTCCTTATCCCCACCTCCATTACCTCCCAATTCCCCTACTCATGCCATCACCCCCCTGGTGTCTGTGTCCATTGGTTAGATTTATATGCATACATACAAGTCCTTTGGATGATCTCTCCCAAAAAAATATATTTAAAAAAAATCAGTCACTAGGCGTTGAGTGTGTGTGGGAATAATTGAAAGATAGTGGTTAGTCTCTACAAAGAAGCAAAAAAAAATATGACAGCTCACATCTAAGGCATTAGCTCCTCTGCATTAGAAGGACTATCTGCAAACCTCATCTGGTCATAAATTACCTGTCATATTTTGTTGCACATGATGTATATTTGCTGCAAGAAGATTAACTCTCATGCCCATAGCCCAAGCTGAGTGGAATTCAATAGCTGTCAGTAGGGGCAAAACATTAATCCACGCTGTGGGAAACAGAATGGTGTCCACCTGCAAGTCTTTCACCAGAGTCACAGCAGGATCATGGAAGAGTATATCGAAGCACGTGAAAATGCCAAACTTTCCAAAGGCGGTGTTAAAAGTCACCAGCTCTGGGTTTTCAGGGGCATCAAACTGAGGTTCAGAGTAGAGGTTGTACTGTAACAAATGCATAAGACAAAACCAGAAAAAGTTTCTTTACTGAAGAGATGACTTGTAAAAAAAACAAAAACAAAAAAACAAACACACCTCCAAAGTTAGTACTGCTACGGCAGTAGATTTGGTTATGGTCAACAACAGAGACACTATAGGCAATGACTGAGACTGGTTATTGGAAGTAAAAATCCAAGGAAAAGGAATACAATCTCTCTCTCCACGCCTCCCCCACCCAGTCTGCCCAAATTAGAAGACAAATAACTTCCCATAAATTCTAGGTTAGGACTTTCTTAAAAGCTGAAGAAGCTTCTTTAAGGTGTCAGGGATTCAAATAAGAATGCTGTTATAGAATTCTTGACCCTTAGAAACACAATCGATGCACAATAAACTTGTTAAGTGGATAAGGAATTCTACCTCCCTTTTAGTGTCCCATGCAAAATAATTTCACAGTTTTTAAAATTGCTGAAATTACAAATGAAAAGAAGTTGTCAAAACCTGCAAAATCATGAAGGAAACTGTAAGGAAGCTGTCTGAAAATTATGTGATTGTTTTATTTATTTGTTTTTTTAATCCTCACCCAAGGACATTTTTCCATTGATTTTTAGCGATTATGGAAGCGAGTGGGAAAGACAGAGAGAAATATTGATGTGAGAGAAACACATCAATTGGTTGTCTCCTGCATGAGCCCCCACCAGGGTCTGGGCCAGGGAGGATCCTTGACCAGAATCGAGCCTAGGACCCTTTGGTCTTTGGGCCGATGCTGTATACACTGAGCCAAACCACTAGGACTGTGTTTTATTTAAAAATACAAAAATAAATATACAAAATTTTTTTCTGTAGCAGTATGTGATCAAAAGCATTGAAAAACAATTGGGTTATGCCGAAACCGGTTTGGCTCAGTGGACAGAGTGTCGGCCTGCAGACTGAAGGGTCCCGGGTTCGATTCCGGTTGGGGGCATGTACCTTGGTTGCGGGCACATCCCCAGTGGGGGGCGTGCAGGAGGAGGCTGATCAATGACTCTCATCGATGTTTTTAACTCTCTGCTCTATCTCTCTCCCTTCCTCTCTGTAAAAAATCAATAAAATATATTTTTTTAATTAAAAAAAATAAAAATAAATGAAAAGAAAGAAAAACAATTGGGTTAATATCACTCCTCTTGACTAATATTTACATTTCAACTGGGACTTCCACCACATTATTTTTCCACTCAGAAAATTCTTAGTGGAGAAATTGTTAAAAGATACAATTTAAGATGCTTAGAAAGTGTGGGTGGGTGTGGAAGAGGACATACACACTGACATGCACATCACATATTCACTTAAAAGGCTGGCTCATTCCCTGTCCAATTTGGTATAAAATTATGGCTAAAATTTATCTTGCTCTTTTAATTCAGAGTTTAAAGTAAAAAATTTTCTGATTTAACCTTAAATTCATAAAAGGGTAATTCAATGAACTGGTATGAAAAATAAAGGGAAAGACTATAATTTGATAGAAAACAGGGAAATTCACTTCTGTAAAACTCATTCATACAATTTGGAAACATCTTTATATCATTTCAATATTAAATGGTATCCAGACTACAGTCACCTTGGCATCCTTTGAATTAATATTAAAATTATGGTCTTATATACAGAATGATTTATCTCAACCATGGACTATTGCAACATCTTTCTAATAGCTCTTTACCTACATTTTCCCCCCAGGTTAGTCTTTTCTAAAATGTGATTTTCTTTAGTGTTCGTCTTAATAACAAATCTCTAATAACATCATGTATAGGGAATAAAGCTCAAAATACTCAACACAGCATCCATCACTCATAACAGCCATCATCTTACATACCCACCCTCTCTTACCTTGTGGTAGCGTGCCACCAATTGTCCCTTTGCATCATATACCACATTGGTATTGTATTGGTAATAGCCATTAGGAGGACATGTGGATTTATGAGAATTACATGGCTTTTTGTCCCCAATATTTGCCAAGACATAGATAGAGTTGTTCTTGGCCAGGCAGCTGAGTCTTGCTTGTACTGGTGTGTCACCAAATCTAAATCAAATTTTAATGAAGACATTTCAATAAGTCAGACAGAGAAAGACAAATACTGAGGATATCACTTATTTGTGGAATCTAAAAAGACTGAACTCACAGAAACAGAGTAGAATAGTGGTTACCAGGGGCCAGAAGGTAGGGGAATTGAGAATATGTGGTTTAAGGGTATGAACTTGCAACTAGTAGGTAAATAAGTCTTGAAGGTCTAATGTACAGCATAAATATTATAATAAGAAATACTGTATTGTAGCCGAAACCGGTGTGGCTCAGTGGATAGAGCATCGGCTTGGGGACTGAGGGGACCCGGGTTCGATTCCGGTCAAGGGCATGTGCCTTGGTTGCGGGCATATCCCCAGTAGGGAATGTGCAAGAGGCAGCTGATTGATGACTCTCTCTCATCGATGTTTCTAACTCTCTATCTCTCTCCCTTCCTCTCTGTACAAAATCAATAAAATATATTTAAAAAAGAAAAAGAAAAAGAAATACTGTATTGTAGACTTCAAAGTTGCTTAGAGACTAGATCTTAATTGTCCTCACTACAAAAAGAAATGAGAGAGATTAACTGGAGCTATGATAGTAATCATATTGCAATATATAAATGTATCAATTTAACACATTATACACCTTATATTTGCAAAATGTTATATGCCAATTATCTATAATAATGAAAGCATAATATATAATTAGACCAGATGTCCTTCCAGACAAAGCCAAGGCTGAGAGGAAAACCTGGGTCCCAGGTGCCTGTCAATGGCCAGAGGGAAGCAGGTGCCAGCAGTCAGGGGAAGGAAGGCCTACTCTTGCACAAATTTCTTGCTCTGGGCCTCTAGTATCTCAACAAATAAAGGCATTTCAACTTTAAAAGGTATTTAATTAATTCATATATAAACAATAACAATAGGACAGATAGATGGTCAATAGATTCATTAAAAAATGCTCAGCATGACTAATCACCAGAGAGATGCAAATTAAAACCACAATGAGATTCACCTCACACTTGCCAGAATGGCTACCATCAATAAGTCAATAAACAATAAGTGCTGGTGAGCATATGGAGAAAGGGGAACCCTTGTACACTGCTGGTGGGAATTCAGACTGGGATAGTCACTGTGGGCAACAGTATGGAGTTTCCTCAAAAAATTAAAAATAAAACTGCCTTTGACCCAGGGATCTCACTTCTAATAATATATCCTAAAAATCCCCAAATTCCAATTCTAAAGAATATATGCACTCCTCTGTTTATAGCAGCATTGTTTACAACTGCCAAGATCCCATCCGTGGATGAGTGGATAAAAAAGCTAGGGTACATTTACACAATGGAATAGTACATGGCCGTAAGGAGGAGGAAGGAAATCTGCCTTAGCCGGTTTGGTGCAGTAAATAGAGTGCAGGCCGGCCGACCCAAAGGGCCCTGGGTTTGATTTCTGGGTTAAATTTCTGGATTTGATTCTGGTTAAGGGCATGTGCCCAGGTTGCGGGCTCAATCCCTGGTGGGAGATGGGCAGAAGGCAACCAATGATCAATGGCTCTCTCTCTCATCATTGATGTTTCCATCTTTCTTCCCCTCTCCCTTCCTCTCTGAAATCAATAAAAACTATTTTTAAAAAAATGGTTGACTGAATGAAAAGATGAATTATTTAAATTTGACTATATTTTCTGTCAAAATGTTTTTCTTCTCCTGTAGGGCTATGAAAGGGGCACTTGCTAACCATATGGAAGAACCTGTCCCCCAACCTTTACTAGTTCCCATAGTTACAATGACCTTTGACTCATCTATACATTTGCATCATATGTTGTTTTAACAGGAAATCCAGAACTCAATCCTACTGTGAGATTAAAAACAAATGGACCATCCCAATTCCCAAAATTTCTATGCAGAAAGACTCTCTGGCTATTGGCCTCTTTTTTATATGAAATGAAATTTCTTACAAACACCATAGAGAAATCATCTCAGGGCAAGAAGGATGGGAAGAGGGAATTGTCCAAGGTCATGTAACCCAATATTCTCTTTTTCTGTGCTGTTAATCTCTCTAGAGCAGTGGTCGGCAAATCGCGGCTCTCGAGCCACATGCAGCTCTTTGGCCTCTTGAGTCTATTTTGAAGAAGTGGCACTAGAAGAAATTTACGTTTAAAAAATTTGGCTCTCCAAAGAAATTTCAACCGTTGTCCTGTTGATATTTGACTCTGTTGACTAAAGAGTTTGCCGACCACTGCTCTAGAGCAAAGAAAAACTCTTTCCCGATAGCTTTTATACAAATGTCAGAATAACCAGGAGTGCCTAAAGAAATGTGGTAGCTATAATTCCCCAGCAAAAATATGGCAGAGGAATGTTAAATAAACTTCATTTGAGGTAAAAGAATGATAGAGCATGAGAGGGGAACAGAGAGAGAGGATCTGAGCAGTAAGAATAAGTGTGATAGAATGAGAGACCTTTCACTGAAAGGTTTGAAGTGTACTATCTGTACCTCAATAACCTCTGAGTCCTATTAGGAAGTAGGATTCATATATTAAACACACATCCATGGCTATTAAATATGTTGCATTAGAACATTCCTAGATTACTTTTTCTCAGGAAAATTGCCTTTATGAGCCTAGGAACATGCAGTTGCATATCATAAGTCTTACGATTCACTAGAGACAACACAGTGAGGTCTTTCTGCCTGAGAAGCAGATTCCAATAAAATTGCAACATGGCACCTTTAAACAGGGACATGGAAATATTTTCCAAACACAATCTGCTGTCCACTTCAGAAATTAACTTACTACTTGTGTCCATGAGATCCTCCTCCCCTTCATCACTAGTCCTACTTAGAAATGTCCTGTTTGCATATTTCCCTAAAGTAAATAAAGAAACCATGAAGTGAACATGGCACTCCTGGTTATTCTGACATTTGTATGAAGTAATAAATGCTTATTCAATGGTATCTAAGTGCAACTTTTTAAAAATCCAACAAATGCCAAGATAAATGTAACACTAACCTGCCACCAGGTACATGATAATTCAAGATTTATCATTTTGATTTGGCGAACATGCACATTTTAGAGAATTGCTGTACTATTGCACAAACAACTAGGATAGGGACAATACCTGTGGGGGTCTTGACATGGAATCCAGGCCACCCGAGGGTCTTGGATATCCTCCAGATAAGGGAAAATGGTTTCCCTGGTAAATTTCCATCCATAAAGTGCATCTTCTGGAGTCACGATAATTTGAGCACCCTATTCAAAACAAGTCCAACCAAAATATTTTTCTCCATGTGTAACACAGACAATGCAACCCTGCAACCTTCCACTGGATTTCATGTCCCCACCATGAGTTAAGATTAGCAGAAAGAAAAGAATACCTGCGCAGCTGCCTGCTGAATCGCTCTCTCCAGAATATCTATGTTCTTGTTCATATGGAGCAAGGCATCGTCTCGGGAAACAGGTGTTTCTGTGGCCTTTGGCCGTAGGACAGGATGTTCATAGACGGCAGCTATAAATGTATCCAGGGCACTGACATGCAAGATAACCAGGGCACAAACCGCCACAGAGGCTTGAAAGGAGGAAGTGATCATGGCCAAGATCTAGAGGTTTCTGAAAGTACAAGTAATATTCATGCAGCATTTATAAAGGGCGGTCCATGAGTTCCTATTTTATAATCTTATAAATAGTATACCCTGCGGGGGCCTGACACGGCCGGGGATCTCCCTTCTCCGTGGCCAGCCAGGAAAGAGAGATGAAATTGGTTCTTCGTAGAGGCAGCCAGGGCTTGAGAAATAAAGAAATGAAGAGAGTCGATGCGGAAGTAGGTTTAAGCTGGGCCCCAGGTGGGTCGCAGACCTCCTCTGCTGGAGAGACTGACAACCCCTGAGCCACACAGCACACTATTTATTCTCCAATACACAAAGGGGGGTTTTTACAGGAAAAACAAGGAGCCTGAGAGGGGCCAGGTCCCACCCACTCCTTCCTGCCTGACAAACACAAGCCAGGAACTAAGAACATCTCTGCTCTCCCAGGGCAAGAAGGTAATTGACATGATTCTGTCAATATCCCAGGCTCAGTCAACAACAATCTAAAGAATGTCCAAGTATTTCGAAGGGTGCCCCCTACTCTCCCCCATTTTTAATTTGCATTTTTAACTTTTAAAACTGGCAAGTCAAATATATTTTGCATGTCCTAGATTAGTAACATTTTACATTTCTAAGAAAATGCATAATCAATTAAGAGCTTCAATTCTCTAGATTTTTTTTATATATATAGTTTTGATTTTAGACAGAGAGGAATTGAGAGGGATACAGAGTTAGAAATGTCGATGAGAGAGAAACATTGACCAGCTGTCTCTTGCACACCCTCCACTGGGGATGTGCCTGGTAATTGGCCTTGACCGGAATAGAACTCGGGACCTTTCCATCCGCAGTTTGGCGCTCTATCCACTGAGCCAAACCGGTTTCGGCTGTCCTCTAGATTTTTTATGAGGTAAATTTAAACTTTACTTTTTTATTTATTTATATAATTAAGAGCCAACTTCCAAAAAAAAGTTTTTTGCCACTGAGAGGGCAGGGTGGAGTTATCCTCCATTCTGTAATTGAACCCTAGCCCTCATCCAACCAATCAGGGTTAGCCGAGGCAGTGACATCACCACCGACCGGAGTAAAACCCCTGGACTGGGTGAAATTCGCTCTCTCTTCTTCCATGCTGCCGGTGTGAGTGGGACAGAGCCCATGCTGGCATGGAAAAGGCTCTTCTGTTTATTGCATCGGACTCAGCTCCCTGGTGGTCCTTGGGGATCACGAAGTCTGGGCGAAGTCTGGGCGTAACAGCCACAGGAGTTTGGAGGAAGTTTGTAGCCATTCAATGCAAATTACCACCTTCCTTAGCTTACTGGGAGAGTAGTAGAGCAATTAAGGTTCTTGACCAACCTTTCTGTTCCTGTCAACATCTCTTTTAGTGAAACTGATTTGTTTCAGTCATCATGGCCAAAAAAAGACACTTTAAACTTTCAGAACTTTAAAATTTTCAGGTACCAAATCAAATACTTAGCATTTCTCAAATCAATAATACTTTTACATTTTTTAAAGATACATTTCAAATATAAGGCATATTTAATTAATAGGCTAACTTCAATTCTCTAGACTTCATTCAAGGCATACTCAGATCAACATTTTAGTATTATAACAATTCAATACATTTAGATTTGAGTTTTTATCATTTGATTTAGTAACATCCGTGTTCTGTTAAGTTTCCAGCGATAGGCCTAGCCCATCCTCTAAATTTTAAAACGGTCACAATTTTCCTGCTGGAGAAGTCAAGAGATAAACTCTCAGCCATTCACATGTAAACTTCACTTGCCTCTTGGCAGAAATTTCAAGAGCTGTTTTAAATGCCTTCAGAAACTAGCCTGTATTCATCTCTACCACCTATAAGGCTAAAAACAGCCTCTTAGGTTTTTATTCTGAACCCAGTAAAGAGTTAAGCCCAGTGCAAAACTATAATATGCACACTCGTTTTAAACTGGCTTTCCCCCTTTACATGTGCACAGAAAAAAGATGGTGAATATGAGGCTTCTTAAAGTGGCTTTTTTTGGGGGGTGTCATTTATCTATTGTTTTTTATTTTATTACTTTTCAATTTTTATTTATTTTTATTTTATATTTGAGGAAAGAAAAAGATTTTAGGATAAAGAATTATTGGCAGTTGCTAAGAAATTCCTTTAATCTTTTTTACTTGGTTACAAGTAGTTTACACGTGGAGGCGGAGGAGGTGCAGATGGTATTCTTAAAGATTTGCACCCTTCCACTCCAGGCTGTAAGGTTGTGGCTGCACCCCACTTAAACATTCTTACACTCTCCTGTGCTGAATCAAAAAATAATGTAGGAATGGGAATTTTCTCTGGACTTTCTGCTGGGTATTGGTCACGCAACTGCTTTCTTACCTTTTCACAGGTTTCATCAACAAACCTTAAGAAAGAAATCAAGAATCTGACTCTGCTTAACAGAATCTCTTTGAGCCATGAGCATAGTTTAAAGCATTTAGAAGGATTACCCATGTTTTACTCCCAGCTAATTCAATTTCACAACAATACACTCCCTCTATCTTACAGTTCCTTAAATCTGTGGCACGCAATTCTAGGGAGCGATCCGTTGTCTTACCTCTTGTTGCCTCTTTCTGCCCACGCCCCACTTGGGCGCCAGAATGCGGGGGCCTGAAGCTGCAGGGATCTCCCTTTTCCGTGTCCCGCACAGAAAGAGAGATGAACGAGCTGGTTCTAAGTGGAGGTGCCCAGGGATTGAGAAATATTAGAAATAAAGAGAGAAGACACAGATAGATTTTAAGCTGGGAGCTGGGAGGGCCGCAGACCTCCTCTGCTGGAGAGACAGACTGACGACCTCCTAAGCTATGCAGCACATCAATTTATACTCCAATCCAATAAGGGGTTTCACAGGAAAACAAGGAGCCTGGGAGAGCCCAGGTTCCACCACTCCTTCCTCCTGGACAAACATAAGCCAGGAACTAAGAACATCTCCACACTCCCAGGGCTGGGAGTGCAACGGACATGATTCTGCCAATATCCCGGGCCCAGTCAGCAACAATCTATATATCGATGGAATGTCCAGGTGTCTTCTCATTTGGCCCTCTACAATACCCAACCACTTTTGAGGGGAAAATGTTGCCATTAAAGGAATACAATAAAAAAAGCATTACAAAGATTGTACAACATCTACTATTGTTAACATTTGATAGCAAATTTCAATAAAAAAACAAAATTCAAATGTAGTTACAACCACACCCTTTAACAGAGAGAATATAGTAACTAAAGTAACTCTGATGTGAAAAGGAATAATACAACATACCTGCTCTATCTCTTTCGCAAGGTTAGTCTGAGAGTCAGAGATACAAGAAGGTTCTCTCTAAGATTAGGATGGGATGACAATTATTAACTCAAACAGGTGACAATTTAGTCATGTAATGATCCCGACTGTTTTGTGTGCTTTAGTTGTTAGGCCCACAGAACAACTCTTATTGAAATAAACAAACCCAGTCTACTTGGGGTTCGGGGGAAGAAATGGGGGCTGAGTACCTGAGATCAACTCCCAGATCTTGCCAAGCAGGACATGGCAGGTGCCCATCAGCCATGAGGTAGAGAGACAACAAAAACACCAAGGAACTCAGGATAGTGAGGAGCCGCTTTGAGCCCTGCCTCAGCCTGAAGGACGTCCTCGTCTGGCCTCTCTCCCAGGAATGGAATGACATTAAGAGAGCTGAGAAGTAAAGAGTTGGAAATAGCATGTACAATCACTAACAACATTACCTCATGGCAGCAAGGATGACACATCAGAAAAAGGATCAAGAAAAACAGGTTCTTCTTTTCAAACTACTCTCATGATAATTGTACTTTTTTTAAAAAGGAAGAAAGAAAAGAAAAGAAAGAAAAAAGTAAAAGGAAGGAAGGGAGGGAAAGAAAGAAAGAAGGGGAAAGAAAAAGGAAGGGAAGGGAAGGGAAGGGAAGGGAAGGGAAGGGAAGGGAAGGGAAGGGAAGGGAAGGGAAGGGAAGGGAAGGGAAGGGAAGGGAAGGGAAGGGAAGGGAAGAAAAAGAAAAGGCAGGAAGAAAGAGGATGATAATATATCTCCAAAAAGGGCATAGTGGTAAGAAACGATGTTTTTGTCCCTGTCCCCTGTGAAGGCTTTCGTATGTCTTCAAAAGATTGTTTGAATCTGCCTTTTTGGAAGGAAATGTCTGCTTGAGCAGAACCAGCCTGAACTTTATCTTTTGGTGTCAGGTCTCATACAAGTGAGACTTGGATGGGCGTTCAACTTCTCAGACAGCTAATGCAACTCAAACCAAGAGGAAATCTGAGAGTTATGAAATGTCATGCCCTACTGAATGGAAAGGGTTGTGATACAGGAAGTTGCCAGTAGCCAATTGTTTTTGACCGATGGCCTCTGTAATTTCACGTGGTTCAAACTACCTCTGCTTTCAGCTCTCATAAGCTGAGGAGCTGCAAAAGTCCCTTTCAACTGGTAGCATGCTCCCGGTTCTTCAAAAGGAAAACAGTAACCAATTCTCTTGATGACTTTGCTTGCAAATCATTAACTTTAGTTTCCATTCAACTATGCCCAAAGTTCACTGCATTCACCAAAAGGAACTTCTAAAAATTGTTTTGGTCGGTGCTACAGACTGAATGTTTGTGTGCCCCACAATCCCCCAAACTCACATGTCCAAACCTAATTCTTCTTGTGATGTATCTGGAAGTGGGACCTTTGCAAATGTTTATGTCATGAGGGAGGAGCCCTCAAGAATGGGACTTCCTTCCGGCAGGGGCAGCTCAGTGGTTGAACATTAACCAATGAACCAGGACGTCATGGTTCAATATCTGGTCAGGCAGGGCACATGCCTGGGTTGCAGTCTTGATCCCCAGTAGGGGGCATGCAGGAAACAGCTAACCAATGATTTTCTCTCATCATGAATATTTCTATTTTTCTCCCCATCATCCTTCCTCTCTGAAATCAATACAAAAATATATTTAAGGTGAAAAAATAAAATAATAAGATTCCTGCCCTTAAAAAAAAAAGAGTCTGTGTGGAACTCCTTTGCCCCTTCTTCTGTGTGAGAACACAATGTGAACGAGGAATCGGGTCCTCAACAGATAACTGAATCTGAACCTTGATCTTGGACTTCCCAGTCTCCAGAACTGTGAGAAATAAATGTCCATTGTTTATAAGATGCCCAGTTTTTAGTATTCCTTTACAGCAGCCCACATGGATTATGATAGCTGGATTCAAAGATTTTGGCACAATAAGGATGATTGCCTTATTTTCAGGACAACAGGAATAAATCCAAAGGAGCGGATCAAAGCCCCATGTTCATGTGTGTTGGCAGTTATAGAAACAAGCATTTGAAAGGATAAAACAATGAAGCTGGAATCTCAGATACCACAGAAGGAGAAAAATGAAAAGGTAGTTTGAAAGTAGAAAAGGGTCAAGTCGTGGGACATTTATTGTTTTATCAAACAATATGAGGACGTTCGAAAAAAAAGAAAAGTTCAGAGTTTGAGTCAAAACTAAGGGCCAGACCTACAATCAAACATCTCCAAGGACTGAGATGCTCCAAGGAGTAACAGTTTTGTGGTTTAGTTTATATATTAAAGTAAAAAAAACTATATAGAAAGAAAGTTATGGAATCCATTGGTGGTAGATAAGGAGGTGGGAGACCGCAAAACAGGGAAATCTCTAGGATTGAATGGAAAAATAAAAAATGGAGAGATGCATACTTCTTTTACATTGATGGGTGCTGGATAGTTAACACTTAACATACATGTAATTGTATAGAGGCATGCAGGTCAATGATAACAAAAAGGCATGGGGTGGTCTGGCCCCGGTACCAGGTGTTTATCTCTGAAGGTCTACAGAAGAATCATTCTGGCATTCTAAGCTTATTTTCCTAGAACCACAAAAACAATGGAAAGGGCTTGCTCAATGTCAAGATTAATCTATCACATGGGCCTTAGGACATGACTTCCCATTATAACCTATGCAGTTAGGAATGTTTATGAACAGAATATCACGTGTGGTTACATTGAGTGTGTTAGGTCTGCCGGATAGACCTGTTTTCATTCATCGGAGCATCAGAGTGATTCACCAATTGTTCACCTTATTCATTTTCAATGGGCAAGGATGTAAAAAAGCATGCTTTAATGCCTAAGGTAGGTAACTACTTACAGGTCTGTCTAGGTGAGGCCTGACATCCCTAGATCGTACCTGCTGTCTTCTTTCCAACACCTGTGGCTCCTCCATTCACCCCGGACTTCCTGTTTTGGTTTACTTTCTGGGTGGGCAGCAGCTGGCCAGAGGGTTCTCTCCCTTAGGCACCAGGAGAGGGAGCACTTGTTTTATCCTAGGCTGGCAACTCCCATGGCTGGGCTTTTCTTACAAGTTGTCCTAGAGGCTGAGTAACACAGGCCAGGTGGGATTACATGTTTGCTACTGAGCAATGTCCAAATGGCCAGGGGAAGTAACAGAGCCAAAGAAGCTAGCCATTTCCTTCCTTCCTTCCTTCCTTCCTTCCTTCCTTCCTTCCTTCCTTCCTTCCTTCCTTCCTTCCTTCCTTTCTTTTTCTTTCTTTTTCCTTTTTTTTTAAGATGACAAAATCCCCCACTCAACACACCCCCACCCCCACTTTATTTCCTGTAAACAAAACAGTTCCTCAGGCCTTGCCTCTTGAGATGCAGCAAAGCCCAGCCCATCACCACTTCCTCCTAGTGCCTGCACATCCTGCCTCAGCTGCTGACAGTGCCACCATATCAGGGACACTACCCTGACCTGGTGGTTGGGATGGGGTTGGAGGGACAGACCCCAATCTGGGCGATCAGCCCCTAGGTGCAGGCCAGCAGCCCATGTGTTTAGCTGGAAGATGCTTGCGGCCCAGGGTCTGTTCCATCACAGAAGCCAGTGCCCAGCACAGTCTTCTACAATCTTATTGTTCATTTTTATTTATTTTTTAAATGTTGCTTTTTAAAAATTGATTTTAGAGAGGGAGCAAAAGGAGAGAGATAGAGAATGAAACATCGATTGGCCCTACCAGCATGGCTCAGCGGTTGACTGGCGCCTTATGAAGCAGGAGGTCACCGTTCAATTCCCAAGCAGGGCACATGCCTGGACTGCGGGCTGCAGCTAGTCAGTGATTCTCTCTCATCCTGATGTTTCTTTCTCTCTCCTCCTCTCCCTTCTTCTGCCCCCTCACGCCGACCTGCGGGTTGCACTGGCCTCCGTCCTTAGTCTTCTGTCCCCGGCTGCCCACTGGTTCGGACCTCGCCTCCCGCCGAGGAGGAACTCCACACTGAAGCTAGCCATTTTCTAGCCCTAAGACCTCGGTTGACTCTTTACATTCACTTTATATTCTTTCTCTTTAGCCTGTTATTGTTGTTGTTTTTTTTTTTAAAAAATTAATATATTTTATTGACTTTTCACAGTGAGGAAGGGAAAGGGAGAGAGAGTCAGAAACATTGATGAAAGAGAAATATCAATCAGCTGCCTCCTGCACCCCCGCACTGGGGATGTGCCTGCAACCAAGGGACATGCCCTTGACTGGAATCGAACCCGGGACCCTTGAGTCTGCAAGCTCTATCCACTGTGCCAAACATGTCAGGGCCCATTATTCTTTTATTGTAATGCTAATCCACTCTAGAATTTTCCTCCTCCATGTGGACATAACTAAATTCCCGTATGGCCCTGAATCTAATTACTGATAACTCACATGCAGGAATTTTTTTCACTTTAGTTATAGGAGTCAGGATGGGCCCTAGCTGGTTTGGCTCAGTAGATAGAGCACTGGCCTGCGGACTGAAAGGTCCTGGGCTTGATTCCAGTCAAGGGCACATGCCCAGGTTGGGGGCTCGATCCCCAGGATGGGGCATGCAGGAAGCAACCGATCAATAATTCTCTCTCATCATTGATATTTCTATCTCTCTCTCCCTATCCCTTCCTCTCTGAAATTAATACATACATATATATATATATATATATATATATATATATATATATATATATATATATATTTTAAAAAGAGTCAGGATGATATCAAGTGATAGTTAATGGCATGGACCACAAAGACATAATGCCTAGGTTTGAATCACTTCAGCTGGCTGACTATGAGTAAGTAATGTGACCTCAAGTGCCAGTTTCCCTCATCTGCCAAAGGTGGTAGCATGTGCTGAATAATTTTTGCTGTTATTACTGCCTCATGCCCAGAAGATGGCGGTTCTATTAGAAGAGGGCAATGCCCAGGGCAGCTCTGACCCAGAGCTTTAATTCTCTCTGCTCCTGTGCCCACCTGTTCTTGGCTACTAATTTGGTAAAAGAACTTTAACCAATCCATTGTCTCTGTTTTCTGATTGTTCTCTCTCTTTCTACAAAGCCTTTTGTGCCAATCTGCCCTGAATGCTTTATTCCGAAATTATTAAAAGGAAGTCCATTTCTACCAGCTAATTTTTAATGTTTTCTCTCCAACTGTACCACAGATATTTCTCTCTGATTAATAATTTTAACTCCTTAATTCATACATCAACAGATCCACACACAACACACACGTGCACACAACTTACCGAGAAACTCTATTACTCATTTATTATTGTTGTGAATGCGGAATGGCACAGCCAGCCACCTGGAAAACAAGCGTGGCAGTTTTTGAAAAAGCTACTCATGGCCCCTCCCCATCCTGGGTGGAACAGTAAACAGGGAAGTAGGGCAGAATCCCAGTGCCTCCTACATCTTGTTCCCTGCTCTTGAAGAGGAGAGTACAGGACAGTGTTGGTGGAGAGTTTAGAGGCCTCAGTACAGGAAGAATTTCTTTATGAGCTATACTTCTGTTAGGCTGAGCCATTAACCAAAGTGACCACATGCAAAGACAGAGGAGAAAAGCCGACATCTTGCATTTGTCTGCTTTGAACACCCAGAATCAGAGTCATACCATAGTGCTGCTCAATGGAATTTGTTTCTATGGAAGATCAATGATCCATGAATGCACAGTATATATGTGGGAGTGCTCACTCTTCTAAATTAACTCACCAAGGTCTTGAGAGCTGGGTTAGCACAAATTTCCCAGCAACAAAAATGAGGAAGTCATGGGCAGGTCTTCTTTTCCTATGCATTTCTCTCCCCCCTCCCCCCAATATTGCTGTTTTTCCTTAAGATATTCTTCTTTTCTTTCAGAAGATGCACGGGCATGTATAGAGTCCAATGCTGCTGCTTTATTACTATGAGATGATAGTGCCACTTCCTAATGCATAGCCCTGTCCTCCTACCATTCGTGTTCCACATCTAGAGACAGGACCTGGCTCTTGGGAATGGACTCACCAACAACTGAGTAACTGATCTTCATCAGCTGAGTAAATAAGAGGTAAAAGGACCAAGTAATAGTGATAAAGCAGAAAACAATACAGGAAATGAATATAGGCTGAAGTGCTGAAAGTATATGAAGAAAAGATATCAATATTATGTTCAAATATTTATGTACACTGGTTTTAATTTTTTTTTTTTAAAGGAAAACAACTCTATAAGAATTCATACAACAATTGATTTCATGGTGGCCATTTTCAAAATCTAAATATATAAAAGGCTAATAGGCAAAGTGTCTCCTCGGGAGTTTGACCCGTAGACCAGGAGTTGGATTGCTCGCTGTGATGTGCATTGACCACCAGAGGGCGGCATGGAACATGGTGTGTGGCAGCAGCGGTACTGAGGGAGTGAGGGAAGAAAGAGGTGGGGTGGTGGGGAGGTAGGGGGCAGAGATCCTGATAGGCCCTGATCACTGGCCAGGCCTCGGGATCCTGCCTGTGCATGAATTTCTGCACTGGGCCTCTTGTGACAACTGATTTGGTATTCAAATTTGTCTTAAATGACAAAAACTTAAAAATGAAATAATAATGTACTACTTTTTGTATTTGTCATGCTTTTTGTCAACAAGAAACAGACTTTGAATTATTTGTTTTAGTAATGATGCACTAAACTCAGAAGTTGTGCTGAACCCCAATCCTTCCTAGATTGTCACCTATAACTCTCAACTATAAACAGGCTGAGGATAGAATAGACTGTGGATTTTCTGAGAAAACTAGTATAAATATTTAAGATTTGCAAGTTGTTCTTAATAAAGGCTGAATAAACGGGCTTTCTTTAGTTCCCTTTGTTAATACTTTAGATGTGTTTTTCTTTCTGTCTGAATATGCTATATCTGAGTCTAACACTCCTGTGAGTTTTTCATAAATAGAGGACATATATGATATTGATACCAAAGGAAAGATAACTGTCATAGTACTAATGTTTGGGTCATTCCTTTTTTATAAGATTGTATAGAAACAGAGATATGTGTTTCTTTACTTTCACTTACTAGTAATTGTACTTAGTGAAAATTAGTTTGAAAATTATGTCAGTATTCATTATTCACCTCTTTTACCATCTAGATTTGAGAAGGTATATTTAACATATTCAAATCCTCACAATTTAATAAATAAGTAAATAGAATATTGCATTAATGTATGATATTTAATATCCTATGTAAAATAATGTGTATTTGAGGGGGAAACTAGTCATGCAACTACCATACTATCCAACAGTTGCATCTTTCCCAGGCAGTTATTCCAAATGATGAAGACATGTTCACACAAAAATCTGAACATTAATGTTCATAGTAGCTTTATTTGTACTAAACATAAACTGGAAATAATCCAGGTGTCCTTCAATAAATGATAAAGAAAGCTGTAGACCAGTACCATGGAATATTCCTCAGCAATAAAAAGAAATGAACGATAGATACATGCAACAATGCAAATGAATCTTAAGAGCAGTGTGCTGAATGAAAAAAGGCCAGTCCCCAAAGTTAACAACATACTGTGTGACTCCAACATCCTTGAAATGACAAAACTATAGAAATAGAGAACAGATTAGTGGTTGCCAGAGATTAAGGAAGGTGTGAGTGTGAGAGGGAACTGGATGTTCTATAAAGGGCAACATGAAGGATGGAGAATGTTCTGGATGGATAGATGGATGGATAGATAGATAGATAGATAGATAGATTTCAGAGAGGAAGGGGGAGAGAAAACATCAGTGATGAGAGAGAATCATCTATCAGCTGCCTACTGCTCGCCCTTTAATGGGGACCAAGTCTACAACCAGCACTGTGCCCTGACCAGGAATTGAACAGAGATCTCCTAGTTCATAGGTTGAGGCTCAACCACTGAGCCACGCTGATTCCATCAATATATCCTGGCTATGATTTTGTACTATAGTGTTGCATCATGTTTCCATTGGGGAAAACTGAGTAAGAGTATACATGGCTTCTGTATATTAATTCCTTTTTAAAATAAAAATGCTTTGATTGATTTTTGAAGAGGGAGAGGAAGAGGGAGAAAGAAACATCCATCACATGACCCTTCCTTTCATGTTCTTGCAATCTAACCTGTCACTTTTTGGTGTATGAGACCACACTCAACCAGCTGCTCTACCAATTAAGTCACACTGGTCAGGGCTTTGTATTAATTCTTACAACTGAATAAAAAATGATCCCCAGACTTATAAAGTTTAATTTAAAAATATAACTTGTGATTTATTTGTCCTTTTTATTTTCCCTTTGATTAATTTGTATATCACATATGCATAGGTTGCAACATGGTCTTAACATAAAAGATACATTTTCTTTTATTATTATTACATGCTGCATTCGCCCACATAAAATAGTCAGTCTCCTGTTAAAGGATTCTTTTCAGCTGGGCACCTTTGTTACATTTAGAGGAATATAAACATATAAAAACATAAATAAACACAACGATTTCCTTTGAAAGTTCTACCCTGTCTTTTGGTTTCATTGCTCGAAGTTCCTCTATTTTTTAACTTTTTTTATTTTGCCACTTATTTCAATTTGACTTGCAAAATCATAAAACGAGGAAGGCACAGGGTTAGTTTCATACAAAGTGTCCCTAAATACACTGGCATCCGCGGCGGCCACATGTGTTGACAACAATCTGTTGGGAACAGAAACAGAAAGTTCTCTCACCAGAAATCTTGGAATCTTTGTGGTGGCTTTGAACTCTCCACAATCGATAGCGCTGGTAACGGTAACAGCGGGTCGGGTCCTGGGTCCTGAGCGGCCCCCCCCCCGGACGCCCCCCGCGTGGTGGAGGTGGGAGCCCAGCCGCTGCCCGGCAGGAAGCTGCCGGCAGATCGCCGGGTGCAATAGCGGCCTCGCGCGGCAGCGTCGGAAACTGCAGGCACTGCACATGTTCTAGTCTAGGCCCCTGGAAGGAGGAGGGTCGACCTTGCCCAGCCTGTGCTCTGCCAAGAAAAGCACTGAAGTGGGACCAGGGCGGTTTAAGCATTGAAGCTGGGCTAGGGTGACCGAGGCCTGGACCTGTTCTGCACCCCATACGAATGCAGCGGGTCGGGGTCACACTCCTTCCTGGTGTCGTTCAGGGAAACGGGGGATCTGTGACAGCACCCTCCTCCTCCACCCTCCCCCCCCTCCCCCCGCCCTGCCACCCCATGCACTCTGAGCACTGGACCACCCTCTGGGGATCTCCTATTGAAGGGAATTTGGGGGAGAGGGAGAATGAAGAGTTCATGGAATTTGTGGATATTTGATTTTGGCAATTAGTGTCAAAAAGTATTCCAAAAACTGTTGCACTTCACGTCGCTCTCCATCATCCTCAATCTTGGTTTTGTCATCCTTTAGTTGTTTTTTCTTTTCGTTTTGGTGGTGTGGAAGGGCATCACATTATGGTTTAATTTGACCCTTTAGGATCTGTTTTACTTCTATTCTTCCCCACCTCACTAAGATGTACCACCGTCCACCCTCACCCTCCTGCCAAAACCTGGGGTCATCCTAAATTTCTCTTCCCTTTCCCTCCACATCAGCAGATCTTGTTGGTTCCACTTCCAAACACATCCTTCCTTTCCTTTTCCGCCACCACATCCCTGACCCAAATCATTAAAGTTTCTCTCAGAGCTTCCAGAGTTGAATTCCCTCCAACTCTGCTCAATCACATCCCGCTCACATCCACATGCCCCGCCAATAACCTTCCTGAAACATGAATCAAATCTAGCATTCCCTCCTTAAAACCGGCCCCTCCCCGCTTCCCCAACTTCCTCTCTTTACTAGACTTTAGGTGTGCAGGCCACAGTCTCAACTCTGACCACCTCCAGCCCCTTTGCACATGCTGTGGTCTGCTTTCCTCTCATTCTCACACTTCAGACCTCAGTTCAGAAGCCCCACCTCCACAGAGAAGCCTTGTCTACCAGTAAATTAGGACCCCAGTCCCAGTCAACCCATCAGTTCCTCTCTCACTTCACCAAGAGGTTTTTAGAGATTCTGGTATTTATCTTATTATCTTCCTCTGAAGTGTAAGTTAGATAAAGGCAGAGGCTGTGTTTATCTTGACCACAGTGAAATCCCTAGCACATTATCACAGGATCGGTTCAGATAAGACATTCAGTGATTATGTTTGCAAGCTAAACAGATAAAGCCATTTCTTCTATTTAAGAAAAGTAAATGTGTCCTGATCCAATGGAGCTGGATCAGGAGGTGTGAGAGTTACACAATGGAGACACTCTCTTCAAACAACAGCATGGATTTTACATGACATCGGAGAAATCCCTTCACTAACATACAAGCATTCCTGTGGAGTCACCTGCTCTGGGAATGGATGTATCAAATAGAAACGTGTGTGTATGTGTGTGTTGTGTGTGTGTTTAAAACATGGCAGAATTGAAACAGATTATGGGAAATGAATTTTATGTCAAGCATTTCTTGTGAATCCAGATAATTGAAAATATGTTGTACAAATAGAAATCTTAGGTAATGCTTTTCTTCTACTTTCCATACATATTTTTAAATATATATATATTTTATGGGAGGGGGGGCATTGGTATATGTACAAAAATAATAATTTAATTAAAAAATGTAAAAAAATAAAAATATATATTTTATTGATTTTTTTTTTTACAGAGAGGAAGAGAGAGGGATAGAGAGAAACATCGATGAGAGAGACATCGATCAGTTGCCTCCTGCACACCCCCTACTGGGGATGTGCCCACAACCAAGGTACATGCCCTTGACCGGAATCAAACTTGGGACCTTTCATTCCACAGGCTGATGCTCTATCCACTGAGCTAAACCAGTTTCTGCTCCATACATATTTTTTAAAAGAACTGAGGGCCAGAAAATGTTAACAGTTTTTGCATAATAGGCAGGAAATTTGCCTTTGAACAAAAACAAATCTGAGGACAAAGATCAATCATATCTTTTTAAACCTGATTTCATAGTATTGAGTCATTTATATTAACTTTAAGCATATAAATTCTTTCCCTTAAACTCATCGATAATCCCTTTAACACAATCAAAGTTATTAGTTAATTTCAATTCACATACTTTCTTTCCTTGTTAATATACAAAGGTACATTCACAGAATCAGTACATTTTGAATAAAAAGTAAACAGAGGAAACAGGAGACCTAGAGTCAATAACATCTTCAAGGCCAAGTTTGATTATTTAGAAACACAAAGTTTTGTTGATTCTTCAACTACTTTTCTCAGATGTAATACTTTAAATATGGCTGGCTCAGCAGGTCAGCTTTTTTTTTTTTTTTTTTTTTTAAATATATCTTTATTGATTCCAGAGAGAAAGGGAGAGGGAGAGAGAGACAGAAACATCATTGATGAGAGAGAATCATCAATCAGCTGTCCCCCACACCCCCTCCACTGGGGATTGAACTCGCAACCCAGGCATGGGCCCTTGACCAAACTCGAACCCGGGACCTCTCAGTCCACAGGCCAACACTCCATCCACTAAGCCAAACTGGCCAGGGCTCAGCAGGCCAGCTTTGCAGGACAACAGTATGTGCAGCCCATCATGGATCATTCAAAAATATATGGACACTTCCAGCATGCTGGTGTGGGTTCATGGAGTTCTGTGTGGGAAATTAAGAACACTTTTCAAATTTTCCGATTTTAATGTTCAAGGCAGGAACATCCATCTCCCAACCCCGTATCTCCAAGGTCTCAAGGCTGGTTTTCATCAGGCAAGAGAGGTCTTTGCTCCTCCTCTGTACCAACGATATTTTCAAGGTTTGATCTACATTGAAGGAAAGAAAAAGAAAAACCGTATTATTTCTCATCCTAAAAGCACTCAGTACCTATGTCTCTACCCAACTATCTCCTCAAAGGTATCTACCAAGTCCTGAGGCTTAGAGTACCCAGCAATCTGCTGACCGTGAGAATGGAGGGAAAATGGGATTTCTTTTTCATTTCCACAAGCCAACTTTTACTTTTTTTCCCCCCTTAATAATCTTTTATTGTTGAAAACATTACATATGTCCTTTTTCCCCCCCATTGACTCCCTCCAACCTGTCCCCACCACCTACCCCAGGCCTTAATCACCCTATTGTCTGTGTCCATGGGTTATGCATATATGCATAAACGGTCTCCACAAGCCAACTTATTAATATTATTATTATTATTATTATTATTATTATTATTATTATTTATTGATTTCAGAAAGGAAGGGGGAGGGAGAGAGAGGTAGAAACATCAATGAGGAGAGAAAATCATCGATTGGCTGCCTTCTGCATGCCCTATGCTGAGGATCAAGCCAGCAACACAGGCATGTGCCCTTGATGAATTGAACCCAGAACCCTTCAGTCTGCAGGCCAATGCTCTAATGAGCCAAACCAGGTTGGGCCGCAAGCCAACTTTAAAGGGAGAAAGAAGTTCAAGAGTTGACCAAACCTTGTTCTTCTCCTTGAGTACTCCAATAGATAAAACAAGCCCATCAATAGTCCCTTTAAAACAATCAAAGTTACTAGTTAATGTCAATTCTCCAAGTCACGTTTCTCCATACAAAGAAAATGAAAATAAAAGACTGATTACTCACACTTGTCAGAGCCCACAGACCTTGTACAGCTGCTGCCCATTCAAAACCAATTTTCTCATACAGAAATCCACCCAGTGTTGGTCCCATAAAAGCACTATCAACGAAAAGAGGAAAGGGTATTAAGAAAGAGAAAGAGAGAAAGGGGGGGGGGGGGGGGGGGCAGGAAGAAGGGTGAGATCCTTCCAAAAGGTTGCATGATCCTTTAGTTATAGGTTTTCATTGAATTGGAACTATAAGTACTAAAGAAAAAAGGTGATTCCTGGACATAGCATTGGGTAAAAGGAAATAATTCTACCTGAAAAATGATGATGCTTAAATCTTTTAAACAATTATACAATTACAACTGCTTCTGAAAAGTTAATGCCTTACACAAAAATAAAGTAAAATAAAGACAGGCATTCAAAATATTTTTTATATTATTCTCTCTACTCTTCTCAGTGTATCAAAGATAGTTTAATTCATTACATATTTATGGATGATATCTACATTGACAGCATACAGTTATCCCTCTCGCATGATAGAGTAAAAAATAAGTACTAAATAAATTTTAAAAATGGAGATATGGTTCTGATAAGTGAACTTAAAAATATCATTTTTATAAGACAATGTGAATGGGACCATTTTGATTAGACATATAAAACTGCTGGCATAACCAATGATCTTAGAGTCAAAGGCTACAGGTAAAACTCCGGTTCTGCCCTAAACAAATTGGGTGCCTTTGGCAACTCATCTGGTGTCTCCATTTCTTCATCTGTAACTGAGGGACACTATTTTCCATCTTACCGGTGTGAATGGAATTAAATGGCTACTCACCCAACAGACCACACTGCACTGAAGAGACCTGACACGAGTGCCAGTGTACTTAATCCTTCTTCAAATCCATTTTCACTGCAAAGAGAGACACGGGTGTATCAGTGAGTGCAAGGGGAGCTGTGTGATAGGAAAGAACTGTGTATGATAGGTAAGTAAACCAAGAGTAATCTGAACAAAACCAACAGCCAGATTACTCCATTTCTAAGATAAAAAGCTAATCTAAGTGGAAGGAATTTTCATATTAATGTCTACTCCCTGGTTTTCTAAAAAATTATTTTGTTGCATATGTATGATACAACCTTAAGAATCACAAACTACTTGCACTAAATGCTCAGAAAAACATAGAATAAAGAAATTCTTAAATTGAGATGAGCATGTAAAGGGAACAAAGGTTTTTGTTTTTTTAGAAAATGCAGGGGCAGTTCCTTCTTCCTGTGGGAGGTGTTGATTGACACAGCCTGAAGGCCAATATTCTCCCTGAAGGGATAAACTTCCTCGAGTTCACTGTGTTCCACATCATCAAGCCTGCTAAATGGGAGACTGCTGGCCAAATGACAATGCCTGGTGTGGTATTTTGATTTATTATAAGAAATACACGTTTGGCCTTAGTTCATTTCTGGCACACACAGCTCCTAAAATCTTGAAATGTCCTAACTGGTTGAAAGCAATAGAAGTCTTTGTTATATTAATGAGGTGACTTTTGGAAAACACCTAAGGATGGTGGCCAGTTGCCAGGAGAGCCGTTTCTGTGATGAGAGGGGAGAGGATTGAAACTTGCAGTCTCCTTCCCACCCCTCCCCCCCACCCCTACTCTCACCCCTCCACTCCATTCACCTCTGGGCTGGAGGTTGAATCGATTGCCAGTGGTCAAAGATTTAACCAACCATACTGGAGCAATAAAACTTCCATGAAAAACCAAAAGGACGGGGTTCAGAGAACTTCCTGGTTGGTGAACCAGAACGCTTACACCTGCCAACGTGCAGGGCCCAGACTCCATGAGCACAGGAACTCCTTTGTTTAGGAGCCTGCCATGTGTATCTCTTCATCTGGCTGTTGATTCCTACCCTTTATAATCCTTTGTTAATAAACATAATCTAGGAAGCAAATTGGTTTCTGGAGTTCGGTGAGCTGCTCTAGCAAATGAATCAAATCCAAGGAGGGGATCATGGGAACCTCTGACTGACAGCCAGTCAGTCAGGAGTACAGGTGATAGACTGAGCTGGTGACTGGCATCGGAAGTGGGGACAGTCTTGTGGGACTGAGCCCCAAGCCTGTGAATATGATGCTGTCCCTGGGTGGTCAGTGTCAGAACTGAGCTGAACTGTAAGCCACCCAGCTGGTGTGAGAGCATGGCTTGGAAAACCCCTCAGGCATTGGATTTGGTACTAGAATCATTTTACCTGGTCACTCTATGCTCTTGGAAGGACCTCCTCGATGAGAGAGGAATAATGCCGAGGCTTTTGTATTTTGCTCTGGTTGTTTAAATGTGTATCTGTACATAATCCAAGCTAAGGCTCTATCCACAACCCAGTTTAGCTATTACTATATACATTATCATTTATACTATTGCATTATTGCACATACTATTACTATTTATATCACAATAGTGTGTGACATATAAAGATATATTATTATGAAAAAAACAAAAACAACACATCCAAAATCTCACAAAATTGAGAAATTCACAAAAGCTTGTTTAAAATACAGCTCTTGTCTGGCCAGCGTGAACCAGGAGGTGATCCCCAGTGTGGGGTGTGCAGGAAGCAGCCGATCAATGACTCTCTCTCTCATCATTGATGTTTCTGTCTCTCTCTTCCTCTTCCTTCCTCTCTAAAATCAATAAAAAAATATATATTTTTTTTAAAAAAAGCAGCTCTTCACAGAATGAAAGTAACTTACTGAGCGCAACTGATAATCTCCGGGAAAGTTGGGATTGTACTCATTCCAGAGGAAATGCCAATGATGACTAACATCAGCACCAGCAGCCACAGCTGACTGCAAAAGAGTTTGGGAGAAAAACAAAAATTAGCCTTTGAAGAGACACAAAGCTTCACGATAAGGAGGGCAGGCGGGATCCTGGAGAAGCTCCTTTCAGATTCCAGGCCTGGTCTGTCCTCATTCCCATCTGGTCACATTTCATTCAGTGACTGCATCCTCAGCTCTTTATACTTGAGGGTTGGGGGGTCAATTCATCCTGACATATCAACATCTTTTGTCACATATATTATATTTCTGTAGTCAACTTGCCTTATATCACCTGCAAAAATCCTTTCAAAATTGATGAAAACGCCAATGCTAATGCTTTTCCTTTAATTGAGCGGCTTTGAAATTCATTTGACTAAAAAAATTTCAGAGAAGGAGGTGGTAAAGTGACAGGAAACTATGTATTTATATCACACAGAGCACTATGCCAGTTACTCAGCACCATTACTTCACTGAACCCTGCAGTATCCCTGTGATATCCTGTTTTCAAATGAAGACAATTTAGGTGATAAAAACAGTCTCTTTTCTGAGAACTGCAAAAGGGGACAGAAGGCAGGAAGCTTTGATAAGGTAAAGAATAAAGAAAAAGAAAGAGAAAACTAAAGAACATCTGATGGCTGGGGCTGCACAGTCAACCTTATCTGGTGTTTGGGGATTGGCTCACTGGCTAGCTTGTATTTCTGCTCGATCCCCAGTAGGGGGCAGCCAATCAATAATTCTCTTTCCTCATTGATGTTTCTCTCTCCCTCTTTCTCGCTCCTTCTTCTCTGAAATCAATAATAACATTAAAAAACAAGCTTTACTGAGCAGCTACTACATACTAAGGATGATACAAACAACAAAACATTTGGTCCCTGCCATTCTTAAAACAAACAAACAAACAAACAATTTTAAGTATCAAATAAAGACAAGTGTTAACAAAAAGGTGTGATATTGAAACACAAAAGAATAAGCATATTTTTCATTTTATACAGCTTTTATGCATTCCTGTTTCCTTGTACCACTGCTAGTTTCTAGTAAGATAAATACTGTCAGTCTAACAAACAGTTCAATATTGTCATAAACCAAGTTAATTATTTCAATAAGGCTTGAAATACTAAGAGATACCAATATCACACCAATTTAAAAAAAAAAAAATTCTTAATGCTATTTTACCAAAATTACAGAGAAGAAAAGATTACCTTTGAATGTGCAAGAATGGAACTGGTCCTAACAGCATGTAGCATCCTGCTGTGATTATGTTTCCAAAAACCAGAAACCATTTCCGTAGATGCTGATAAAGAAAGGAACCAAAGAGACTCTTAAAACCCTCCATAATCAAGGAATATTAAAAAAAAAAAATCACTGATGAGCATAAATCATGGTATCAAAAAAATCCAAATATATTGAAGAAAATAAAATTCTACATTTAAGAGAAAATAGGTAGGCGGTAAATACAAAAGCAAGGACAACAGACCCAAACACAGTGAGTATGCAAAACAAGGAGTCCTGGCAAAAGGAATGGATGGCAGATTTTTGTACATGCTGAAATAGTTCAAATCTAACAATTTAAAAAGCGCCACTACAAGGAACAAGCAGGTAAAATCTAGAAATTTTACATTATTAAAAAAGTACCCACTAAAATTATTCCTTATACACTACTTGAATGCAGGCTAAAAATTATAAGGATATAATAGCTGCTCAGTTATATGTAAGACTATGTCTTAAAACCAAGTTTAAAACACTGTTTAAGACACTCTTTTTTCTTAGTAATCTCCATGTAATTTAGATCTTGACAAATAAGTGCTAATGCCATAGAAGCTTAAAAGTAGGCTAACAGCACTAGTGCAGTAAATTAGTTATCTGGACTGAATGGTTTAGACCTAGTTAAAGGAGAATAGAAGGGACTTTCTGTCAGGAGGATAACCAATGCATACTGATGTGGCCACACTCTTCACTCCCACAGGAAAACTAAATGATTTCCTCTCTGTTGGATCAAGACACCACATCTCTGGAATTCTGGCCTAATTATTAAAGTCAATCCTTTTTTTTTTTTTTTTAAATTAAAGTAGCTTTTTATCTTTAGAAAGTCTAACACAAAGTGAATATGCTCAGGTTGTAAGTCAGTGGAACCTCACACTGGAACCTCTCCAACAGTTCAAAAAACTGAATATATTAGAATTTAAATGTTCTCATCTCCCCCCAAAAAGATAAATAGGTGAAGTGATGGATATACTAATTAATTAGATGGAGGAACTATTTTCACTATATATATGTACACTTTAAATATCTTATCATTTTGTCAATTACACCTCAATGAAGTGGAAATTCTATAAAATAAAAGGCTAATATGCAAATTGACCAAACAGCAGAATGACCAGTTCTATGATGTGCACTGACCACAAATAGGCAGACACTCAATATAAGAGCTGCCCCCTAGTGGTCAGTGTGCTCCCATGGGGAGAGGGGGCGCCGCTCTGCCAGAAACTGGGCTCATGGCTTGCAAGCACATTGGTGGTGGCGGGAGGCTCTCCCATACACAGGGCTTGTAGTTTAAAAATAAAAGTATGTATCAATTCTAATCAATGGACTTCTAGAGCTCTAGAGGTACAGTTAGAAAACTACTGGTATAAACATACAAAAGCAATTCTTAAACATAAATTAAGTGTACATACGGGCATTTTATCGCTTAGTAGACCACAGAATGGTGAAGAAATGGTGTAGGATAGTGCCAAACCCAGGAATACCAGTCCTACATGTCCAGCTGGTAAGTTAAACTGTAAAAGAAATCTTGTATTAAAGGTACATGATTAAATCATTTTTAAAATAAAAAATAAAATTTATTTTTCTGTTTACCATTTCTTCAGCTCTTGTTATCTACCATCAGTCTATTAATAACACCCAGTATCCTTCCTAATTTTTGTCCTCACTTTGTCAATTGGTCAATGGATTACTTTTTCTCCATGAGGGGAAAAAAACAAACACCTAACCAGAGGTCAGATGTCCTAGATTTTTGCCATGTAACACTTGACAATAAACATATAATTTTGCTTTTATGAATCATAGGTTTTTACATGTAAATGAATACTTTGCAAACTTTAAGCGCATAAAATTTACCTGGAGAATTTATTAAGAGAGGTTCTTGGGTCCTAAGCCTAGAATGCTTATTCAAAAAGCCTAGGAATTTGCATTTCTAACAAGCAAACAGATGATGCTGACTGTCCACAGACTGAGTGCACAGCTGTAAAAATCATTGATGATATTATCTATTCTACCCATCTCAAAGGGATAGCAATATTTAAATAAATACTTCAATGGTATGGCACATTTTAAAAGGCTTTGAAACAGTAAGCTACCACATAACTCTGATACTGTTACTATTACCAATATGATACAAATGCCTTCCCCCCCCTCCTCATTCTCCTCAATATCTTTAATTTTCTAAATTAAGCCCCGGAGATTTAATTACGAGCCAGGCTACATTTTAACAATGTTTATCACAAATATTAACTCATGCTAAAAATTAGTGTTTTAAAGATAAAAGTGAGATACAAAAGCAGATATGCCCTCTTCTGATATTACAGCTGGGAGGAGTCAAGGTGGAGCCCCCCACCCCTTGGCTGGGAAACCAGGACTGGCACCAAACTACCAATTCCAACAACTGATAAGAAGTCAGAAGAAAGGTAAAAAAAAAAAAAAAAAAATCATAGAAAAATACATTTCTAAAGATTTCTTATAAGACAGACAATAGTGACTTAGGTTTACCAAAGAATGGTTATAAACGTTTAGACACAACATCCTGGGGCAGGAAAACGACTCTTAAAGAACACATTATTGATGTGAATGGGATGTGTCACCACAAACATAGGACAGTTTTCTTATGTGTTACCTCCTGGATGCTCACTGCTTAAGCATGGTATTCTATTCTCTAAACCACATGTGTCAAACACAAGGCCCTCGGGCCAAATCCGTCCCGCCAGGCCTTGCAATGTGGCCCGCACCGCGCTGTCATCACTGCACTCCACTGCGTTTCCATCACAATGACAGTTTATGACTGTTCAGTAAACCATTCGGCCCGCGATTTAGGCTGGATTTTAGATTTTGGCCCCTTCTCTGATTGAGTTCGACACCCTTACTCTAAACCTTGGGCCATGCATTACAATTACAGCCCCAAGTTTATCTTTGTGGGTAGTTTACACACCCAAAACTGGCTTTAGTGACTTCACAGGGTGGGTGGTGTTTCTGATAACTGTACTTTTTTAATTCTAGGGCTTCATATAAAATCAGCGTTGACACGTTAATTCTCTAGTATAATTAACTATCAGGCTTGGTAATATACTTTATTGCATTATTAATAATCTTTTTCAAAAATATCTAAAAACAAATTTCTATGATAAGAAACTTTTAGAATTCAGTATTTATTTCTCAGCACTAAAAAGATGGAGAGGCTCTGGGGTCCTCCCTCCTATCCTACATATGATATAGCCTCTAGACATTCAATTCTATGTGATAACCTAAAACGTCAGTGGATTCAGGGAGTACAGCTCACATTAAATGAGCCAATAGGTACCTCAAGCTCCGCAATGAAATTCAAACAGGCAGAGAAAAGGTGTCCTACTAAACAGCCAGGATGATACACAAACCAGAGCTATGATGACGCAAGCTTGGCCTTGGAAAGAACGAGAAATATGTTCGAGCCACTCAGTGAAAGGCTTCCTTCACTTACACAGAATCAGATCCCTAGTTCAGGGGCATCAAACAAAGGTACAGGCTTTTCGGTGTGCAGTTCTCATTCTGCCTACTTCTTGAAGCCACTCAGAGAACTTCCCACCCAGCAGGGCCCCAAAGCAAGCAATTATGTCTACTTCCTACAACGTGGAGCTCTTCAGCAATCAGGCTGCTTACCTTCTTCAAAACAAAGAGAGACAGAGTCGGGTCAAGGAAGCCGAAGCAGGCGCTGAGCGAGGTGATGATGAGGGTTATGAGCGCGACCTTGGGTAAACTGATGAGTTTCCAGAATGAGTGATGACCTGGATTAGACTCTTCTGAATAAAAAGAAAAAGAAAAAAAAAGAAAAAAAAAGAAACTGGAGTAATTAAAATTACTTAACTATCACTTAACCTCTTATGAAAACTAACATTGGTAAGGCCATCATCATCTGATAATCAAAATAACTGCACCTCTGAGTTTACCTCAAGTTGCTTATTACCTACGTTTGCAGAAGTTATTCAAACCTGGAGGCCAACTCAGTTTTCCTAAAAATAATGTCTTAGGTCCAATAGAAATCAGAATGTGAGGAGAAGAAGGGGTCATAGGTTATAATCTAGAGGAAAGCGTGGCCTTTCCCAGATGGAATAAAGAATCTGTAAGGTTTAACTTTGTGCATGGGGAAATGCAGATCCTTCATCAAGAAACAATGTATGTGCTGAGGAGGAATTGGAGTTCATCAAAGAACACAACAATTTATTTTCTGCTGGCAAAGAAAACCCTGAATTGAATGCAGTGCTATGGAATCATGTGTAAAGTACATTTGACTTCCAAGGTCAACTCACTGCCAACCTTCCTTTTCCCACCAATCCCTACACTACTTCCCGGTTCCCAGTATGAAGCACGGTTGTTTCCAAGCCTCCATTCATATTCTATGACTCCTTTCTTTTTCCCCTAATAACTTTTCAAGTCTGTTCACTTTGTAAGGTCTGGTTATGGCCCTGATTATTCCACAAATGTTACCTTTCTCTAGTTTCCTTCTGCACTTCAAGTCTATGCCATATCTTTTAACACTTAAGCTATAATTCATTTCCATCATTGTTTGGCATTGTGTGATGGCTTTCCTATCTTCCAATTAATTTACTACAGAAAATCTTTGCTGAGCCAGGTTCCATGCAAAATGCTGGGCAGAGGCAAAGAGGACAAACTATCCTGAGAGAAAAGTGAAGAAAGGTGGGATGGAGTTAAGAGGGTATCTATTGGCGCATATGCGAGCATTTCCTTAAAACACACACACACACACACACACACACACACAGCACCAGGAAACAATATGTAGAAAAGGATTTCCCAAAGTAATATCTATGTTGGTGCCTAAAGGATAAGTTTGAGATGAGCAAAGAGGACCAAAGACTAATCCAGGCATATTGGAGTCAGGGATACCTTTGCAATGGGGAGAGATCATACTGCAGAAGAATGTGGAGATAAGATTATGCAGAACTTTGTAAAACATGCTAAGAAACCTAAGATATCTCTATGGATTTCAAACAAGGACGAGACTCATATCTGTGGTTGAAAGAGGCCGCTCTATGGCCTCGTGGAGAAGGGAGATGGGCACCAGTTAGAGCCTTTTGCAGTGATCTGGGCCACAGGTGATCCTTACCGAGGTTGGATGAGCATGGTCTTTGAGAGCCAGGATCAGCACATGTATATCCTCATTTCTCCAATAGCACCCACCAGGGTTCATTACTCAACACATTCTTGTTGAATAATGATCCAGTTTGGAGCAAAGTATGAAAAAAGCAGAGAGCGGTTCATCTATTTTAAAGTGCTACATTTAGACTTACTCAGAATATGAGAGAGAAAGTTAAACCGTGGTGTTAGTATCTTAATTATTAGCCAAATATTCACCATAAACCTGAGTACAGCTCAGACCACTCAACTAAGGGAGCCTGCAGTCAGTCTAGAAAGAGGTCTAGCACCACCATGTGGTTCTGTGCAGTAGTGCCGACAGGCAGACTACTTGGTGTGGACTTGTATATTAAATTGTATTATATATTAAAGGTATTTATTAGTCACCTTTAAGATATAAATGATAAAATACCATCTTTAATCAGTTAAATTTATGGTGCATATAAAAGGTATTATGAAGTTATGGAATAAGACAAACTGTTATGGCATAAATGGTGCCTTCTCCAAAGTGTGAAACGGGGTTATCAAAATACTAAGAATGTCTTTGAAAACAAACATACGATGAATTTAATGAAGCTGCTGAAAAAGCTCAAATAATGAAAACTTCGATAACGGCTTTAAGAGGCACACGGCAGAATTATCTGGGGTGCTCTGTTAAGCTGCGAGGGTACACTCTCTCTGCTCTCCCCAATTCTGATATATTCTTCTTAGAGGGGTGTGATTCCCTGCTTGGCAACACCTGCCACAGCAAGCTCCCTGTAGAGATGGGGAGGTGGAGTACCCCTCAGGTGTGAGGGAGAAGAAAAAATACTGAGCACTGTGGCAGTATTTACTCAAAATTTGGTCCAATAATTGAGAAGGTTCAGAAAAACTTGCCAGAAGAGGTAACAAATTGAGTTTTGAAGAATAGATAAGGGTAGGCAGCATGGGAGGGAGAGATACTCCAGGGCACGTGACTCCCCTGCTGAAATCTAACAACAGCTTTTAATGGCTTTCAGGATAAAGCTCACATTTTTTAGATCTATGAATTTTTAGATTGACATGTCCATGACTGTGTGAGAAATATGTCTTTAGAGCAGTACAGAAGACAGGACTAGATGAACAGATATGAAGGATGAGGGAGAGGTTGGGACCATAGCTGACTCTTAGCCACCCAAAGCTAAAGCCACACTGTCTGGGCATATAGAAGGAGATAAATGAATGGAGTAGAACACAAAAGTCTACCAATGTCAACAAAATTAAAAAAAAAAAAAAAAAAGAGTTAATTTTCTAGCTTCTATCTTTAACCTCTCCTAAAGCAATAATTTTTAAAAAAATCACTCAATGGCCATACTTACAGCCTTAAGATTATCAGTCTTAGAAATTTTTAAACCATTTCCCCCTATTTAATTTAGCTAAAAGGTCCTTCTATAGATAAAGAGAAAGTTTGCCAAAACAATTTTTGTTCATAAAAATACAGCTAGCTGGGGCTTTGTTAAGTTCAATGAAGATGCAGGGACATTTTCACTGAGGAATGACAAAAATGAGAGAAACAAGTACCCAGCAACTAGGCTGGTGGCGGTTAGAGGGGGCTGCAAAGGAGACCAAGATTGGGCATGAGGGGAGGAAATGAGGAGAGCAGGCTGGGACTCAAGGAGTAACACAGAAGTTCTTAATGCCATGTCCTACCTTTAACGAGTAAGCAAGGTCCTTTTTCCTCATACAGCGTGATAAAGGGTTAATAAAACTCTTTCCCTGCTGCATGAGAATCCGGCTTGGTGTCAGTTGCTTAGTTATCAGTTGAGAGTTCATTTGACACCCAAGTGGAGCTGGTCTATGGAGCCACCCTGGCTGCCGTGTTACTGGTGTTAGAAAGAGGACAGGCCTTGCCGTATGTTTCAGGGTGAATGATGGTGCCTCTCTCGCTCTGTCTCTCCAGCTCCCCTGTGAACTCTTGCTCTGTTCCCCTAGTAATCTGACAAGGGTAAAAGGCCAACTGCGATATGAGGTAATCTTGCTCACAATACAAAGTACCCCGGCCTGGCAAATTTGAACTGAAGGAACTAAAACAAACTGTAAGGACCTGGTGAGGTATCTGTGCCTCCCAAAATGTGATTGTGGAGACCCTGGAAGCAGGGCAATGGAGTTGTTACGGGATATTCTAACTCCTTTGGGCATGAAGCTCTGAAGCCAGGATGACTCCCAGCACTGCCTGTGTGGCCTGGTGTCCTCGCATCTGGCTGTGCTGCACAGACAGCTGCAAGAACCACTGGGAAGGAAGATGTAACCTTCCCCTCCTATCTTATGTGGCCTTCTAAGAAGATGGTGCCACGTGTGGTGCATGTAACTTGTCATTTTGAGTCTTTAGTTAAGTCCAAGATGACCTTTGGTTGGCGTTGCACATGGCTATGCTTTATGATCAGAAATTAAATATTTGATAGTTACAGTTCTAAAGGTCAGAAAATTTTCTGATGTATATACATTTATATCAACTGACTGCCTACAGGATTTTTTCTAAAAAACAGAATCAGTTATTTCAGGGTGCTATAAAAATCGACCATTGATTAGTTAAAATAAAAGTGAGTATACATTAAATTGACCTACAAAGGCATGCAAATACTAGAAGATTCTTAAAGTGAGTAACAAATATAGTCTTACCATAACTAGGCAAAATGTACATGGTGAGTGGTACCATCAGCAAAATTATGCATCCAAGCAAAATAAAAGGCACCTCATAGCCAAAGGATTGATACAAGAAGCCACCTAAAGGAGGCCCTAGCACTAATCCCAGTCCAGAAAAAATCTCAAGACTTCCCTAAAATTGAGGAAAAAAATGAGTTAATATATATTGAAAAGTTAACAAATAAAGGTTTAGTGGCACTATCTAAAAAAATTCTATCCAATTTATACACACATACACACAAACTCAAAATAGATTCCAAATTTAAACATATATTTTAAATCATAAAAGCACTAAAAAAATAAAATATGGGAGTTTTTTGTTCTTTAGTCCTTATGGTAAAGGAAGGTTTTCTAATTATAGCACAAAAACTCAGAAAACACAAAAGAAAAGATTAATACATCTGATTATATGAAATCAGGAATAACACAACAAAATACAAAGAATAGAAAAAAATACTGACAAAGGACTCATCTCCCAAATATATCAATAGAGTCACTTCAATTCAAAGAGGGAGAAGAAAGAGGAAAACCTAATAGGAAAATGGGAAAAGGCTATAAAGAGTCTGTTGACACATAAATGACATGCAAAGCTCTTAGGCATGTAAAAAGAAGCTCAGATTTGCTTTTCAAAGACTTAACCATTTAAAGATACCAATGTTTCTCTATCGCCTGTCTAGCTCTTCACACTTCCAAGAATTTGAGGAAAGAGCACCTTTGGACATTGCTGGTAAGTGTACACCACAGGGGCAACTTGGCAAGTCAACCATTACAAATACACACATTCTTTGAGCAAGAATGCCATTTCTGTCCTAACCAGTTTGGCTCAGTGGATAGAGCATTGGCCTGCAGACTGAAAGGTCCCAGGTTCGATTCTGGTCAAGGGCATGTATCTTGGTTGTGGGCACATCCCCAGTAGGGAGTGTGCAGGAGGTAGATAATAGATGTTTCTCTCTCATCGATGTTTCTAACTCTCTATCCCTCTCCCTTCCTCTCTGTAAAAAATTAATAAAATATTTTTTTTTTTAAAAAAAGAATGCCACTTCTGGGAATCAAACTTACAGATACAACCATAAAGATGTGATATGGTATATATACAAGCTTATATTTATAGCACTGTTTGCAACAGCAAAAGATGTAAACAATGTAAATATTCATCAATTTAAATAAAAGGTTATACATACTGGGAAGTGCTATACAGTCATTAAAGAGAAGCAAAGAATGAGGAACTTTTCATATATAGATATAGAAAGATCTCCAAGATAATTTCTATTTTTTTTTAATCTATTGATTTCAGAGAGGAAGGGAGAGGGAGAGAGAGACAGAAACATCAATGATGAGAGAGAATCATTGATTACCTGCCTCCTGCACACTCCCACACTGGGGATCAAGCCAGTACTTGATCCCTATACTTGTGCCCTGACCGGGAATTGAACCTGAGACCTCCTAGGTGGATGCTCAACCACTGAGCCATGCCAACCAAGCTCCAAGCTAATTTCAATGTTTGTGTAATAAGTAAGACAGAGTATGCTACCAGAGTGTAAAGAAAATGGAGGAAAACATGCACTCTCAGTGTGTGTGTGTGTGTGTGTATACATGAATACATGGAATTGCTTGAGAAGAAATCTGTAATGTCTGTTGCCTTCTGGGGGAGCGATGTTGGTCTGGGTGCCTGAACAACAGGAGTGTCTATGGAGACTGAGGAATAGTAATATATAGAATATATTCACTATCTCCTATATTTCCCTTTGTAACTTGTGAATTTTGTACCATGTAAAATTGTTTTGCTAAACAAAACAGTTGCTATGAGAAAAATAATTTGCTGTTGCACAACTCTTACAGAAATTGCACCATTTTAAATCAATCTAGTTTAGGGGCTTTAAACAGAGATCTGTGGCTTGCAACCTAAAATTCTCAGACCTCACAAAAGACACAATAGTAATCCACTAAAAACTTTCAACGTTTTATAACGAATACAGAAATCCTACATTTTCTCACAATAATGTTATCCAGGTCAACTACCATGTTAGGTTGTTACCTTTTGGCTTCAGTTTTACATAGAAACTTGGCATGCCCTGCTGACCAAAAAATCCAAAGGACTGATGCATCATGGGAATTTCTTGGGCAACACTTTCCAGAGTGTTCCACAAAGCACCAGTTCTTTAAGAGTCAAAAGTGGTTCCATAGTCAAATAGAGTTGTGGAACATTAAATAAACTACCTCTACTATAGAATTTCTCAGTCTTAACACACTATTGTGAACTGGACAGCATATGCACATTCCAAACATGTTTAGCCACAAAATCTTGTTTTGAAGAGCATGTGTCAGCAGACTAGTCTTCTGAATCCTTTTTGAGAATTATTCTTGGGAATTGTAAACAGTATACCTGCCACAATGGCCAGTACTGTGTGGCAATGACTATAGAATGAGCCTATCCTAAAGTAAGCCTATTCAGGCAGCTGATGGATGTTTCTCTCTCATCGATGTTTCTGGCTCTCTATCTCTCTCCTCTCCTCTCTGTTTAAAAAAAAAAAAAAATATATATATATATATATATATATATATATATATATATATATATATATATTTAAATAAAAAATAAAATAAGCCTATCCAGATATATTATTTTATATGGGTAAATGAAGGAGTCCTTGGTACTAAACTGATCAGACCCATGCTCTAGAGACATTTATAAGCTATGTTGGTGACATTTGGTCTCTGTACACACTGGGTTCTTCAGAGATACATGGGTCAAGGAGAGAACTATGGGAAAGCCTGCCTGGGGTCAGGGAAGCAGCAGCCAAGATCTGGACAGGAATCTGGTGAGTCACTAATACCAGACGTCTAGGTACCTAGGCAATATATGAGACAAACATCAACACGATGATATAAGGATATAAGGATCTGGGTTTTTACGGCAAAATAGGAGGGTACTCCACAGACAGCACAGAAGCATTTAAAAATTCAAGATAATTGCTAACATCTCTCCCATTAATCTTGAAAAAGTGAAGAAAGGACTCTACAAATTGAGTCTTTTCAACCCAGAGGAATGCTTCAGGCATCCGAGCCCCAATCTCAGCTACAAAGAGAGAGCGAAATACTGTTTGGAAGGTATTTAAAAATAAAAGTGGCAAAAAGAATATTTGGCTTGGACCACATTTACCTGTCAAACTGCCCATTCAGAGGATTCTAAGCCCAGGAAGAGACCTAAGTAAGACTGATACATTTATTGACAGCCTGTTCCTGGAAATACAACGAAGGTAAAAGGTAACAAACACAGATTGTTAAAAAAAAAAAAAAAAAAAAAAAAAAAAAAAAAAAGGTGAAACAAATATTTTAACCTACACTAAAGGTAAAATAGGAAATATATATATAAAATACATACCAATACTGTAGCCACATGATTTGGGAAAGCCTTTGCGAGGATAGAAAAAGATGCAGTTATTGCTGCAGAAAAGCTTATTGCATCTGTTATTCTCACTAGAAAACACATAGTAATAAATATCGGTCCGTCTGGAACTTGGTCCAATAAACTAAAAGAGAATAAAACAAGTCTCAAATACCACACTGGTTTCTATATAAATATAAATATATATATAAATATATATATATATATATATATATATATATATATATATATATATATATATATATATATATATATATATATATATTTCAGAGAGGAAGGGAGAGGGGAGAGACATAGAAACATCAATGATGTGAAAGAATCATTTATCAGCTGCTTCCTGCACACTCCCTGATGGGGGTTGAGCCTGCAACCCGAGAATGTGTCCTTGACCAGAATAGAACCTAGGACCCTTCAGTCTGCAGACTGATGCTCTAATGAGCCAAACCAGCTAGGGCCAACCTGGTTTCTATTCGTTTCCTTCTTAATTGTACTCACTGAAAAGAGCAGTAGATCACCTAGAGTTATTAGAATATAAATAATATTTTCTTTAGAATATAAATTTTTTAAAATTGCTATGTTATACTTTGAGTAGAAGAATTACCTTCTTTTTGGGGGTACCAATATGAAGCATAATCAGAATTTAATTGCCTTTTTTTGCTGACATAACTGGAGCCCTAAATAATACTAAATCTGGTAGGCCTTTTGAAATATAAAGCATCACTATGACAAGAACCAATATAGAAGATTCTTAGTTTCAGGTGTGAGCCATAATGGGGCTCAAACCTTCAAATATAAGTGAATACAGAAAACAGAAGACCACCCACACAAAAAGAACAATTTAAAAAAACACTTAATTTGATTTTCCTTAGCTATTTCATCACAATTTCACCAAACTTTAATCACTCATCTATGTTCCCCAAGAAGTTGTTTATACTCCTCCATATGATTTGCCACTATGGTTGTATAAGCTTAAGAACTTTCAAAGTCTTGCCTCTGGATTTATTTTCCCTTTTCTCCAAATAGCAATTGGGGAAACCATTCTGCTCCCATTTTCAGAAGTGAGCACAGGACTAGGCCTGGCTAATCAGTGCATTCTCTTCCCTGACTACAGTGACCTTGATGCAATGATGGGTCATCAACAAAGACCAGGCCAATGGAACTCCATTCTGTAACTCAGCTGGAAGCTATTAGGAAAGTGGCTACTAGGGGTCATCTTGCCATCACAAGGGTAGACTCTCTTCAAGAACAAAGCACAAGAAGAGGAAAGCAAAACCAGGAATTTAAGAAAGATGCTTGATAAAATTATTTTAGTATATGTATTCTGATTTTCTTTAGCTGATTTTCTAGGTAAGAAACTCATTCTCTTGCTGGAGCCAAAATTTTCTGTGTCTCAGAAAAGTGAGCTAAGTTACTGTCAATCACAGTCACAGGAGTACTAATGAATAGATTCTATAGTCAGTTTATGGGTGATCCATCCCCTAGGCAGGGGTCTTCAAACTACGGCCCGCGGGCCACATGCGGCCCGTAGAGGAGTCTGATCCGGCCCGCCAGGTTTTTTGGGCAGTGAGCGCAGCCGAGGTGTTACAGTAGGAATTAGTAGTTCATATAGTCCGGCCCTCCAGCTCTCTGAGGGACCGTGATCTGGCCCCCACTTTAAAAAGTTTGAGGACGCCTGCCCTAGAGGATTCTTTTTTTAAAACCAATGTCACTCATCCTGTTTTCTACATCACCCAACTCCCTTCACCATTAATCACATGTAGGGCACTCAATAATCAGTGTTACTGATTAATTAACATTTTAAATTGAAGGTAGATTATGTCACATATTGAAGCTCCCAAACTTATCAAAACTTGACTTACCCAAAGATAATTGTGACTCCTCCTGAGACAAACATTCCTGATACAAACATGAATTTTGCTCCAATTTGTACAAGCTATAATAAATGTCAAAGAAAGTGGTAAATTGATGACTACTACAAGTCTATATATTTACATAAACAAATATACTTTATTAGGAGCTATACCATTTGGGAAATATATAAGCAGTTACTATAGTAATTCTTTAATAGAATAAAAACATAAACTTCTTAAACCATAAAAGAAGTTAAAAATCAGTCAACTCTAAGAATGGAACTGTCAACAGTGGCACAATTCATAAAGTATAATGGTGGTTATTTCTGCAACAATGGAAATTCTAGATTGATAATATAGCTCATTGTATAATTTTTAAAATGGAAATGTTCATATGAATTTTAATACTTGCATATTTTCCAAAGAATAAAGACGCCAGCAGTTCAAACAAAGCATAGCATCCAAAGATCATCCCGATAACTGTATTGCTGGCTCCTTTCTTTTCAGCCTTAAAAAAAAAAAATTGAAAAGGAATCAATTGTGAAAGACAAGTTCACATCAGTGTAAAAAAAATTGAGCTATTAGATATGAGCATCATCTTGTAACCTTTATCTGTGTAGCAATTTTAAAAACTATCATTATAAAATAAACAGGATGGAGAAGTAAGGAAAACTATACTAAAACTTAGTCTGACATGAAAATAATTCACTCATCATGCTCAAACATTAAAAAAAGAACTATCATATAATTCAGCAATCTGTCTTCTGAGTATATAGCAAAAGAATTGAAAGTGGTGTCTGAAAGAGATATTTACAGCATTTTTCACAATAGCAAAGATATAGAAACAATCCAAAAGTCTATCAACAAATGAATGGATAAAACAAATGTGGTATATACATTCAGTGGAATATTATTCAGCCTTAAAAAATAAGGAAATCCTTGCATTTGCAATACCATGGATAAACGTTAAGCTCATGTTATGTTGTTATCACATAAAAAAAAGAAAGAAAAAGAAACATTAAAAAACTCACAAAAGAATACAAGGGAATATTTGTAGGTGATAAATATATTTAGTAACTTGATTGTGGTGATGACATCACAGATATATGCATATGTCCAAACTCATCAAGATAGATATATTAAATGTATGCAATTTTTTTGTATATTGATTATGCCTCAATAAAGCCTCTTTCCCCCCAAAAAAAAATTTGTTTGCTTTAGCTGACAAAAAAAAAAAAAAAAAAAAAAAATCAGAATTAGAAAGGATAAAAAAGTATAAACAAAAGCAAAACATCTAGGCTGAAGAAATGTGGACTCTACTTCATCCATGGAACTAAGTGAACAGTTAATCTTGACATACTTCCTTTATGATATCCGTGGGAAAAAATATTTATAGGTGATAAATATATTTAATAACTTGATTGTGGCCTTTGCCCCTGTTCCTGGTACAGAACTTCTAAAACCCTTGTAATTTTCTAAGTGATGAAAGCACGAAGTGATAAAAGTACCACTTTCTCTGCATATCTTCTGTTCTAATATTTGTTTTTTTACCCTGGTTTCTAGTACCTGGTGGCAGGAGAGAGTGGAGAGGTTGACTCTAAAACACTCAGAATCAGCCATTTCTCTGCCATTACTAATAACCACATGAGATAATGGTGTGGAGACAAGTGAGATATCATTGTGAAAAACACCACTGATGACATCCTAGCAAAGGTTGTGCTCTATGTAGACTGAAATATGAAGTCGACATGTCTATTACACCAAGGTCAGGTAGTCTATGAGTTGAATTATGTTCCTCAAAGTTCATGTATTTTGAAGTCTGAACTCCCAGTATCTCAGAATGGGACCTTATTTGGAGATAAGAGTCTTTACAGAGGTAATCAAGTTAAAACTAAGTCAGTGGGTTGGCTGTTATACAAAATAACTTGTATCCTTATAAAAAGGGGAAATTTGGGCACGGATACGCCCACAGAGGGAAGACAATGTGAAGAGACACAGCCAAGGAGATAGACCTGGAACAGTCCCTTCCCTCAGCGCCATCAGAAGGAACCAACCCTGCCAACCTCTTCATCCTAGACTCCTAGTCTCTAGAACTGTGAGACAATAAGTTTCTGATGTTTATGTCACCCACTTTGTGGTACTTTATTATGACAACCCTAGCAAACTAAAACAGGTATCTCAAAAAGAAAGTATTACCAAAAGAGTCCTTGAAGATGTAGAAAGAACATTCATGGGCCAAATTACATTATCATGTTTTTTGCTTAATAGTTCTAAATATTTAGTTCTGGAGTTTGGAAGAAAATATGTAATAGTTATAGCAACTGAAATTTATTGGACCCTTACTATGAGCCAGAACCGTGTTAGGGCTGTTTTACATGGTATCTAAAAACAATTAAATAAGGGATGTATTTTTAGTCCCATTTACTAGATGAGGACACAGACTTGCAAAGTTTCTTTCTGGTCACTGCAGTCATGACAGTTTCCACTGTGTGCATGTTCCCACATTCTCTGTGGAAACAGGATGGGGATGACAGGATGTCCTAGAACCACCGCATCAGCAGCTGAGTACGATTTTTAGAGCATGGATCCTGCTTCACATTAGCAAAGCGAGAACTGCTATGCAAAGCAATTTTTGGTTCACATGTAATCCTCAAAGGAGGAAGGTGCCAGAAAAAGGAGTAGAAACAGGAATCCTGTCCCAGAATTTAATAATGGCCCTGCTTTCCCTGTGCCTAATCAACTCTGGCTAATAGGAAAGGTGACAGACCCTATAGGAGGAAGGGTAAGTTTGGGCAGGACATAAGGCTTCAATATGGAATGTAAAGGAAGAGCTCACTCTTCATATCTAAGCCTTTTTAAATTATAATGCTCTCTCTCCTACCTCTGTCTTTTCTTCAGCCTTCCCTTCTGCAAGCAAGAAACTAAATAAAAAACATAACACACACCCTAACCGGTTTGGCTCAGTGGATAGAGCGTCAGCCTGTGGACTGAAGGGTCCCAGGTTTGATCCCGGTCAAGGGCATGTACCTTGGTTGTGGGCACATCCCCAGCAGGAGGTGTGCAAGAGCAGCTGATTGGTATTTCTCTTTCATCAATGTTTCTAGCTCTCTATCCCTCTCCCTTCCTCTTTATAAAAAAAAAAAAAAGAAAAAGAAAATCAATAAAAATATATATATTTAAAAAGTAACAGAGAGAGAGAAGAGAGAGAGAGAGAGAGAGAGAGAGAGAGAGAGAGAGAGAGAGAGAGAGAGGAGTTCCTGGTTTTCCTTTGTCTGTATTCCATTAAGAAGATACGTATTAACATTAATTTCACTGAGTTCCACCTGATCCAGGAAATGGCCTTCTAACTTGTTGGTCTGCTTACTCCAGTTCTTCTGCATCTTAATTCCACAGGCTCTAGTCATCACTATTTTTTCCCCAAAACCCAAGTTTAGCCAGGCCACTCTGTGTTGCTCAGACACCTCTGCTGACATCACACTGACTAAATCTTGGGCATGCATCTCACTGACTAAATCTCTGGCATGCATGTGAGGGGTATCTTTGGTCCTTGCATTCTACTTCCAACCTGCCTTTCAGGTCCTCTGCCTCCAATCAGACCTCGCTCCGCTCCGGGCCCAGCTACACCAGGTTGTCTGCTGTTCTCCAAAAACATGCGATTTACTTTGCAAATCCTGTGACTCTCTCAGCTGCTTCCCAGGACACCACACCTGTTTTTCACCTGGGGAACTAACACTTCTCCAGACCCGCCTTAGATTTATCCTGTGCAGTCACTGCCACCGCCACCCTTCTGCCCTTCCCTCTCCAGCCCGCCCCCCCCCACCCCCACCGTGGGAAAATTAACTAGTTCCTCCTCTAAAGTCTCCTAATGTTCTGTACACCCTTTTATTAAAGGATGTCCAAATACCTGAAATTAAAAAAAAAACACAAAAAAACACACACACATGTTTTCACTCCCAATGGACAGACAAGAGAGGGACGTTTTCCCGATCTTTCTTCTGCCCTCGCATCCAAAGCCTCGCACTCTCTAGAGTGGGAAGTCGAGAAGTCATCCACTTCCGTTCAGTGAACAGAACCAGACTGGGTCAGACACTGAACTTCTGAGTCTGTTTCTTCATTTACAACACGATGAGAGTCTCACTCCTCTGCCTATCTTACGTACGGAGCAGCTGTGGCGAGCCCCTGGGCTAAATGTGTGGGTAGGAACGCTGGAAATGGAACAGCACTGGCTGGGTACAAAGTGTCACTGCTCTTGAGCAGAGAAACCATTTTTATCCTCTCTGTGGCACACAGAAGGAAGTTATCATTCTCCATGTTATCAAGGCAGTTGGAGGGCCGAGAGAGGCCAGAGCACTGAGGCGTGGGCAAAGAACACAAATAAAACACATGGGCATGTTATCTCCCCTCTGCTAAGCCAGGACCGCTCCTTCCACACTGTCCAATCAGCCTCTGGGTTCCAGGTGGATCCGCTAGGGCCTCTGTGTCTGTGCCATTATCTGTGCAGCAGTCTCCGACCGGTGGTCTGTGAGGTCCATGTAAAAGTACTCTAACTCCATGTAAGAGGCTATGATTAGAAGGACCTAGTCAAGAGTAATCATAATTTTCCCATGGCACAAAAACTGCTTCTAGATTCCACAGAAATTCAAGTCAGAAACGGGAATTTAAATGGACCACGGCGTCCTTTACTGTCTTAACCGGGACCTTTTGCAGTGACATTAAATTCTCAGTTATACAGCACAGCCCTTTTTTTTCAACTGCAGAAACCAAATAAAGGTTACTCAAACTACATAGTACGCAAAGAAGGTCAATTATATTTAGGTGAGTTACCTCCGAAGATGATGTTCTTTTTGACTGGATCTTCTTCTGGCATCAAATATTTTATAGTAAGTTTTCTGATGGCTAAAGTTCTCTACATCATCTTTGCTATTTGCTAATCTTTACATTTTACATATTGTAAAATTAAATAATTCGAAAGGCGTTTTAAAATGAAGAATTCATAAGGATATGAAAATGTCTCACCTCCTTGGGGAAAAAGGGTCCAAGGATGGAATAGGACATCATGCAGCCCAAGTTCAAGGAAGCAGCAGATATCAGGACAAAAAGCTGCTCTCTGGAAAGCCGGCTGGGTGTCCCTCTGGCACTCGCTGCAGGGTCATCATCTTAAATGCAAACACCCTGCAATTACTGGCATGCACTGCTGATTAGAGTACACACATGCCACTTCCCCGCACAGTCTGTGTGCTCTGAAGATAACACTTACTGAGCTAAGGGCTATTTTCAACATAGCACGTGTGACCACATGTAACACAATCCTTGTACATTACCGTAATTTTGAAAACATATCACTTTTGTTGACACAGGATTCCCTGCTAGAATCTCAGTACAGAATTTATCAAACCATCTGCTGTTTTGCCTTCACCATAAGGCCAATTTCTTTCACCTCAAATATATTCAAGAAGGATCAGGGAATAAGGTACCCTCCAAAGGGTACTGCTCTCAAGTGTAATGTGATTTCTCCAGCTCTTTGCTTCACCTGTTACATGAACTCAATGTTTCAGGCCTGTCAGTGAGATGTTTATTAAGCACTGTAGGGCAGTACTGACGTTAAGTGAAGAGTAAGGGGAAATCAAATGGCAAATTACAATGGGGTACTCCTGGAAAGCCAGTCCCACAGATCTGTAAACCACTACTGGTTTTTCACACCCATTACTGACCTTCCATCGTGATTCATTTAATTCTTACTCCAAGGACTACATTTTCATTTAACTTAAAGACACCTGGTCAATGACTCAGTTTCAAACACCCACCCAGCAATACCATCAGGCATTTTGAAACTATCAATAAATGGTTTGGAGGGAAAAAAGGAAAAAGCAGTTTAAGTAAGAAAAACATGTTTGGTTTGCCCAATTTTTCAGTTTGTCTTTGCGGTGCAGGTGGAAAGAATCTGTGCCACATGAGGAAGTCTTAAGAAATTTTGTAAAATGTTTCAGTGAATGAGAAAGGGAACTGAGAGAAAGTTAAAAAGTTGGGAACAACAGCGGGGCCTCGACACGTGATGCTTTCTTACTTAGCAGAATGCATTTGTAAACACGGCGGGTACAAGCAGAGCCGGAGAGAAGGCAGAAGAGACCCACACCAACTCCAGTTCCCGACCTTGAAGCCCTTTCAAGAGGGTTAATGTTCGCTGTCCCAACCCTACTGCCAGGTCCCAGCTTTCCCCGTGGTCTCAGCAACAAACCACACTAATTGCAGTGAAAGAGACAAGACCTGAGCCTCCGAGGCGCTGCTCCCCGTCACCCTCTGGAGGGGATGGGCCCTCCGCGTCCCCCGGCGCGTCCATGCCCGGTGCGCGGACTCCTGCTCCGGGGAGGGGGCCGGCGGAAGCCCGGGCGGCGGGCGGAGTCTGCTCAGCGGTGCCCGGTGTCCCGCTGGCCCGCCGGCAGCCTCGCCCCCAGCTCCAAGCAGCCGCTCCTGGAGGCGGGGCAGGGCCTTTCTTTTTATTTAAAGACACAGGCTATTAATCATTCTCCACCGTCTGGCTGCACGCCTTCGTTCTGTGTAAGAAAAAATACAAATAAAAGTAAGACAAGAAGGACGAGTCTATTGTATATTCCATAGAGTTGAACCCCCTGCTTTACAATCGGTAATATGTATTCCTACTAAAATTAAGAAAGGATGCTCATGTGGACACAGAGATAGCGTACTTCAACGGAAAGACACAAATGTGAGTTAGAAAATTGGGCTCATGCGGACTCTTTATCATTTTAAAAATATATATTTGTACTGATTTCAGAGAGGAAGGAAGAGAGAGAGAGAGAAGCATCAATGATGAGAATCATTGATGGGCAGGCTGCCTCCTGCAGTCCCCCCCCCCCCCCTACTGGGGATCAGAGCCCACAACCCAGGCATGTGCCCTGGCCTCCTGGTTCATAGGTACACGCTCAACCACTGAACCATGACAGCCATGCCAGACTCTTTATTAAAAATGGATTATTTTTTCATAATGGGTAAATGATGTAGTGATATAATCATGGAAGCCAGAGATTAGTAAACTGGATATGGATGAACTGATGTGAAGTACAAGGAGTGGGAAAAATGTTTACAAAAACTATAATGAATGTTGAGCAATCAGCAAGGAGTGGTTTGGGAATAAGAACTTGGAGCCAAATGCCGTTTCAATCCAGGGCACTTACTAGCTGCTTGTGACTTTGGGTGGCAAGGTCAATTTCTCCACCTGTACGGCTGGGATTATAAAGCTTATCTTGTAGGGCGGCTGTGAGCACTGGTGATAAGGTGTGGAGTGTTTGATGCATGGATATGATGGTTGTTACCTTATGCTCACCTTCAACTTTCTGGCACAAAAATAGAGGTGTCAAATATTTTGACCTTACCCACTGTTCCAAGATAAAACAAAAGACTATTGAGTTACCATCATTGTGACTTTATTGGTTTTTTACACAGAGGAAGGGAGAGGGATAGAGTTAGAAACATCAATAAGAGAGACATTGATCAGCTGCCTCCTGCACACCCCCTATTGGGGATGTACCACAACCAAGGTACATGCCCTTGACTGGAATCAAACCTGGGACCCTTCAGTCCATAGGCCAATGCTCTATCCGCTGAGCCAAACAGGTCAGGGCATCACCATCATTGTGACTTTAAAGATGAATGAGCCCCAACTAGCTCCTGCTCTCAAAAAGCATATCTCCTTCTAGGAGATAAAACAGACACTGATTAGTAACTTATTCTAATGCAATGAGTTCTATGATGTATATTGTAAGAATTGTTTACTTTGGCTAAATGAGTCCAGGATGGCTTCCTGAGACTGTGATGATACCTTGGGTCTTGAAGATTATGTAAAAACTAGAGGCCCAGTACACAAAATTCATGCATTTTTGGGGGGAGGGGGTCCCCTCAGCCCAGATTGTGAGAGGGCACAGGGACCCCACGTGCACAATCGGGGTCGGGGACAGATGCAGGATGTTGGCCAGCTGGGGAGGGACCACAGGAAGGCCCCAGAGCATGTCCAGCCCATCTCTCTCTGTCCCAACTGGCTGGACCCCAGCAACAAGCTAACCTACCGGTCATAGTATCTGCCCCTTGGTGGTCAGTGCATGTTATAGTGAGTGAGTGGTTGAGCAGCCTAAGCATATCATTAGCGTATTACACTTTGATTTGGTTGAATGGATGACAGGATGACTGGACACTTAGCATAGTAGGCTTTTATTGTATAGGAATTCCTGGGCAGGTCAAAAGAGCCTTTACAGTCATTCTAAACAGAAGGATTAGCTCTAGCAAATATGACCTTCCAGAATCTTTATGACCTAACTCTGTAAAGTTCTCCACTTTCATTTTACTCTACCTTCTCTCTCCAAGGTAACATCAAACTGTATAGGAGACTTTCCATGAATAATTTCTTTGATGTCTAGATTCCCTTTTTTGTTCTCTTGTTCTGGACTGTTTTTTATGCAGATGTTGGGTCACCTAGACTGGCCCTCTAATTTATTACTTTTTTCCTAGTGTAGTTTTTATCCCTTTCTTTCTCATTTAGCTCTATCTTATCGGAAGTTTCCCCAACTTTATCACCCAAATTTTCAACTGAATTTTTCATTTCTGTTGTCATCTCTTCCCCTCTATCTCCATTCCCATCAGCAATCATTTTTGCATGTTTAATACAAATCTTTGTTTGTATATATTTTCATAAAATTTATATTCTTGTTTTGTGTCCATTTATTTTTATAATATATTTTATTGAGTTTTTACAGAGAGGAAGGGAGAAGATAGAGAGCTAGAAACATCGACCAGCTGCCTCCTGCACACCCCCCACTGGGGATGTGCCCGCAACCAATGTACATGCCCTTGACCGGAATCAAACCCGGGACCTTACAGTCTGCAGACCGATGGTCTATCCACTGAGCCAAACCAGTTTTGGCTATTTTCAATTTATATAAAGGATATTGACATATCCCTATCTTTCTCCTCATTTCTGATCTCTACTTCTGCCCTTCCCTCCAGATGATGAGGGTTACATTAGTTTTATTGACATATCCCTATCTTTCTCCTCATTTCTGATCTCTACTTCTGCTCTTCTCTCCAGATGATGAGGGTTACATTAGAATATATTATTGCATTAGTTTTCTGTGGCTGCTATAATAATTTACCACAAACTTGGAAGATTAAAACAACACAGAACTGAAGATTAGAAGTTCAATATTAATTTCACTGAGCCAAAATCCAAAATGAACTTCTCATCTCACTATCTCTAACTTAATCATGCTTGCACGGATCCTTTTTCTAAAAAGGCTAACATTTGCATGTTCCAGAGATTGGGATGTGGAGGTATCTTTGGGAGCTATGATCATCCTACCATGATGATCTATTTACATTGTTCTATAACAGTGGTCTGCAAATTGCGGCTCTGTTGTCTAATGAGTTTGCTGACCACTGACCTAGACCCTCGATTCCAATAATTACAGGCTGGTGTTGCTCCTTGTGATTAAGCCCCTATCCCAGTGGTCAGCAAACTCATTATTCAAAAGCGTGGCAAACTGTGGCTCACGAGCTGCATGTTGCTTGTGAGCCACAGTTTGCTGATCACTGTTCTATGATCATCTAGACTAGGGGTGTCGAACTCAATCAGAGAAGGGGCCAAAATCTAAAATCCAGCCTAAATCGCGGGCCGAATGGTTTACTGAACAGTCATAAACTGTCATTGTGATGGAAACGCAGCAGAGTGCAGTGATGACAGTGCGGTGCGGGCCACATTGCAAGGCTTGGCGGGACGGATTTGGCCCGCGGGCCTTGTGTTTGACACATGTGACTAGACCTATATACACATATGGAACACTTTTCCCCCCCAAACTAAAATGGAATAATATGGTCTCTGTTTAAATGCCACTTCCTCAGAGAAGTTCATTCTTTTCCCTTTATCCAAAATATAGCCTCAATCACCTTCAGCCTTCTTTATTTTTCTTCCTAGTATTTGTATCAGCCTATTGCTAATAAAATTCCTGTTGCTGAAGGAATTTTATCCTAGATAATCAGGTGGCACATAGAATCACCAGGAGGACTATATGCACCACAAAGAGGCTACATGCCTACAATCACACCGCAGAAGTGGTCCAGCACACTTACCTAGGCCCCACCACTGGACACCCATCTGCAGCCTGTGAGGCCAGTGGAGTTAAGCACAAGACATTGTAGTTAGAACCTGGTCCCCACTTCACTGGAATGCTGCCACCCTCGCCAGAGGGATTTTAGTTAGTACCAGCTTCTTCCATTCACTTGCGTTCATCATATAAGTCAGGTAGTGAACACTCTCCAACTTTGTCCTATTTTTTCAAAAGCAATCTGAATATTCTGGGCCCTTTGAATTTCCGTAGAAATGCTGGAATCATCTCTCAGTTTCTCCAAGATACCTGGTGGGATTCTTATTGTGATTTTGTTGACTCTATAGGTCAATTGAGGTAGAAATGACATCCAGTCAATACTGAGTGTTTAAATCAATGAACATGATCTCTCTCTCTTTCTCCATTTATGTAGATATTCTTTAATTTCTTTCAGAAATGTTTTACAGTTTTCATGTGGAGTTATTACATACTTCATGTCAAATTTATTCCTAAATATCTTGGTTTTAGAATTCATTAAAATGGAATTTTGACATTTAAAATTTTAAATCATTTGCTATAAGGCTAATATGTAAATTGACTGATAGGTGGAATGGCTGGTCACTATGATGTGCACTGACCAGGAGGAGCAGATGCTCAACACAGAAGATGGCCCCTGGTGGTCAGTGCACTCCCACAGGGGAGCACTGATCAGGCAGAAGCCCTGAGCCAGGCTTATGGCTGGCAAGCATAGCAGTGGTGGTGGAAGCCTCTCCTTGCCTCTGCGGCAGTGCTAAGGATGTCTGGGAGTGGGCCTAAACTGGCAGTCGGACATCCCCCAAGTGTTCCGGGACTGCGAGAGGGTGCAGACTGGGCTGAGCCACACATCCCCACAAGTGCACCAACTTTGAGCACCAGCCTCTAGTTGTATATAGAAGTAAACTAATTTTATATTCATCTTGTCTCCTGAAAACATTTAAATTTCCCTATTATAGTATTTGTTTTATAGATCCTTTTATATTTTCTACACGAACAATCATGCCATCTACGAATTTTACTATTTCCTTTCTGCAGTATATGCTTTAATTTCTTTCTCTTTTTGGTACTGACTAGGATGAGCAATAAAATGTTTAATAGAAGTGATGAAAATAGAGATTCCTCCTTTGTTCTGTTTTAGGGAGAAAACATTTGGTCTTCCCCTATTAAGTATGAGTTTAGCCACAGGTTTTTCATATATGCATTTTTAAAAAATATATATATTTTATTGATTTTTTACAGAGAGGAAGAGATAGGGATAGAGAGTTGGAAACATTGATGAATCATCGATCAGCTGCTTTCTGTACACCCCCCACTGGGGATGTGCCCGCAACCAAGGCACAT